TTGCCAGAAGAGGCATTGCTTGCTGGTCCTGTCAACTATCGTTGGATGTATCCAATAGAAAGGTATATAATCCTCATCATTTGTTTATGCATCATTATCCAATTGAAAGGTATATTATCCTCATAATTTGTACCATATCGTTTTCTTTTCGCAGGTTGCTTGGAGAGCTGAAAAAAACTGTACGCAACAGGGCGAAGCCCGAAGGGTCAATTATAGAGGCTTGGGTTCAATATGAGTCGCTTACTTTCTGTGGAATGTATTTACAAGATGTGGACACAGCTTTCAATCGTCCTCAACGCAATAATGACGGAGGTGTGAGAAATGAGAAACTTTCTGTTTTTGCCCAAAGAGCACGACCATTTGGAGATCCTGTACGAGGAGAGTCGTTTTCCATAAATGACATGCAGGTAGCACATTGGTTCGTACTGAACAATTGTGATGAGATAATGGCATACTTAGATGAGCATGAAGAGATGATGAAGCGAGAACATCCATCACATTTGTATGCCACGAAACACCGTGAATTGTTTCCACAATGGTTTTTGGAAACTGTAAGTTAAAAGTGTTTTGTAATTGAGATATATATTGTATTATTTAATGTTCTCAAATTAACATGTGAATATTTTTGTATAATATTAGGTCAACAAGTTGAAATCATCGAATTCCCCCACTTACAGTGAAGAGTTATATAACTTGGCGTTCGGCCCGATTCGGGCTGAATTGTTCTCGGGTTGCCATGTTAACGGCATCAAGTTTTTAGGGGCTGCACGAGATGACAAGTTGTGTACGCAAAACAGCGGTGTCCATGTCCCAGGTGGAGGCGAAAGTACGGACATTGATTTCTATGGCAAACTCACAACTGTTGTGCAATTGCTTTACAAAGACCGATACCAAGTGATCATGTTTAAGTGTCGATGGTTTGATACAAACCCAAATAGGCAGGGAAGTGTTAAAATCGACCATGGCTTAATATCAGTGAACATTAACAGAACTTGGTATGATGACGACCCTTTCATTTTGGCAAACATGGCAAAACAGATTGTGTATCTAGATGACCCTAAAGCCGGGAGCGGTTGGAAAGTTGTTCAGCATATGGATCAGAGGAACGTGTATGCTATACCAGAACTAGACCCAACTGACAATGACGTCACTGACCACGACGTCACTGACCAACGTTTGGAGTCTTCCATGGAAAATGATGCAGAAACACTTCGAGATACAAATGTTATACAAGAACCATTTCAGGTTCAAGGAGTGTCTTCAATCGAGATACCGATTCAGTCAATTACAATTGACCTCGGTGATCTTCCGCGATATGATGTTCCAGTGGGCCCAAACTACGAAAGTGATGAGGAGGAGGATTGGGAAACCGAAAGTGATGATAGCGACGATAATGAAGGTTATTATAGTTCAGATGATGAATAATGCAATTTATTAGTGACTACCCATGTATATAGTAAAATCAATTTTGTGTATTTTAATTATGGTAGTGTAAAGATGGCAATCACAAATAAAAATCAAGTTGCACACAATTTGAATTTGACTATTTTAATCACAAATTTAATCATATAATATATACATTGAATCTAACTATTTGAATTTAAGTGGTATTTATGAATATAAGAATTAGGGTTTTCTCTTGTTGGAGTTGAAACTATTGAAATTGAAAGAATACAAAAAATTGAAACAAGCATGAAAAATTTGAAAAATTAAAATCAAGAATTCATCTCTCTTCGCGATGTTCCACGCTTGGCTACAGCCCATGTGATTTTGTCCTTCTCTTTCTCAAGATGTCAAACTTTGTCATTGCAAGTCATAAAGTTAATTAAAAACTCCCGTTTAATAGGAGAAAGTTCATTACTCTATTATTATATGATGAAAACCCCCCTTTTTTAATAGGCAAGATATAATTTTTGCCTACTTCAAACAAGTTTCCAGGTTTTTTAAATAATAGAAACTATTTTAAAATTACATTTGAAAATTTAAAATATTTTTCAAGACCATAAAAGAATTAAATACTACATATTCAGTCATTTCATAAATAAATTTAAAAAATGTAAAACTAATTCTTCACAAAATAAATAATACTAAAAACAAAATACAAATTACAGAAATTGAATTAAACTAAAATATTTTGGTTTTCCGAGAGATTTGCGCGACGGAATTAATTTCTACGTCGCGCAAGTTGTCCACATTTCCCGCCTTTCCCGTTAGGGTTTAGGATTTACGGATTTATTTATGGTAATCTTGCGCGACGAAACTAATTATCGTCGCGCGTAGCGCATTTGCGCTACGCAATTAATACCTTTGTCGCGCAAGATGTCGAAATTTTTGCCTTTGGGTTTGTTTGGTTTTTTTTTAGTGTGGTTGCAACTTGATCAGAAATTGCAATGTAGAAAACGAAAACTGCAATGCAGTTTCCGTTTCCGTTTTAGTACTTTCATCATGGTTTTGCATTTTGGTTCCTCACTTATTAATATATTTATTTTTTCCCATACTTTGCAGTGCAGTTTTTGTTCCCATAATTGCATTGTAGTTTTTGCTTTTTATTGTGGATTGTTTTTTTTTCACTTTTTGGTGCAATTATCCTAAGGCAAGTCTGAAAAGTTAACATATCTTTGGTCTAAAAATGTATGGGTTTTCAGATATTTTATTGTCGATGGCAGAATTGTGACGCCATGAAAAAATGTTGTTAACAAGGCAGACCTTGATTAGCATGTTTATCATAAATGCTGGTCCCGATTTTAGAATGCTTGAAGGAAAAGAATTTTGTCAATATATTAGTCTTCTTGTTTCAGTGTAGTGAAGGTCTTTGCAATAAATTTAGTATGTGTTATGTTTTGTTGGTGTTTTTGGTTTAGTGACTTTTAGTCTCCTTGTACCCAAAAATAAAAAATAGGTCTTTTTTCCTTTTCAGTTTATGGTTGCTTATGTTAGAGATAGTTTAGTGAATTTCCAAAAACGCAAAACCATGATGAAAGTACTAAAACGGAAACGGAAACTGCAATGCAGTTTCTGTTTTCTGCATTGCAGTTTCCATTTAATTACAATTGGCTAAATTGTTTTATCATTGGATATTGGTAGGATTTTTGAAGTTAATGGAAATTATGCAATTGTGTCATCAATGGATATGTCTTTTTGACTTTGTTTAGTTGCTTGTTTTCATGATGGCTTTGATTTTTGGTTTTTTTTTTGTTGGTGTGGTTGCAACTTTTCGCAGAAACTGCAATGCAGAATAACAGAAACTGCAATGCAGAATAACAGAAACTGCAATGCAGAATAACAGAAACTGCAACTTGATCCGTTTTAGTACTTTCATCATAGTTTTGCATTTTTGGTTCCTCACTTATTAATATGTTTATTTTTTTTCCCATACTTTGCAATGCAATTTTTGTTTCTATAAAATTAGTTTCTGTGTTATTTTATTTTATTTTATTTTATTTTTTTTGTAGTTTGTAGTTTTTTTTTTACTTTTTTGCTTTTGTTTTTGTTTACATCATTGATATCTACATTTTTTTTGTTTTAAAATCCCACTTAAATATGAGAAATTTTGGTTTTTCTAGAAACTGCAGTGCATTTTTTGATCTTCTTCTTCTATTCCACTACCCTTAGCATTTAAGCCATTAAAATATTACCTTGCGCGACGCCATTATTTTTGCTGTCGCGCAACACATCATTGCGCGACGACATTTAGTTTTTCGTCGCGCAAGGTTTCGAAAATATAGGCGGCCCTTTGTGAAAAAAATCGCGGTTTTTTATTTTCGTTATCGTCTCCAGATTCGAACCCTAGCTCGAACCCTCTCAGACTTCGAACCCTAGCTCGAACCCTAAACTTCGATTTCGAACCCTCGAACCCTATCAGGTTGAAATCCCCGTTGAACCCTCTCACCCTCTCAGACTGAACCCTCTCGCCTCTTGCCCTCTGCTTCGAACCCTCTGACCTCGCACCCTCTCACTTCGAACCCTCTCAGTTCCCTCCTTCGAACCCTCTCAATTCCCTCATTCGAACCTTCGAACCCTCTCACACCCTCTGAGCTCTCTTATTCGAGCCCTCTCAGACCCTCTCTCATTCGATCCCTTTCGTCAAATTGCTCGATTCTCAGGCTCACTCTCGCATCTCAATATCAGGTATATCTCCTCTTCCTCTAATTGCTCTGGATTTGAATTTTGAATGAACAAAATTAGGGTTTTTTTTTGTCCTAATTAAAATTTGGGTTTCATGAAATTATTTAGGAATTCGTTTTTAATTGCGCTGTATTGTTTAGGTTCTGTTATTTGATGGAAATTAATTAGGGCTTTTGTAATAATTGGGTTGTTTTTAGGTTCTGTTGTTGGTTTGCATGTATTGTTTAGGTTTTGGTGGATGTGATTGTGAATGTTGATTAATTGGGGGATTGGGGCTTTGCTGGAAATTGGGACTTTTGCTGTTTAAGTGGCTGTTTTTAGGTTCTCTGTAGGTGATTCATTTGCTGCTTGGTGTCAGATTATGCATTCCGTGTTGCTGATTAGATGGATTGTTTTTAGGTTCTTTTTTCGGTGTTATGCTGTTCAGTTCTTGAATGATGATTAATTGGTTATGTTTCTGCTGCTTCAAGGTTATCATTGCTGGTTACATTTTGGTGCATAAATGGTAGAACGGTATTATGCTGGTTATAGTTTTGTTAAACTGCATGTATTGGTTGCTGCTATTAGTTGTACAATGTAGCAAACTTTTCAGTTTTCTCTCTTATTACGGTTTTACGCATTTTCTGATGCACGAGCATGTATTAGGATAATTTGTTTTCCTATTTGTTTCATTTCTTGTTTAGGTTTTAATTTTGTTTGTCAATTGCGGTTTCTTATTAAACTAGGAACATGAATGCTTGGCTGGTTAATACATAAGCAAATAGATATGTAAATCTGTTATATTATTTAGATATGTAATATATATATGCTTAGTCTGAAGGTTGGTTAGGATATGTTGTGTTCTTCAATTAGTTCTTGCTTGTTCCGTTGTGCAGATGTCAAACCTAATTAGAAGTCGTAAGGCGGTGTCGGCTGCACATAGTTCGCCTCCCCTGTCGCAGCCATCAGTTGCCACAGCTCCAGCAGAGATGGACCACTTTCCAGTTGGTCCAAGGGTGTCCGATGCGCCGACGTCATCAGCGTCGTCAGTGGCGCAACCTGTTAGCGCCAGGCGTCGTCATCGCCCACCCAGCACCTCTGACACCATATCGACAGACGCTTCTGCTGGGTCGGGGTCACAATCCGGTAAAGATTTCCTTCACCTCCAGTTCTTTTGGACCAATATTTTCTAGTTGCATATCTTATTTATTTAATGTTGATTTCATATTTCTTTGCAGCGAAGAAGAACACTCGGGGACCGTGTCGGCAGTTGAAGACGGCGAAGGTCACCCGGGTGACCAACAGTCGTATCAACATTGAATACGACGAGCGGCATCGGGCAGCCTCGACGGCGGAATTGCATAGCTCTTTGGCCCACGACATTGGTCATGTCGTTCGGACCCATTGCCCTATGCAATGGAAGTCTTGGAAGGTCATACCTGACGAGGTCAAGATGGAGGTGCGCGAACATTTGTCGGTATGTATCCTACATTTTATTTGTTTGTCCTTCAAATTTTATTTATTTATATGCCTGGTCTATAATGAATTTATTGCAGACGAACTACAACTTAGAGGACCTCGATGATGAGTCATCGGCGTACGTCAATAGACTTTTTGGTGAGAGGTACAAGCAGTGGAAGAGCGACTTGCACCACCATTTTCAGGCATTTGATGATCCGCAAGTCGCTCTTGAAGAGGGTTGCCCGACGGAGCTTGAGGGTCGGGAGGATAGTTGGGCGTGGCTCTGCGCTCATTTTCTGGCACCCGAATATGTGGTATTTTTATTTTTATATTAATTGTTCAAACTTATTACATGTTTCTTACTAATGTTTATTTAATTTCTTCTATTTCATTTCAATTTCAACTGATACGTTTATTTTTTGTGTAACAGAATAAGGCCACAGTAAATAAGGGCAATAGGAAGAAGAAGACTCTTCTCCACCATTCAGGTTCCAGGCCCTTCTCATATAGGATGGACGCACGACGACGGGTAATAATAAATTATTTTTATATCCAATTTTGAATATGTAATTAATATTAATTTTTATTTTTCGTACTAACATTTTTCTTGTCTTGTTCAATTCAGGCGGGGTCCAAATTCCCGGAGATCGACGTCTTTGGCGACGTTTATGTTCGACCTGGGAATGAGTTGGCCGAGTCCATTCATGTAAGTATTCTTTAATTTTAATTATTATATACGCATTCAAGTGTCATGGTTAATATATGAATGTTTTAATTCTGTAATTTTAATTAAACAGACGACGATGGTGGAGAGGAGCCAGTTGGTTCTTCAGGAGTCTGCCTCCCAACTTCCTCCCGATACTCCGCTCGAGTCTGTGCATCCTCCACAGGATGCGGGGTTTCAAATCTTGACGGAGACGTTGGATCAGACTCTCGGGAGGAGGCCCGGGACATATTGTCGAGGGATGGGGAATGCCCGGCGGCGGGAACCTATACCCCGTTCATCGTCGCAGTCAAACGAGGTGACTGCTTTGACAGCGACGGTGGCCGAGCTTAAGGGTCAGATGTCTATGATTCTAGAGTCCCTTGCTCGGTCAGGCATTCCAATCCCGCAGTTTGGTTCCTCCTCGACCTCCGAGCCCCCCCAACCTGGCTACCAGACATCTACCCCTGCCAACAATGCCCAGACGTCCGAGCCGCATCTCGCAGACGACCACGTTGATTTTGGAACTTTATTCGATTAGTTTTTTATTTGTTATTACATTTTAACAATTTTTCTTGTAATTACATTTATATTATTTTATAACATTTCTTTACTGCAATTTTCTTTTATTGAAAAAAAAATTAAACCAAAATTTAAATTTAAATTAACAAAATAAACCAAAATTTAAATTTAAATTAACAAAATAAAAGAAATGGAAAATTAAATTTAAATAAAAAAATATTTCTTTTTGCGCGACGAAAACCATTTCGTCGCGCAAATTAAAAATTAAAATTAAAATATTTTTATTTTTGCGCGACGTAAAATATTTCTGTCGCGCATATTCTTTTGCGCGACGAATATTTTCCGTCGCTCAAAGATTGCGTAACGAAAACTTTTTCGTCGCTCTAACTTTTGCGCGACGAAAATTGCACGACAAAAATGTCCCGTCGCGCAAATTTTGCGTAACGAATATATTTTCGTCGCACAAATGTTTGCGCAACGCAACATACTGCCGTCCCTGCACATTTTGTGCGACGAAGGCTAATCGTCGCGCAATTTTGCGCGACGCATGGAATGTTTTGGTCGCGCAATGTCTTTCTTCACGAACTTCGCGCGACGGATGCTGCGCGACGACAATTCCGTCGCGCTTAAGTTTTTGCGACTACATCCATCTTTGCGCGACGGAATTGTTTTCGTCGCGCAAATAGGAAAACGTAGTAGTGGATACGACCTGCTAAATATGACTAAATAACCCAACCTTAGTCCACCCCAAAACTCGCTTGTTGACATTACCAAATGATTATAGATTTTTAGGCGAATTATATACGATTATAATCGAGTTGGGTTAATGTTGAGTTCTTAAAACACGTTCACTATTTGTGTACACAAAACGACTCGTTAGCATGAATTGACACCCTAAACAATGCTGTCATGGTTCAATAAAATATGCCATGACACAAAGTAATCTCTCCCTAATCCCAATGCTTTAGGGCAACATACCTTTATTTTCCTTTCTCCACTCTCTTTTGGCCCCAGCAAAAGTTTGATGTAAGAACTTCACACAATCAGGATCTCATGATTCAAAAAACTCAAAAAGATGGCCCACAATATGAAGGCAGAGGAAGGAATTATTGGCTTCTTTTCCTTTGATGTATCCAGCTATTATATTCACTAGGGTTTTCAACCATCATGATGAAGAAAGATCCCTTCCATTTGAAAACTGAAATGAACCCAGAGAAGGGCACAAAGTACTTACTTGCCAAGCACCTCTGTGTATCTTTAAGCAATCTTTAGCTCATAGTTCTATGGTACACACAAGTCTAGAAAGAGAGGAATCATTAACTTTCATTTATTTTTTAGGGTATACAAACCATGAGCTTTAATTGACTGTGTGTTGCATGATAAAAATATATAAAATCATTAAAAGCAAACTCTCATTGCAACAGAACATTAGCACTGATGATAGTGATCTAAAAAAGTTGGAAATTTTTTATTTATATTTGTAATCTAAGAAATTGTACAATTTTGGAGCGTTTGATGTTGCGTATGAAGTGAGTTATGTTTGTATAAAGCCAACTTTGGAAGACATGCTGATTTTTTTAAGAAATGATAAACTTTTTAATTAAAAAAGTGAGGTGCACTAGAATGTTGGGTGAACTCACAGAAACTGTTAATTAGAGGTCTAATTAAATACTGAGTTAGTAAATGTCTCATATATGGATCTTCATATTAGCCACATGATTCATCTGAATGGTAACTTCACTTAAGTTTAATAAAATGATCTTGCGACTAATATAGAGATTCACATGAGGAATCTAAGAGGGGCTCAAATTCAAGCCCAAAGTGTTCAAACCCATTTTGTGGATCAAAAGAAGGGTGATCCTTAAGACATGCAAAAATAATTTCTTAACACCCAAAACAAAACAGTTAAAAGACAAAAAGAAAAAAATATATATATTCAGCAGAATTAAAAAATGTAAAAGAACTGCACATAAAAAAGATAAAACAGAAGACTGAGCCCCTGCCAAGCAGAAGACATTTCCATGCGTACAATCTTGATTACTTGTGCAGAGAGACTGCTGAATTTGGTGGGCTGCATGCATACAAATTGTTTGGGCCAACCACCATTTAAATGATATATAAGCTTGGGCAAATGGCCTCTTCCAAGTTTTGGGCCTTACCAATTCAACCCACTTAAATATCCGTAACTCGAATTCATATTAATAAGGGCAATTTAGTATTTTCATAGAACTAGCTAAGTTCCTAGTCAACTAATTAATTCTTACTCATCAAGTTAAACCTTCTGTCTTAGGGGTCTCAATTACGGAAAATTTACAAGGAAAATAGTTATTTACATTGACACCTCTTAAGATTTTTAATGTGTTATCACAAAATTCCTAAGTTTCGAAAATTATATTAAAAACTTTTTCTGTTAGTTTTTCGTCCAAAAGTTATTTATATCATAAAACTAAATTTCTCCAAATGACAAAAACAACCTCAAAGAGTAGACCGTAGTGGCATCTATGAGGTGTGGCTTACTGGAATTTCTTGAGGGCTGCATGGATAGTATATGTTAATTTTTTTTTACTTTGGGTAGATTGTACAACTTCTGTGAAATAAGGTGTAAAGCCAAAAAATTAGTAGTGAATTTGTTTTTTTAATCTCAAACCTTGCACTAGCTAGGCTAGGGCTATCTTATCCTTAGTGTAGTCTCACTCTTGGTGTAGATGCCTCTATAGAGCGAAATGCTTTTTGAGATTCGAAGATTTTCCTTAGTTTCTAAAATGGTTTTAAAAGCAAGGAATGGAGACCTAAAATGGTTTTTTTTAGCTTTATAAAGGAATCCAGATTCTCTATTTTGATTTCTCTGCAAAAATATGTTTGAGTTCTATTATTCTTCGCATGTCATTTCGTTTAAATATCATCTCTTGACTAAGAAATTCACCACTAATTATATCTTTAAAAATAAATTCAAACAAAGTAAACGTTTTTTTTCTTCTCTTTGAACTCCCAAGTTCGTCTGATATTCTAATGGTATCACCTTTTTTCACTTTTTATTTTATTTGTTAATTTATCAAGTCTGGTGTTAAAATTGATTTTTCACAACAGCTGCCGTAGGTTTCATTGTGAAAGATATGCTGCCAACAGTGTTTCTTCAGAATTGTACTGCACGGATTATATGTTTTTGGCTTTGATATCCAAAGTCAATGAAATAAAACATGATCCTAGGAGCATCCATATGTGTATTTCGGGGATGGCAAAATAGATTGAAAATATCGTTCAAACGTACCAATGTCGCTTTGAAAACAATGTTCTCTCAACTGAACCAAATACTAATTTTATTATATTTTCAGATATTAATAATTTTCACGAGTCCCGCTTGAGCCCCACTTGCGCTGCTCGAGCGCTTGCGTCCGCTCGAGTATGAGTTATGTCGCTTGAGCACCTATGCCTAGATGAAAACCTTCCCTCTACCGTTCGAGTGCCAAAGCCCAGACAATACGTCTTCGACTCGTTTAACTGCCCGGTTCCTTCAATCCTTCCGCATCTTTATGTCACATCCCAGGATCAGCTCCGCCGTAGCACAATATTGTCCGCTTTGGGCCTCCTCTCTCTGCCCTCACGGTTTTGTTTATGGGAGCTCACAAGCAACTTCCCAGTGGGTCACCCATCCTGGGATTGCTCTAGCCCCAACTTGCTTAACTTCGGAGTTCCCATGACTCCGAAGCCAATGAGCTCCCAAAAGACCTCTTACTAGATAGAGGCAGGCATGTACATATAAGGCACATTGCCCTCTCTCTGTTGATCGATGTGGGATGTAACACTTTAAGTGAGCCAACATCAACAAATGACATGGTCGATTGTGGTGATCGACATGCCCTCATTCGTCAAAGAGCTACAAAACTAGTGGAGCAAGTTAAATCAAGCGGTTTCGAAAAGAAAAAAAAACACTTGTTACATGCCTTCTAGAAGGCCCTAGAGGCAATTGTAAATCTGCACTCTATAGTGAGGGCCTTATCTAAAGCCCTTAAATGAAGCCCTATCCCTATTGGTTTGATCCAATGGTTAAGAGATAGGGCATCATTTAAGGGCTTTAGATAAGGCCATCACTATAAAATGACTCAACACAATTGATACCAATTCGAACCTGAGACCTAGTCTGCAAGTTAAGGCCATTTTCCACTAGGCTATACCTCATTGGCAAACTATCACTTGTAAATTTTTTTTTTTTTTTTTTTTTTTTTTTTTTTTTAAAACACAAATTCATATTCATAAAGGTAATTTAGTATTTTCCTAGAACTACTTAAGCTCCTAATCACTCAATAATTACTTATTCATCAAGTTAAACCTTCTCTCTTAGGCGGCTCAAACAAGAAAATTTTACAAGTAGAGTTATTTACATTTACACCTCATAATATTTTTGGTGTGTTATCGCAAAGTCCCTAATTATATTAACAATTCTTGGGGGTTTCAAATTGTTTCTGCAAACAAAAATTCATTAGTTTCCGTCCAAAATTTATTGATATCATAAAAATATTTTCTTCAACGGACAAAAGTAACCTCAAAATTACGTTAGTGGTACCAATGAGGTGTAGCATATTGGATTTGCTTGGAGGCTGCATGGATGGTATATTTTATTTTTTTGTGAAATAGTAGTGACCTTGCACTAGTCTAGGGCTATCCTATCCTTTCTACTTTGATTTTCTCTACTAGGATGTGCTTCACAATGACTTCTACTTTGATTTTCTATACTTTGATTTATATATAACGAAGGGTATATATTTGTGCAGACTAAAATACCAATTGTTAAAAGCAAATCGATTTTGAACTGTCCAATGTAATGAGAACTTGAACTGACCATTGTTATAGTGTCATAGAACCAAAATTATAATAAAAGTTCAAGTAAAAAAATAAAATAATGCATTGCGCATGAGAAAATTACTAATCTATCTATCTAGTACTATTGCACCAAAATGGTTAGGGCAAATCGCAACAGCAGGTGTGGGAGGGAAGATATTATTGTCAGGAGGAAGGAGATAGAGTGTAGGCCACGCCTTGGTCAAATCACACACTTTTCGAACCTCTGCACTGCACGGCCCCCTACCCTTCTGTCTGTGTCCTTGTCTTGTCAGAATTTTCTTGAGATTATAAGGGTTCTTTTGGACAAACAAAAGACCCCCATAAAAGGAAGGAAATTCAAGCACTAGTTACTATCGAGAAAGAAGAAAAGAAGAAATCTTTTCTCTGAGTCTGAGCAATAGAAATCTGTGTTTGAGAGATGACGACAAATGAATTTGAGTTCGTGAATATTAAGGTCCTCTCCTCCTCTCCACTATCGTTTTCGTTTTCGTTTTCGTTTTCTGTAATGCATAAAAATGAAGCCTCTTGTTGTACTTTGGTTGTCATCTTTACTATCCATTGATTTTTTGCTTTCACTTTGTTGGTTTTCTTTGTGCTGTGTTTCTACAGACACATTCTCTCAAAGTACACATTAACTGTGAAGGATGCGTGCAGAAAGTTAGAAAACTCCTCAGGAAGATCGAAGGTTCTAATAAGTTCTAACTTTGAGCATGCCCTATTTATGTGTTTTTAATATAGATTTTACCTTTATCTTATTTGTATGACTGCTAAAAGCTAACATGTTTTTTGCCCTAATGTTTATATATATGCCAATCCGTTTCTTTTTTTCCCTTTTTTTTCTTTTTTCTGATGGTACGATGAGCATCAAGAAGCCTTCGTTTGAGTGGCACTTCTGTGTGAATATCTGAGTTTGTGATTCTCTATTCTGTGTATAATGATTTTTCCAACTAAGCCTGGGCCCCACATCAGATCTCAGTTTTTTACATTGTATGTTTCTGTTGGGTAGTGAGACAGAATATATTTCTGCTTTACCATTTATCTCAGCCGGTTTCCTTTTGAATCTATTTACATTAATTATTTATCTACTGGTTCTGCCCTAACTTACTTTTAATGTTTAATTGAATTCAGGTGTCTATAGTGTACACATAGATGCAGAAGAACAGAAGATCACAGTCACAGGAAATGTAGATTTTGCTACTTTAATCAGAAAGCTGGGCAAAGCTGGTAAACATGCAGAGCCTTGGTCTCCAAGTTCCAACCAAACAAAAGCTCCTATGAATGGCCTCTATTTAGCCTCTGAAAATCAGCTTTTGCTCCCACCCTTCTTTGGCGGTGAAGGCCAACATGGCTGGGGATCTGGTAATTTTGTGGATGGAAATGGAAATTTGATTGGTGCTGCGCATCACGGAAAATTGCAGGGCAATGTTTTTCCCATGATGGGCCGTACGGGTTTTCATGGCAATGCAGAAGGGCTTGAATTTCGTGGCCTGCAAGATTTCTCTGCAGGATTTCCAGCAGTAGGTGAATATGGTCATTCGAGACCTGTGATGTTGACCAACTCAGAAGGGTACCCTCACACTAATTTTGCACCTGCCTTCATGATCCCACCTAACACTTCTGCGGCTCAGTATAACGCTGGATCAGCAACACCCTCTGGTATCTACTATTAGATAGATGTGTACTGGTCTCTTGTTCTATATATATGCGGAAGAAACATTATTGGTTTTGGAGTTTAAAAAGGGACATAAATTAATATATATATATATATATATATATATATGTTCTTTAAGGAATGAAATGATACTTGTTGGACTGAATTCACTCATCGGCCTAAATCTCGACATGTGTCCGAGATTCGGCCTAAATCTCGACACGTGTCCGAGATTCGGAAAATACCGTGAGGACCATGAGAAGTTCTTCTGTCTCACTTTGGAAAAATCCAAATGGACCAATTCTTCCCTACAAACGGTTGAATACAACTATGTGTTTATTTCTCTTATCATGCAAATTAGCACCCTATGAGAGTGATAACCACATTATTAAATACAAATGTAAGCCACAAGCATAGATCGCATTTTATTCTGAATGAAATGATACTTGCAAGACCGAGATTCACTCATCGGACCACAAGAAGTTCTTCCATAGGACAGGGTTTTTATGGGACCACAGTCCTCACACAATAAGGTCAGTAGTACCACTTCCAGGGAGAATAGCTTTCGTGGAATTGAACAAAACAAAGAAAGCGAAAAATTATCAAAGCATCTACAACATGCACTCTACCGTTATACCTCTGTACTTTGTTAAGAAATAAATGTAACAATTTAATACAGCATCAATAGTATTGTTGCAGACAGTTTTTTTCCCAATAATTTTGAAAAACATACCATATTGTAGAAGAAACATAACTCAAGAGGTTCGGTACAGGGTACCAATCGCCTCAACATCATTTCTCAGTAGCCTCTAGACCCTAACTCCTAATTGATTTTTCATCCTGACTTATATCATATATACAGATCAGCATGTCACCGAAGAAAGCATACAACAATAGTCCTCACAGAGTTTCCAAGTAGGGGGGTGACTATAAAGATCCGGTTACCTGTAGTCTATAGGCAGATCAATTCTCAGGCAAACCTGTCAAGACTAAACTATGGGAGGTGAACTGCATTTGGTGTACTGTTTTACACTTGGTCACTTACAAGGTCAATTTCCAAAATCCCTAACATGCGCATAATGACAGCTTAAGTGACATTATTAGTTGAGTCCTGTACTGCAACCTTAAGAACGAATAATTCAATCAAGGGCAATCTGCAGTGAGTTCTGTGGTATTCTGTATACATACTTCTAAGTTGAGTTGCCCAGACGAAGTGAAGAAACAAAATGGAACCAGAAGAAAATCCATTTGGGGGAACCCTTCCACCCGGCCTGGAAAGTTTTGTGTCACTGATTTGAATCTGAGAGAACTGTTTCCCCGTCCTGATACTAGGTTATATGCGAACCTTTCTTCTGAAGAAATTGGTCTGATTGAAGTTATCATGACTCTGTTTCCAATACTTTCTGTACCCTTGTTGAGGAGAAAGAGAGCGCCATCCTCCTCTGCTTGAAGAACAAGAAATTCTTCGTTTATCCCCAACGAGACAGCTAAAGGGGTGTTGTATCTGAAACGCCTTCCAGAATCCCAATGCTTGCTGCTGAAATGCAGTGACAACTGTTCAGATGAGCTAACAAAGTTGCAGTCTGGAAGGGGGCATGAACATGGTCCATAGATGCATGTTTCTTCATGGTCATTATTCTTCATATAATCCACTATTTCATCACACCCATAATCTCTGTTCTGGCATTGTTTTCTGACTGATTCAACTACTAGTTCAATCTCACCACACACTATGTCCTTATTCCTAACAAACACTAGCATATTTTCCTGTAGAAATAAACAAAATGATTGCTGACAATGTCATAAGATGATGCGGGACAAAACAGTTAAAGCTTCAAAACTGATGGTATAAAATTTACGACCTATTTATTTACTTGTGCAACCAAGACATCCTAGTGAATAAAATTATTATTTTTTCTTTGTCATTTTCTTTTCTCTTTAGATCCTATTAGATTAAGATCCTTCAAAGCCTGTATGATGAAGAAACCCAGAATTTACCACTTAGATTATCAGACATTGCAAATGTCCCACGAATTTCTGCTGTTACACTTACACTAACCCTGGGAAGAGATCTCTAACAAGGAAATCACCTTATAGGAAACAACAGACCAGGACGATGGATATAAAAAATATATAAATTTGCTATTTCTATTTTTGTTTCCTTTTCTTTTCTTTTCCTCAAACTTTCCATGGCAGGATGATCTGTATTTCTTTACTACTTTTTTTTTTTGCAGTCAGGGTCATCTGTTACTTCACCAATATGTACACGAAATACACAGAGAAAATATCAGAAAAGCTTAAGAATGACTAACAGATAAAATCATCATTACCTCCTCCAAAGTAAATTCACCAATCTGTTCTTCAACCTATAAAATATACAAACATAAGTATTTATGTAACCCTTTTCCTATACTTGATATATATTAAACAGTAACAAAAGAGTAAAAGGGACAGTGCAGTCTGTGTGTCCCTGTGTGTGTGTTTATCAGATGGTGCAACTGGAAAGTGACAAACAAGAAACCTCGTTAAGAGGCACTCCCAAAAACAATATATTAGCTTTTCGGGTTCATAATGTCAAGGAAGATATGTTGGTAAATAATTACAACAGAAAAAAGAGTTGGTTAGAGCTAAACATTTTTCTTCCCAGCTTGAAAATGAATGAAGCATAAATGTGGTTTCTTGTAGTCCATCCTTGAGAAAACAACAACCATGTCCCCAAGGGCATTGAACACTGTCTGCCCCGATACAGAAGACAGGACAAAGAATAACTATTTATGCAGAATTTACCAATATGCCACAAGTGTGAAGCCCTATATATATAACTATATCAAAGAAATCCCATAACAATAGTAGTTGTTGTTGTTGTTATTGCTGTAAGCTTCTGCCTAATGCTAAAATAAAACAATTTAGCATAATCCATCCGTCATTACCTGATTCTCCTTATGCTCAAAGGGAGCATCATGCTCAACCCCACTACTTATATTGCATTCTGGTTGCCTATCCAATTGACCTATAAACTCGCAAGAATCCAAATCAAAACACCTCTCCCTACATACCACCTGCAAAGGAGCAGCAAGTATAACAACCCCATAAATGGCTTAGTATCAAACTTCCAAAATGTAAATGTACCTCCCCACATCCATAACCACCAAGCTCTCTTTCCCGCTTCTCCCTTTCAGTAATCTCGTCCTCGCCCCATGAAGATAGGAATGGAACAACAGCAGGGGCCAAGGCATCATTTTCCTCAACAGAGATACTTTCATAATAAAAGAGCTGAGAAGATATAAGATTTCAGAAAATAAAGTTTGGTATGTGTCCAATAACTAAAATGAACGCATTTTTAAGAGTCTATTTTACCTGGAGAAACAGAAGACAGCCACCAACTGCACGTTGCTTCCCTTGATGAAAACGAGATACCTCACAAACTAGCCGGTCGAGTAAGAACTTCCCCCAATTATACTGGTGGACAACATCTATATTCGTCAAGAAGTGAAGGAATGAAGGGCTGACATCCAACCTTGCTGTTGGGGACAGAAGAGTGCCCAACGCATAGAGGACGAATGATCTCTTAAATTCCTCTCCTGCTTCAGGCTCTGCCAACCTCTCTTCTAGGAGCCTGACTGAAATACCATGATTTGTAGCATCATAACTGTGCCGCAAGTCTGCAATCAAGTCATCAGGCCCTGAGTTTACCACATCCTTCCCACTAGCTGCTAATCCCATCACAAGCTCGACATCTTTTGGTGTTAAAGGAATACGTTCTCCACAAATATCCAAGCTACGTTGTGTAGTGTCAAACCTCTCCAGTAGCCAAAGACACAAGCTGCGGCGGAGAGTTCGGCATCTAAGGTCAAGAAGGCTCCCAAAACCCATGCTCTTCACTGCAGCCCTTTGTTCAGTTGTGAGGCGTTGTATCACATTGAATAAGCGGCCAGGAGAGCATCTTGTGACTAGTTTAGCCTGCATTGTCAAAGCTGTAAGATTCGCCCAATCCAATGAACAAATAAACAACTGTCACCAGAAAAATAATTGGTACCTGCTTTCTTGGCTTAGGGGTACGGGTGGGGGCTGTACTCAAGTAGTTATCCCACACTTCACGAGCACGCATTGTGTATTTTGCTTTCTCCTCAAGGCTCATAGACTTCCATGCATCTGAAGCTGCCTTCGTGGCCTGAAATGAAAAGGTCACGATGCCTTATTATGTTTTAATTTTATTATCAAAGTAAATTACACACTGCTAAACATTTTGCAAGTGAACAGAAAGAGGCTCACAGCTTTAAGGCCAGAGGATTCAGGATGTGAAGCACTGTATTCCTTGATAAAGTCTCGGCTAAATAGTTGATTTCAACATTAGCAAGCCAGTACACAAGGAGAAAGAGGCATATGCTAATACAGAATGAATACAGGTGAAAGAAATTGATTGTTACCTAAAATACACCCATGAGCACGCAGGACGAGGAGTGGTAACTTGCTTCTTCTTCTTCCTTTTCCTCTTTCCTTCTAACACAACATTCTCTTCAGAATTTCTTTTTACCAACATGACATCTCCTTCACTTGACACCTAGAGGTTTGTATTTAGAAAAGAAGTATAAAACCAAACTGAAACAAACAGGCAAACAAATTTGAATTTCTGAAATATATGTAACTTTAAAAAAAAAGGTATAGAAGTAAACGTGTTTCTTATATAGGCAAACCAATACAATAAGGACAATTATCATGATTCATTCACTTTCCAAAAAAAACTTTGGATGTACCTATGGAAAAAATGACTTAAACAGCATAGATGATTGTAAAACCCAGGCTTACATTTTCAAAAGGGAAACTGTATGCATGCATGTCTCTATGTGTTTAAAGTTAATGATTATCTGGGATATTAATAATACTTCCAGAAGACTTCAGTTATGATGATGCCTGCAAAGACTCGCCACATTTTCATACACAGCACTGGCAGAAAGATTCAAAAACATCATAAATAATGTGATATAGGCAGTTTTTACAAATCTTAATCTATGTATATTGAATTTCCAGTATTAAAAATGTTCCTACGCCATTTATCCCTTATTCTCTGCTCCACCTCGAAAACAACATGTTTCCGTAAGCAGCAGGCCTACTGTGCATAATTTTGGAAGCAAGACACAGAGCAAGGACTAGGACATACCCCTTCCCCAGCACCACCACAGCATTGCTTAAAATGACAAACCTATTTTGTTCCAAGATCTATCAACCCATTGTTTACTGAGTGGAACAAATGTCTTTATATTCGGAGCATCATGATTTATCAAGTAGCTGTAATGTTCTTTAACATTTAATGTGAGGCTACTGCTTAGTTAGATCAGTAGAAGTTGTGAAAGTGTCTTCCCTTTGTTTCCCTAAAGAAGTCAGAAGTCTTAGATTTGCTCCACAAATTAAAAATTGAAACTTTACAGAATATAGGATGCTTAAAAGCAAAGTTAGTAGAATAGCAAGAGGTACAAAAACCCCATTGCTCAAGAATTACCCACAATAATGTAATTGGGTTCCAACTTCCAAGTATTCCTATTTATCTTTTGGCTAAAACTAACAACCTAATGCAATGCAATTCACATATCAAACAATCCAAACACATTCACAGTGTTTGCCTAAAAGGCTTACCAAATGCTTTTCTGGGTTCTCATGCAATTACAATTCTACCAATACCACACTATCTTAATTATACGAAAAACCAGTTATGAAGCAAACAACATCATACACCATTTATAATAGAATTGTGCAAAGTGTGAGAAGCCAAACCATTTTCGGAGAACTGGAGCCTGTGGTTGAGATCAAGTAGAGAGAACTGGAAATGCGAATTAAAGAAGAGCTAGGGTTTCAAGAGAGCGATGAGGGCTTGCTGAATTCCAGTGAGAATCGGAGGAGGAGGAAACGAAATGGATTTCTGTTTGCTATGGAGTTTCGTTTTCCTTTCGCATTTCTCAGCTGCGAAGTCGTAGCTTTTTGTGTCCTATGTGGTAAGCTGCAACGCTCTTCTTGAACTTTATTTTTTAGCTAATTAGACTTTCCACCCACATAGTTCTGGGCATATAATAGTTTGGTCCCTATCCTTTAAAATTTGATAAAACTCACACTCGTACAACAAATTGTTATATCATTCACTCTTCCGCCTGTCAGCTCAATGTTACATAAACTAATGAATAAGAACTTTTTTTTCTTTTTTCTTTTTAGAAAAATCTAATATGGCACCCACATAACCAAAAAATGAGTGCAAGAAGTGTCATGCTCAACAAAAAAATGGTTAACTTGATAGTTTGACATACGGATTGGAGGGTTAATGATATGAGACATTCTCCAATAAGTATTTAAGTTAAGGATTGGTTACATACTTCTAATTTTGGTCGTTGAATTGCATCTAAAAGCTTACCAATACATTTAATGAATGTAATCCAATGACCAAGATTAGAAATATGTAACAAATCCTTAAAATAAAATACTTATTAGAGAATCTCTCGATATGGAATAATAATTTGTAATTTTAAGGGTTGGTTTTGTCAATTTTAAAAGATATGGATCAAACTGTTACATGCCCCAAACCACAAAGTAGAACTCCTCATGTTTTTTAGGGACATGAAATTTATTTTTCGTTAGATGCTTTTGGAAACCATATACTTTTCCAATACCCATTTCATGTATAATTTGTAAGTAAACATTTTGTATATATTACTTGAAGGTGGTTGCTTTTTATATCATTTAACTGAGCATGTTAACCCTGTGAGAATGTGAAGGTAAAGAGTCCCACATTGAAAAGTTAAGAAACCTAGCAAGGGCTTATAAGGAGTTGGGCTACTCCCCCCATTGCCAATTAGTTTTTGGGTGGAACCTCAACTTCCTTCATGGTATTAGAGCGGGTTGCCCACGTGTGAACTCTCTTAGGAAAAGATTATTTAGTGCATATAATTCATCACATGCTATAATATTAATGCGGTGTATAAAATCAAATCCAAATTAGAACACGTGTACTAAATCTTTGGTTCAGTATTTTCAATAGTTTATTTCTTTTAATCAAAACCTGATGTCGTACACCAGATGTACTAAATAAACATTGCACGACTTATAAAAAATAATAAAATAAAATGTACAATCCAAAGCTGACAGGACGTATTACAAATTCTTATTTATAATTTAGATTCTAGGGTTATTGATCAAAATAGTCCCTCAACTATTGCTCTAGTATCATTTGGGTTCATCAACTAAAATTTTCATTTCAATGGTCCTTAAACTCTTCATTTTGTCAAACAAAGTAAGGCAAATATTCAGTTATGCTCAGATACACTCATATTATTATTCTTCTCCAATATGGAGGTATTGATATAAGTACAAAGATATGTTAACCCTAAATAAAATAGGAAGTATATCTAAATTACAATAGGAAGCAAATCTCTATTACAATAGGACTAAATAATAATTTGTAAGTAACCAAAATTATAATGAAATAAAGAACCAAAATCCTAACTAAGTAAGGACTCGCCAACACTCCCCCTCAAGTTGGGCAAAGATATTTCGCACGCCCAACTTGACAAGCGAGTCAGAAAACACCATACTTGAGAAGCACCAATTGTAGAGAAGGTCTTTTCGTCAACCACGAGTGAAACAAGTGACAAACTAAAGCAAAGTTCGCAATGGAAACACAAGAGCAGACCCTAAAAAATATGGCACATAGCAGAACACAAAAACTCTGTGAGGACGGCAATAGGTAAGGCAGAACACAGAAATCCTGTGAGCACGGTAGTAGATAAGGTAGAACACAGAAACCTTGTGAGTATGACAGTAGGTAAGGCAAAAACCAAACCCTAAAAAAATAGGGTAAGGAAAGGTAAGGCAAAGCATGGTAAGGCATGGCAAGGTAAAGCTAAACCTTGAAAAAAATAAGGTAAGGTAAGGCAAAGAAAGTCAAGAGCAAAGGCAAGGTCAACAGGCATGACCACAACGAAAACACACCAGCAAAGGCATGAGCAACAACACTGTCACCAACAACAGCAATACAAAGCACTGGCACCAGAAAGAGCAACAAGGCAGGGACATAACAGGCATCATCAACATTGTCCCCAGCAACAGTCATAATAGGCAGGAGCAATAACATTGTCCCCAGCAAGAGACCCAACATGTATGAGCAACAGTACTGACACCGGCAAAGGACATAGTAGTCAACATCAATAACAATGACAAATACTTCCATTATTACAGAGACAACTTCTCTTCACTCCCCCTCTCCCCCTAAAGAGAATGGGTCGTCGAAACCATAAGAGAAGTGGCAGTTAAAAAACATAAGCTAACTGACGCTCAGATGTAGAAGAATCAGCCATGGCAGATAGGTAGCTGAATTGCAGCAGAATAGATGAGCAGTGGTGTCACTCCCCCTCAAATCTGACGATGTATGAGAGTCGAGATTTGGAGAAAGCAACATCGAAAAATAAAGTTGCAGCACCCAAATAAAGTTGCATCTATCTCCCCATCAAATCTGGCACTGGTAAAGGGTCGAGATTTGGAAGAAGATAAATTGAAATAAGTAAAGAGACTCAAACATGCCAATCTCGTGGCAGAAACAAATGCAAGAGGGGAAGGAGGTAGCATGCGGCTATCCCATGAAGAAAAAAGTTCAGAAAAGGAGAATAGTAAGGAAGGAAACCCAGCAAATCATGAACAGAGACAAAGACAAAGATAAGGTGCTCAAACGGGAATTAGAGCAAAGGACACCGAAAAAAGGAAACCCTTCATATGTGGAATAGGAATAGATAGAGTGCCCATCAAAGGAAAGCAATATTATATAAGGGAGCTGTGAAAGCGAGAGATAATGTAGTAAGAGAACAAAAAATGGAAAAGGTTGGTTAAAAAAAGCTGAGAAATAGAGAGGACATGAAAAAAGTTCGGATGCATAACAAGGGAAACCACATCGGTAGATCAAAGAGGAAGAAACTAAAGATATTAAAAAGTAAAGCATGGAAAATTGCATGTGACAATTTTTAAAAAGAAACTAGTGGAAGAAAGTGAGGTGCTAGAACCAAAAAAAATGAGAGACTAATGCTATGATTGAAGGAAAATAATGACAAAGGAAGGTGTCTGTGAGGAAATAGATAGACATAGAAATGGATGAATATTGGAAAGGGGCCAAAGGTAGAAGGAAATAAGCATAAGGGAAAAAAGGAAGGAGATAGAAAAATAAATAATAAACACCCAACGAGAAAGGCTAGAGTGACAGAGATGGAGCGATGGCGTGGGGAAAGAACACAACAAACACCAGCCATTGGGCATAGACAAACAAAAGAGATAAACATAAATAAAAGAGAGATAAACATAAATAAATATAGCTAAATAGAGCAAAGAGAGAAACAGAGAAATGGTGCTCAAAACTGAGAAGCGGAAAGGCAACTCAAGAGAGCAGCCGAAAAAGATAGAAACCAGCAGAACAATCAAAGGAATGGCTCGGCGAGCGTTGACGAGGCTCGCAGAGGAAAGCAACGGCTCAGTGAGTGATGACGAAGCTCACGGAGTAAAGAGACTTGTTATGAAGTTTCAAAGATAGAGAAGCTGAGACATTAAGAAAGACCATCTGGCATACAAAGATGAAAAATAAAAAATTTGGAACAGTAGCAAAGAAGCATGTGAAGGCTAGGTGTGGTGAAAACACATATGAGAGGATGAACAAAAGAAGATGACTATACAAGATGAAGACCCATGATGGGTTAGGAATGAGGAGTGCCAACGACTCTCAATTTGGCAGATGTTATTACAAGTTAGGAACCTGGCTCTGATACCATGTCAAACAAAGTAGGGCAAATATTCTATTATGCTCAGATACGCTCATATTATTATTCTTCTCTAATATGGAGATATTTATACAAGTACAAAGATGTGTTAACCCCAAATAAAATAGGAAATATACCTAAATTACAATAGGAAGTAAATCTTTATTACAATAGGACTAAATAATAATTGGTAAGTAACCAAAATTATAATGAAATAAGGAACCAAAATCCTAACTAAGTAAGGACTCGCCAACACATTTGGTATCAAAACGGTCCTACCGTTAAAGTCTATCAATTTTATTGTTAAATTGAGGGGTAAAAATGTCTCTATGAATTAAAATAGTAATATATAATTAAAAATTAAAGGAAATTATTATAAACTTAGAAAATTTTAAAAAATTGAATCTCTACCAAACACATGGCTTTTTTTTCTTTGTGAGATTGACCTAACAATTAATAATAATAATAATTCTCTATTGTTTAAATTAATAAATACAAAATAAAATAACAAATATTTTAAAAGAGTAAACAAACCCAGATTTATACAAAAACACTGCCTCACATGCCAACTCTGCAACATCCCCCAACACACCCCTCTGCTTATTCTCCCTCACGACCTGACCACCTCATCCCCACTCGCAACCCACAGCCCCAGCCCCAACCCCAAGCCCCAAGATTCTAATTTGGGCAAAAAAATTGAGGAAATGATATCACCCAAAACTCAAGAGCGAGGGACGCTGAACACACTCTACTTCTTTGGTTTGGTTTTCAAAAATTGTGTTGGTTGCTGTTTATGTTATTGTAGATGAGAAAAAAAAACAGAAGGGAGGTGAGGGAAGGGGAGAGCAGAGAGCTGAGATGGAGTTTAGTTTATATGGATGGTTTTACCCCTCAATTTAACCCTAAAATTGACAAACTTTGATGGTAGGACCGTTTTGATACCAAATGAAAAGTTAAAGGACCACTAAAATGAAAATTTTAATTGGTAGACCAAAATTATACTGGAGCAATAGTTGGAGGACCATTTCGATCAATAACCCTATATTCTATAACACAAACGTGGGTTAAGCTAGTTGGTCATGGTAGTATATGAGGCCCAACTTTTCTTCGAGTAGTGTGGGTTAAATCATTTCAATGAAGAGGCTATACTATCCAGGTTTAAAATGTGGTTCGTTGGGCCATGTGTAACCCAGTAAAGCTGAAAGATGCAAGTTGGCAACTAATGGTTCTCTGCTAACTTGATGAACAAAGAATATTACCTTTCCAGTTTAACTGTTTCTAATCACAACAAATTAAAACAGAAGCAGAGACCAAGAATAAAATGCAATAGAACCAGAGATTCAGCACTTTACTTGGTAAGCTTCATGTAGAAACATAATACAAATATTAATACCTTCAAAATAAAGATAAACAGAACTTGTTCTTAACCATTTTAATTTACCTTCAATCTTACGACAAAAATGACACTGATTGAATTTAAATGCAATCCTAATTACCAGTAGCAAATAATAATGCTTTACTTTGTCTGAAATCCTACTTTCTTTTTTCCTTTTAACATAATACACGATTTGGAATTCCACCTTCAACACTCAAACATAACTTTTCCAGTGTCGTTACGTCTTATCACGCAACAAAAGTATATACAGAAAAGATAGGTGCAGTAAAGCTACAACTCAGCACAAGTACCCATTTTACCAAGAGGTATAACATATGGGCATATACTGGTGTCTGGTTTGTGTGTGTGCAGTAAAATAACAAGATGTGAAGTCCAGAACAAGAAAAGAAAAAGGCATCTTTTGTGACATTTATAAATATGTAAAACACCAGATCCTTTCCAGCACAATGCCATTCCTTTGATAGTACAACTTATTTTAAGCAACACCAATACTTTGAAAGGATGCTGGGCATTGACCATTACGCCATATGCAGAGATCCATGTTGAGCTTGCCAGAACTGAAAAAATCACTAGGGATTATAAAGTAACCTGTTGAAGAAGGGCTAATAACCTGGCCTGCAGAGTTCTTTGTGAAGGACTGGAATCTGAGAGAACTTTCGTTGGTTTTAGCAAGAAGGTCATAGTAGAAGCCTCCCTTGAAGATGGGTTGAATACAACAAAGCGACACTAAATTTCCAAGTTTTTCAGCATGATTGTCAAGGATAAATAATATACCTTCCCTCTTTTCTTGGAGAACAAGAAATTTGTCCTTAATATTTAAGGTGATGGAAAAATTGATTCCATACAGGAAGCGTGTTGCATAATCCACATGACTAACGGTGAAGTGTAGGTATAGCTGCTTGCTTGAAGAGATAAAGTTGCAGCCTGAAAGGGGGCATGAACAAGGTGAATACATACATGCCTTTTCATGTTCATTTTTTTATTGTAAGTTACCATTTCTTTGCAGCCATGCTTGATGTTTTGGCATGAAATTCTAATTGATTCCAGAATCTTCTCAATGGCCCGGCAACGATTATAGCCAATGGGCCAGGAACAGGAGGGGCATTTATTTTTACTCTTGGTGCAGCAAGAGGAGCAAGCTATATGCCCATTTTCACACTGAATTTCCAAGAAAGCATGCAAAAGTTAGCAGGTTAAATGAATAAACTTAAGACATGAATGAAGAGCTTGGATAGCAGGATAGAAATAGATAATGCAGATCTTGAGGATATACCTAGACTCTTTGGTTCAATTTCATAGAAGTAATGTAGCAGGCTGTTTTAAGAATGGTTCAGATCATAAATATCAAAGATCACTAACCCTATGATACTTACATTATTAAGGTTATGGCTCTTGCACTTAAAAAGGTTATTAAAGAAAAATAAAACAAGAAACTTTAGAAGCGAACATCCTGTATAATTTTTTTAAAAAAATAATCAATGTTGCCATAATGTTGAAAGAAGAAAACTTCAATTTGTAGGCAATACTAGACTAAAATGTTGTGATAATTGTTTGCCATGTTTGATAACTGAAAAATTCACCCCAGAAAATGCAGATAAAAAAACAAATATGACTAATTATATTTGATACTGATGCTTCTCAATCTAAGCTGCCGAGAGACAAAGCAAACCAATATAAGGATTTTCTTGAGCTTAAAAGTCAAACTCAACAAGCTAAAGAACCAAAGAACTCCATAGTTTGTTAGCTTCATATATCTTGCGAAACTGTCTTCACACTTGGCAACAATTACAACATGCCTAGAATTATAAAACAAAAGACTTGAGTTTGACTAGGAGATTTCCAACACTGAGAAAAACATAAACCACACAAGCACACATGAATGTGAAACTTTATTTGGGAAACGCTCCATGTGTGAAGGACCACGGCGTTGTCAGTTGTGGTGTACAAGAGTTTGCGTAGGCTTATGACTTAGACGAGAGACCAAAAGGTCCTATTTCTAACTAAAAGGCAAATGACAAAGGGGAATAAACTTTTGAATTATACTAAACCCTAAGAGTTGGGGTGCAAAATCTAAAAATCAGCTTGCGAACCATAAGTTTCAAAGTAGGGCCTGATTAAACAATTGTGCCTAAATGCATGGGAGAGGGAGGTTGATGCGGACATCATTAGTTAGTTTCCTGATTTATTAGTTTCCAGATTTCACTAGGATTTTAGTTTCCAGATTTTTAGTAGGATTTGATTTAAGTTTCCTAGTTTATTTTTACTTAGTTCCTTGGTGGATTAGGATTTCTGTTTTAGTAAGGGATTTTTATCCTATTGTCTCTAGGTTTTAGTTTGCTATAAATAACCCCCATGTAGTTCTTTAAAATTCAGTTGTTGAGATATAAAGAAAAGCTTATTTTCCAGAGATTGGAGACTACTTGGTGTGAAGCCAAACCCCTGGAGTGATTCCAGACTTATCCCTTTTGTTCTATTTTCTGTTTTCCCATTGTTTTCGCTTCTGCTAAACTACCTAAATACCCAATTTACCCATATCCTACATCAAATTTGGCATCAGAGCCTAGTTTTCGTTTTCCTTGGGTTCAAAATTTTCAATTATTTCTTGTTCTTCACGCCGTGTGTCAAGTGATGGCTCCAACTAAGCCTGGAAAGACAGACGAGCCAGAGACGGACTTTGAACGTCTTGTTCAGATGATGGAAAACATATCAAAGCAAGTGGTAGATTCGGACACTAGATCCAAACTCGTGGAACGTCGCCTTGCAGACTTAGAAGCAGCTAACCAACATGATGAAGCAAGTGTGAATGGAGAAGAGAGGAATCATGATCGACAACGTTATGATAGAAGGAATGATCGAGACGCAGAGAGGCACAATTTTCATCGTGGCTATGAGCAAGACCCTGATGAAACGGTGATGAGATCAGTGAAAGTTGACACTCCTAATTTTGATGGTGAGCTAAATCCTAAAGCACTCCTCGACTGGTTAGCTACCATGGATTGCTACTTTGAGTGGCATGACATGTCTGAAGCTCGAAGGGTGAGATTTGCTAAGATAAAATTGGTGGGTCAAGCTAGATTGTTTTGGACCAATGTTGAAACACAGCTAAAGGGAGCTGGTGAAGAACCAATCATCCATTGGGGTGAGATAAAAGAAAGGTGGAAGCAGAAATATCTACCATTATCCTATCAACAGAGTTTGTTGGACGAGTGGCAAACTCTTCGTCAAGATGACATGCCAGTTGCTGAATATATTGCAAAATTTGAGGAATTCATGTTGCGATGTGACATAAGGGAAGATCGAAGGATGACTATTTCTCAGTTTAGATCAGGACTTCGTCCAGAGCTTCAAAGGGAATTAATTCCTCATACTATGAAAACTTTAGAGAGGGTTTTTCAGATGGTACAAGAATTAGAGAAGTATTTAAAGTCGTCCAATGTAGTCAAGCAAACTGATTCTCAAATATCTGATTGTCATGTTGGCACATCTGTGACTCCAAGTTCTACGACTCCAACATCTACGACTAATTTAGTAAAAACTGCCAAGGGAAAAGGAGTGCTAGTTGATACACAGATGCCAAGGTTTTGAACACTTTGCTGTCCAATGCCCAATACACATCAACGAACAAGCTGACAATCAAGGTAAATTCGAGGAAGATATTTATGAACCCCAACAACCTGATGAAGATTGTGGAATCGACTTTGAAGTCCCTCATCCAACATTAGCAGTAGTAAGATGTACTTTGGCTCAACCTAGGAAGGAAACTGAGGATTGGCGTAGGACTTCCATTTTCCACACTTATATCAAGTCTGGAGATAAAGATAAGGTGGTCATAGATAATGGGAGTTGTATCAATGTGGTGTCAACGCTGACTGTTTCACGTCTTGGTTTGTCGCCCAAGAAGCATCTTGTGCCATACAAAGTAGCATGGATTGACAATACATCTTCTATCCCTGTTACCCAATGATGTCACGTTCCTATACAGTTACAAAGATCATGTTTGGTGTGATGTGGTGGATATGGATGTGAGTCACATTCTCTTGGGAAGACCATGGATCTATGATTACAACGTTACCATCTTGGGTCAAGAAAATATATGTTCGTTCATCCATAAAGGAAAGAAGATCACGATGAAGCCACTTCAACCCAAGCTCATGAATCAATCTATACCAAACAAAGAGGAGCAAGACAAAGTAGGTAAAACCAAAGCTCTACATATCATTATGCTTAAAGAATGTAAGGAAGATGCAGAAGTTCCTAGTCAAGTGAAAGTTAGACCAGATTCTCATAGTACTTGGATTACAAAGGAGAACCTGCCGCACATTGATCCCGACGTTTTGGAATGTTATTACAGCTTTATCTCGCCGGAGTCGAGATCTTTTCAGCCAGGGGGAATTGATGTGGACATCATTAGTTAGTTTCCCGATTTATTAGTTTCCTAGATTCTCTAGTTTTCCAGATTTCACTAGGATTTTAGTTTCCAGATTTTTAGTAGGATTTGATTTAAGTTTCCTAGTTTATTTTTACTTAGTTCCTTGGTGGATTAGGATTTCTGTTTTAGTGAGGGATTTTTATCCTATTGTCTCTAGGTTTTAGTTTGCTATAAATACCCCCCTTGTAGTTCTTTAAAATTCAGTTGTTGAGATATAAAGAAAAGCTTATTTTCCAGAGATTGGAGACTACTTGGTGTGAAGCCAAACCCCTGGAGTGATTCCAGACTTATCCCTTTTGTTCTATTTTCTGTTTTCCCATTGTTTTCGCTTCCACTAAACTACCTAAATACCCAATTTACCCATATCCTACATCAGAGGTTATACACCCTCTCAACTCTCTCAGTTAATTTTCTGTTGAACAAAATCATCCATTCTTGCTTAATAAATCTTTTAACAATTTCTCTTAAATGTGAGCTCTCTCTCTCTCTCTCTCTCTCTCACACACACACACGCGCACACACACACGCACGCACGCACGCACTCACACACGCACTCACGCACGCACGCACGTCCAAATCTTTCAAATCTGTCCCTCTCTTACTCTGAATCTGACCAGACCTTTAAATGGCCAGTGCTTGCTTCTTTTTCTTTTATTTTATCTTTTGTAAGAAACAAAATTTCTTGAAGGAAAAGAAAGAAAACCAAAATAAAAATAAAAATAAGTTTGAGCAAACATAACAAACATGGTAGTCAATGTTAAATTTCTGTGTTGGAGACCAAATGAAAATATTTGGCCTTGGGTAATCAATCTAACCTAAATATACGTTTATTGGTAGATCTAAATTCTAATAATCATATAAAAATAACCGCTAAGATTGCTAGAATCCAACAACAACAAAATTCAGATGCATCAACTACAAAAGACTTCTAACAATGTAAGAAGCATTTTACAATTGTCTTAAAACTTGCATTAGCTATTTTGGAAGATGTCAGGGAAATCCCTGAAATCTCCTTCCATGTACAATTTATGAGTGAATCAAGTATGTTGGCTCAAACAGGGGAGCTTTGCCTTCCAAAAGCAATGAATACTGTTACAATCAGATAAAGTCAAATGTTTCAAAGTTCTCGAATGCCAAAGGCACGTAGCAGTGACAATGGATTCATGCCGTGCCCTGTGATTTTGTTAAGTGTCAAATCCCAGTCAGCCTTAACCCAACCTGTTTACTTAATTGTGTCACATTTAAACCAAGTTGCCCTTATTTTTAGCCAAACCTATCCCTTATATACTCATAAAATATAAATTAACTTGAATCATGAGACCAGGAAAACCCTGCAAATGATCATAAAATTCTATGACGAGTCCTACAATACAATATCAAGAAATGGATTATTAAAAATAAATAAATAATAAAAAATAGTCATTTCTGATAAATAAATAAAAAAACTAGCCATAAATACTTTTGTACAAATTAGAAAAGCCACCTATGTTTATTGTTTACTGATATGGTGGGACAGTGTTACAACATTCATAACCAAAAGATAATTTGGGTGCCACTGCCAAGTGTCTTTCCACTAAGGTATTCGGGTCTTCCCTTGGGTGGTAATCCTTGTCCCTTATCATTTTTGGATCCCATAGTAGAAGAAGTTGGGGTCTTGTAAAGTACACCTTGATGGGTGGGATTCTCGAGTTGTTGCGAGCACATTCTTATGTCCTTGGAAGTACATCTCTCAGGGGTATCGTTCTTTCTCTCCTCTTGTAAAGTTTGTGGTAGGTAGAGGGGTTAGGGTAAGACTTTGAGAAGATATTTGGATGGGAGAATCATCTTCCAATACTTACATCATGCCTCTTTAATGGATTATGTCTCTTTGCACTCCAGTGGTGAGTTGACAAAAGTTCATGGCTTGTTCATCCTTCAGGTAATTTTTCATGCAAATCATTCTTCCTTCAATTGGTCGTCCATCAATTGGATCCTCCTTTTGAACCATTCAAGTTCATTTGGAAGGCTGATGTTACAACCAATGCAAGTTTTTGTGTGGCTGGTGGTTCATAAACAGTTGTGAAATGCTCCAGGGAAGAAGGCCTTATGCATGTTTTTCTCTGCAGTGTGCTTGCTGTGTAAAAATGAGGAGTTTATGGATCATATTTTCCTACACTGCACCTTTGTAACACAGATTTTAATTTGCCTGCTACAAGTGTTTGGTTTGGAGTGGGTGTATTCTAGGAGCAGTATCTTGCTGTTATCAGGAGAATTCTTGACAGTTGGGGCAAACAAAAAATTTGCCACAAACCTAACTAATCCCATTTCCACAATCCCACAAACCTAACATAACCAAGCCAAGCTAATCCACACTACCCTTCTCTGATCCTGCTCCCTAGTCCACACTCTATTTCAAGAATTACCTTAAATGGCCACAAGCACTAACCTCAGAACAATAAGAATCTACAGAACTACAATCACAATCCTAAATCAAATTCAACCAGGATTGAATCCTTGAATATTCTAGCAAACAAATGAGGGAAATTTTATCAAAACAAACAAATTAACCATCATATAAGACCACAGATAACCGTATAATTTCAACGCAGACCCAACAATCGAAACGAAAATGGCTATTCAAATTTGGGAGAAGGGCTTACCTGGAAGACAGGGATGGTCAAGGGTTCATAGCAAATGAGGCAATCAAGCACTTCTGGGTCGGCTAAGGTGAAGACAAGCGACCCATCGGTGACGGGTGAGATCGGAGGAGGACTGCCCTCTTGGACTCCGGCGTTGGATGTAAGGCTGGCCGAAGCAGAACCCAATTTGGGGTTGGCTTGTGCTGTGCGGTTCTGCCGAAGCAACTCCATGATCCGCACCGATACGTGGCAGGAATTTCCTACTTGCTGTAAGCAGCCAACGGTGATTTCTTCTTCTCCTTCCTCGTCTTCTTCTTCTTCATCTTCATCTTCTTCTTCACTCTCTTCGTCTGCTTCTACTTCGCTTTCACTCTCCATTTCTTCTCCTTCGGATTCTTCATCTGCTTCTTCATCTTCCTCAACCGTCCGTAGCTGTTGCGATTGTGGTTGCGGTGGTTGTTGTGGTTGTTGTTCGATTATGCGGGCTGCGGGATATTGAGGAAGGAGATTAGGAGCGAGACGAGGCTTCTTGGGCCTGGGAATACGGGATCCTTCGCCTTCTCCATCTTCATCTCCACCTAACGCGAATCTCGCCATTTCTCTCTCTCCCTCTCTTTCTCCCGAAGTCTCCCAATAACAAAATGATTAATGCTATTTAGAAACACAACATTGATCACCTTAATTGACCGTCTTATGTGGCAACTGATGTGTCATGTCAATTAAAAAACAAATTAAAAAACCCTAGCATTCCTAGTGAGTGGCCTCATAGCAACATTCGTTAATTGACATGGCACAACACATCAATTGCCATATAAGATGGTCAATTAAGGTGGTCAATGTTGTGTATCCAAATAGCATTACTCTAATAACATAGAGTGCTGCTAAACGAACCCTAAAATTAACTGAGTATACCCTACTACCAAACTATTTATTAAATTACTAATTTATCCTAATATAAAATGACCAAAAAGAATATATTGAATTGTGAAACAAATGTAATTTTAATAAGTACACATTATTTACCATATTCAACCCTAATCAAATGTAAACCAGAAACCCCACTTTCAAAAACCTTAGTATTAACTCCAACAATTTGTTGATAATTTCTAGAGTAATGACGACTTGGTTATAGGCTTTCACAGACCCTACTGATCCTATCACAACCATGTAATTGGGGAATATGCACATATTTTTTTGGATAAATTAATCAATTGGTCCTTAAACTTATATCTGATTTACATTTTGGTCCATCAACTAAATTATTCTTTCAAATGGTCTATCAACTCTGTATTATTCGCTCCAGTGGTCCTATCGTCTAATTTTCTGTTAGATTTAACCTAATTTTAGGGTAAATAATGACCAATTTTCCCTCATATTTAACGAAAATATTGACATAATGTAACGATAGGACCAATGGAGCGAATAATATAGAGTTGATGGACCATTTGAACGAATAATTTAGGGCCAGTTTGGCAATACTGTGCTGTGAAAATAATCTCTGTCAGATTTGCTGTGAGAGAAAGCAGTTTGGCGTTTAGTAACATTTTTGTTAAAAGTATTGTTGGTATTGATTTTATGCATAATCAAAAAATGATTGCCGCATAATTATTAAACCCAATGCCTCTTCAAAACTGATTTCTGCATAATCATAAAATGAAAGCACCTCATTAGCTGCTTTCCCTTATAGCTTTCTCTCACAGCAATTTTTAACAATAAGTGATTTTCTCATAGTTTACCAAACGGATTGGGCTCCTCAAAATTTTAAAAAATTCACTTATCATCCCAAATAAGCAATGCCAAACTGGCACTTAATTGATTGACCAAAATGTAAATCAAGTATAAATATAAGGACCATTTTAGTCATTTACCCTTTTTTTTTGGACCTGCCATTGTTTGCACTCGTGAGTATGTGAACAATTTTCAAGTGTTGGTTTACCCTAGCAAACCCTTTGGCCTCTTTATAAGACGATCCATAATCTTTCAATCCGATTTCAGTGGTGAAGATCTTGAAGATTATCCAGGTGCAGGCCTTTATGACAAATAGACTCCCATACAACTATCCCATGCAATAAGCTTCCATCAATAGATGATAGACTAATTGTAAACTAATCAATACACTCTGCCAGATTCATTGTCGGGCATTTTATGTTTGCAATTAAGAAATCAATTGAATATTTTTATATATTTTATATTATCTAATATCGTTGCATGCTATTGACAGTGTGCCTATGCATGAGGAAGAGAAAGGTGAGCTCGACTATTCATCTGAACCATTGATGGTTGATGGAAACTTTCACAAGTCAATCCTCTCTAGCATTGCTCGTGCCGGAAGTGCAATTAAGAAGCTGTACGGGTTTAGTGTTGGGTGAGAGTGTATTAGGGTGTACCGGGATATTTTTGGTAGTTAAATAGGGTGTACTTAGTTAATTTTACATTTTGATTTAAATATTAGGGTGTACTTAGATTATAGGATGTACTCAATTAATTTTAGGGTTTGTTTAACAGCACTCATTAAATAACCATTTTGTTTTATTTACAGCCTTCTCAGAACCAAAAGTATTAAACTAGCCTCTCAGCAACCATGCGGGAGACCACGTGTTCCAGAATTTGGGCAGTTGCCTATCAAAAGTTTTTCATATTTATCTTTTATTTTATCTTATCAGTTGATAATTTTTGTTGGAAATACATTCTGATTTCTTTTTATTTTTTAATTCTTTGTATTTTCATACAAAGAGTATTATTTTACATATTTGTCACTTTTTTTATTTTGGGTATGAGTGATAGTCTAAACTACAGTCTACAGGGGATGGGGTTTCTTACACACATCACTGGGCTAGACCCCGTTACGTATTTGTCACTTTAAATTGAGTTGTTGTATTCTATATCAAATTGTTATCTTCTATTGAAGGACACCCTTTAGGGTTCCTTATACTTTTTTTAACAATCCAAATATTCTTGCATAGATCATCATTGCAAAAAATTATACAAATTGAAAATCATTAAGGCAGCCAATTGGGACCAACAAAATAGATGAATACGGTGCTAACAACCATCTAATTGAGTGGTCACATGGTTTCGAATTCAAGTGATATTTTTTGAAGATATGATCTTTGAGGGAATATCTAAAAACTAAACAGTTCATATCATTAAAATACAATGCATGGTGGGTCATACAATGGTGTCTCTCAACTAAGCTTATTTGAGAGTTCACTCAACTAAGTCTTAAGGATTGGGTATAAATAGTAGCTCCCTAATAACCAAGATAAGATTTAAGTTGAAAAGAAAGATTATTCAGTCTTTAAGTCTTTATACCCAATCTTTAAGTCTTTTCGCATACTAAACTTTATCCACTTGATAAAATTTTAAAACATTAACATTATATTTGGATGAGGCACCTTGAAGTGAGGGGACTCCAAAGTGATGGGATTAGTAAAATCACTTGTTTTGCTAATTTTAGTTAATGGGATTTAATTGGGTAATTTATTATATTATGAAAAAGAACAAAATATGGCAAGAATTGCCAAGAAAATTTCTTACTTGTTTAAATTCATTTATTTATTTATTTTGGGTTATAGAATCTATTTCTAACCCTAATTTTGTAAAATTTGTTTAAGTTTAAGGTCAAAGAAAGAAAAAGGAAAAATGACATAACCTGCCCCGGATTCCCCTTTGGAATCTGTGACGAACCCTATAATTGTCCAACATCTAGCACTTGTCAGCACTTTTTACCAACAACAAAAAAACCCCTTAATCTATATTTTCTAACCAAGAAATAATACTTATACTGAAAATCCGGCAGAGTCCCCTTGTAACTAGAATTTTTACCAAATTTTTCACCTGTCAGAAAACACAACATACCAAAAATCAATCATCAATCAAAATTGGGTCTCAAATCCTAAATATAAAATATGCAACATAAGTAGATCACGATAACCGTTCCCGGCATAACAGAGCATAACATAAAAAGTGTTTAACCTCAGATTAGTTAGTTCAATGACAAGATAGAAAAACCAAAACATGAAATATGTGAATTAATTCTCAATTTTCTCCTGTCATTTAAACAAATTATGAAAAAGACGCCTAAACAAATATAGGATCATAAAAATAAAATATTAAATATTAAATAGATTAAGATGTTATTAGTATGCTTTCATAAGTTTTTCTTCTTGATCATGTAAAAGTTTCAACAAAAAAGCAAGACCGGACCCTAAACATGTTAATGTAGCACTAATACCACATGTAAGAATACATACAACACTAAAGCCATAACATATGAAATATATGAATGTAAAATAAATAATCAACTACCTGCAGACGAAGACATGATTGACAAGCAAGGCTTCTATAATCAGTAAACCAAAAGACTCAAGGCTATTGAATATGGTTTAGGACCTTTTTATGAGCGTATGTTTATGAGTGCAGGGCCTATACTTTTATACTTACAGCAACTCCACCCATTTGCCCTTAGCCATGGCAAGAGGGGAGCTAGGACAGCCACTATTCACGTGAATAGTAGTTGCCCTTGCAAATAGTATTTTCCGTTTCCACCCGTTGCCATGGCAAAGGGCAATTACTATTCATTTTTTTATTTTTTTCACAACTTTTTTTACCTCAATAATTAATTTGGATAATATTTTCGGATAAGATTTTTGTGTTCCCACGTGTCAATACTATTCATATCTCATAACCGGATAAAATTTTCAATTTCAAATTTCAGATAAATTAAAAAAAAAGGCTGATATTTATAGAAAAAATTTCATTAATTTTTGGTATTTTTTCCAGTATTTTATTGCAAAAAAATTGGCTGCCGTTGGATTGGAGGAAAAAATCATATCGGAGAGCCCAGACGACGCCACGTGGCAACAGAAAAAAAAATCAAATGAGTGGGCTGACGCCAGCTTGACGTCAGCATCAGCCTGCGTTTTGGACCTCGGGCTGAACTGGCCTTCGGGCCAGCCCGAGTTGCATGGGACCCACTCCAGCCCGTGCTTGGGCTCACCTCTGGAAACCAATTTTTGCAAAAAACTCCCCCAGCCCGAGGCAAGGGGGCCTCGATGGAACTGCTCTTATACTAAGCTCTGTCTCTATCCAACCTATCATAGACAGAGTAGAGTTCTTAGCCCAGCAAACACTAAAGAGCCCTATCATATCATTATCTGATAAGTCTAACTGCATAGACGAGTTATAACATTAGGAATCTACTAGTTTAATTCTTATACAACATTGAGCTAACTTTATAATGTAATAATTAATACTCAATAAGGTTCTTACAGTTTAATCTCCCTTGGCATCGTATGTGTGTGTGTGTGAGAATACCCCTCTTATAGGGTCATTTTTCAAGTTCATACCTACTTTTGGGGACATTTACAATTACATACTCAAACTCACGAAAGACCTACAATTTACCTCATTCGTTACCTAAACCGTCAGTGAATCTGTTAAATGCTTTCATGTCAACTATGAAACATATTTTTTTAATGACATGGAGTTCTATGTGGACAAAAAACTAATAAACTATTATACAAAATAACTAAAATTATATTAAATAATTCATTTTCATTTAAAAATGAAAAGGAAAAGAAAAATCATTGTCCTCTCCTCCTCCCAACCCATCGGCCTAACTTACCATACCAGACCCAACACCCAGCCCCTCTATGCTTCCCCGTCGGAACCGCCATCGATGCAGACTTGCCTATCCTCGTTGGAATCCTCTCTCTCTCTCTCTCTCTCTCTCTCTCTCTCTCTCTCTCTCTCTCTCTCTCTCTCTCAAATAATGCAAGAACTTCGATTTTTTGTTAGAAAAAAAAATCAAGAAAAGAACTTCTCGAGGCTCAACTCATGACTCGCCATAACCCCACTGAACTTGTGAGGCTCCGACATAGCAAATCCATCCCCACAACTTCATTTGGCAACTGTGGAGTTGCCGTCGCTCGTAGGCCCTAGCGCTTTTGTCGCTACCCCTCTCGGATTGACTGTCCCCAGTCAACAGCGCTCGACACTGTCCACTCCCTTGGACCTAGAAATCTTTGATATGCAAAACCCAGATGGTTGGGTCGTCGTCGACCTCGAAAAATTCACAACGCACTATGGGGGACATTCTCAAGACCTCGTTTGAGCTCATGGCGCCCTTGTTCAATTGGGGGAGGGCTGGGAAAAGAGGGAAGAAGAGTGATTTTTATTTATGGCTTATTATCACAAAACGTCCTAAGGTTTACGAAACTATCAGATTGCATCCTTAATGTTTTTTGTGTCACTCGCGGTCTTCAAAGTTAGTATATGCGATCACAAATGGTCCCTACCGTTAGGTTCCATCAAAAACTCCGTTAGTTTGCTGACATGACATATATATATATATATATATATCACAAAACATCCCTGAGGTTCACACACCTATCACAAATGGTCTCTACGAAATTTTTTATTTTTTATTATTTAAAATTCATAAAATTTTGGTTTTCTTTTTTACAATTATTTATAAATGAAAAAACCATTTATATAAGGATTTTAATCTTGAGGACCATTTATGAACCCTAAATCCTTAGTTTTTTCATTTTTAAATTTTATGAATTTTAAATTATTTTTTAAAAACTTCATTAGTTTGTCGATGTGGCATATATATGAAGCCCACATCTACAATAATATAGTGTCACATGTATTTAAAATATAATATATATTTTAAATAATTTAAAATTCATAAAATATTAAAGGGTAAATTACTCAAATGGTCCTCAAACTTGTACCCGATTTACATTCTGGTCCTTCAATTAAATTATTAGTCCAAATGATACATAAACTATATTTTAATCGCCCATTTGATCAAACCGTTACATTCTGTCAATATTGTTGTTAAATATGAGGGCAAATTGGTCATTTCGTATGTTAAAAATAAATAAATATTAAAAAATGAAATAAAAATTGGTCCTTTCATTCCTATAGTTCCATACCGACATTTATGTAGTTGCTGATACAGCAGAAACACCAGAAGAGGGGCTTGAGGCCAACTCCTTGGGTGGTGAATTGGGAGACGCATTGTTGGCGACATCTGAAGCGGCGTTGTTTGCCTCGTTCCCAAAGTTGGGAGCATTTTCTACAGCCGCAGAAAAAGACGATTTGTTGGTGGTGGGATTGACGAGCTTGGGAGCCTTGGAAGAGGCTTTGGACGACGTCATCTCCTTTGGAAGCAAAATTAGGTTTATCTGCGGAAGCACACCACCACTGGCTATGGTCACTCCTTTCAAAAGCTTCTCCAGCTCCTCGTCGTTTTTCACTGCTAATAGCACGTGTCGCGGGCTGATCCGAGTCTTCTTGTTGTCACATGCCGCATTCCTCTCCAACTCCAGAATCTGACCGATTAATTTGCGATTTAATGATATAATTACATAAACATAAATTAATAAAAATTTCAGTTTTCTTTTCATTTCCTTCCTTTTCTCAACAACCAAACAGGAAAGAGAAACAACACCTTCTTCATCCTCCATGCCTTGCTCATATGCACCTCGCTCAATTCGGAGCCTCCTCAATCTCTTGCAACTCCGAGCAAGAACTTCTAGTCCTTTATCTCCAATAACATTCCTTGTTTGTCTATGACAGAAACAAATTAAAGTTCATATGTTTGTCCCAAATATGATTCCCACTCCAAAACAAAAAAAATCTTCCACAGACCCCTCCCAACGAACCCAAAACCCCAACTCAACAACGACCCAGACCTTCTTCCCCTCCCTCTTGATTTCCTTTGTTGTTGAGAGAAAACCACCCACCACCCTCCTCCCTACCTCATCACCCGCCAACCCCACCTCCCAAAATCACAGCCACTATCAATTTCTCACCCTTCAAAACGCCGAAATTGCTGCGAGGATTATGGGGATTTATGCCCATATGGAGTGGTCTGTGGGAATGGGGGAGAAGAAATCGAAGGGGGGGTTGGGTCTCTTTATTATTTTTTCTCTTTTTCTTCAATTATTTTCTAATTTTTTATTTGTTTTAACCCTATTTTATTTGTTAATTATGAAAAGTCGTATTTACCCTAGAACTTGGTTATGTTTAACAGAAAATTAGACGGTTGGATCAAATGGGCGATTAAAATATAGTTTATGTATCATTTGGACTAATAATTTAATTGAATGACCAGAATGTAAATCGGGTACAAGTTTGAGGACCATTTGAGTAATTTACCCAATATTAAAAGAAAACTAAAATTTTATGAATTTTAAATGAAAAAATTAAATAAATTCGCAAGGACCATTTGTGATATGTGCATGAACCTCAGGGATGTTTTGTGATATATATATATATATATATATATATGCCACGTCAGCAAACTAACGGAGTTTTTTACGGAACCTAACTGCATGGACCATTTGTGATCACACATACTAACCTTGAGGACCACGAACGACAAAAAAAAACATTAAGGATGCAATCTGATAGTTTTGTAAACCTTAGGGACGTTTTGTGATAATAAGCCTTTATTTATTTATTTATTTATAATTTATTTGGAATTGTGCAAGATTGGATTTTTGGTTTGAACCCATCGTGGGATGAGAGATTGCTTTTTTTCATTTTCATTTTCAATTTAAGTTTTTAAACAGTCTCATTCCCATTTGTGTAACTCTAACTCGTTCAAATAGTGAATTAATCACTTGCATCGATTTTCACCCAAAAGTTGAAAGAATGGGTGTTTAATTCGGAAATTGGGAATTTTAGGTTGAAATTGATTGAGTTTGAGTATAGGTTGTTGCCAGTTTGGGTGTGGTGGGGTGATGGTGGAGGGGAGGATGGGGTTGGGTGGGTGGGATGATCGGAGGATAGTTGACATGGTGATCGGGGGCCTGGGAGGAGAAAGGGGGTGAGATTTTTCTTTTTTTCTTTTATTTTTAAATTATTTCCATTATTTTATAGGTTTTTATCACAAATGGTTTCTGAGGTTTGCCAAATTATCACATTTGGTCCTTATGTGTTTTTTTTTACATTATTGGTCCTTTATGTTACACCTCACACATCAATTTGGTTCCGCTGTGAAGTTCTATTAAATTGATGACGTGGCACATATGTGGTGCCCACATATCCAATGAGATCATGCCACGTGGATTTATAAAAAATTATTTTTTTAATAAAATAATTTAACATTTTTTAAGAAAAGAAATGTTTAACATTTAAAAAAATAGAAATTTCAAAAAAAGAAGAGAAAATAAATAAATAAACTCAGCCCCCCTCTCATTCCCTTTCCATCTGCCCCACCCTCCCATTCCCTTCCTTCCCCTTCCATCTCCCTTACCCTCCACCTCTTATCTATCTGTCCCCACCCTCAGCTCTCTCTCCCTACTCTCTTTTCTCCCACAAACCCCCAATCCCCCAATCCCCACCTCCCTCCCTCTCTCCCTCTTTCTTTCTCTCACCCTATGTTTTTCTCTCTACCTAGAAAACTCCCAAGCCCAACGCCACCCTTACAACCCCCATCCCCACCCGAGATCCACCCCAACCCCAACCCCACCCAAGACCCATCCCCTAGCCACGACCCAAATTCCAGCCCCACCTCCACTCGAGACCTATCCCCATCTCCTACCTACAAGGGCAGAGTTAGAATTGTAAACTTAGGGGGCCCAAAGTAGAAAATACAAGTATATAAAATACCTAAGTATTCAATAATTACATGTTTAGAGCTAAATATTTTAATATAGTCATGTCTAATTTGTTTTAGGGGGAACTTTAATTTAAATTATAAGTGGTTTATTACAAATTATATATATCATATATAATATAATAGAGGAGAGATCAAAATTTGAGGGGGCTAGGGCCACTCTAGGCCTAGGAGTGGCTTTGCCACTGCCTACATATATATATTTTATAAACTTTTGTTTTCTTCAGTTTTTCAGTTTTTCATTTTTTTAAAAATTTAAACATTGTTTAATCCACTTGGCATCCACGTTAACAATTTAACATGAATTTTTTACTGAACCTAACAACATTACCAAATTGATGTGTGAGGTGTAACATAAATGACCAATAATGTCATAAATAAATAAATAAAAGGACCAAAGGTGATAATTTGACAAACCTCAAGGACCATTTGTGATCAAATATAAATTTACTTTTTACAAACCTATTTTTGAAAACATAGAATTGTTTATTATAGGTTTTGTCCACGTGGAATCCACGTCATTAAAAAATGAGACTCATGTTTGTCATATCAGCATTTAACAGACCCACTAACAATTTAAGAAACAGAGGGGGTAAATTGTAGGTTTTCCATGAGTTTGAGTATGTAATTGTAAATGTCTCTAAAAGCATATATGAACTTGAAAATTACCCCCTAGTTTGGTGGTCATTTGTAATTTGACCAAAAAAGAACTACTTAATTATTGAGGAAAAAAGGGTCATTTTTCAAAGTTTTTCCTTTGTAAATGGCAAAGAAAGGGTTTTCATGTAAATTCAAGGGGCTGAGAAACGGAACCCTTCAAAAACCATTTAAAAAGCTAAACCCTACACAAGATATAAAGACTCGATTGAAGGGTTTTAGCAGTCTAGGCTTACTCTTTCCCTCAGTGTGCTGTTTGCCAGTTTTCTGATGGCGAAGCGTTTGGTTCCACTGTTGAATCGTGTTCTTGTTGAGAGAATTGTCCCTCCATCCAAAACCACAACCGGAATCTTACTCCCTGAGAAGTCCGCCAAGGTATACTAACCATTTTACTCACCCCCTACTTTCTCATTATTGTGTTTGTTTCCTGAGAAACTCGTGGATAATGACATAAAATGAAAATTAGAGTAGTCTGTGGTTTCTGGGATGTGGATCCTCTTTGGAACAGAATTGGGTCGCTGGTGTTTGACTGATACCGGGCTATGGCTGTGGGTTTTTGTTTTCTTGGATTTTAAAGTAGTGGAATGTTAGATAGTATGGGCTTTTTATTTTTTGCTCTCTCTCACATTTTAATCCTTTTTTAATTACTTTTATGGTAGCAAGTCAAGGGTCTTGTTTTAAATCCACATCGAAACATATATTTCTTAATTGGGGTTTTCCTTAATTAATTTATTTCCCTCTTATACAGAAATTTGGTAGAAAGTAACATGAACTTAGGCCTTTTATTTTATGCAATATGAATGTGGCTTTGCTGTTAAATGAATTCCAGTACGTCTCAATTAGAAGAGTCCAAAAATGATATTTTGGAAGTATAATTTTTCTCCTCAAGGAGAACTAGTAACTGGCATGCATGGATTGAAATATATGTTGTTTTTGCAAAATTGAAAATTTCCTGCTTTACACTTTAGCTGAACTCTGGAAAAGTCATTGCCGTGGGTCCTGGGACTCGTGATAAGGAGGGCAGCTTTATCCCTGCCACTGTGAAAGAAGGAGACACTGTTCTGTTACCAGAGTATGGAGGAACTGAAGTGAAGCTTGGTGATAAAGAGTACGTATATATTTTTCACAGGGCCTTATTGCTTAAGCTTCTTGACATACATTTTCTTTGTCTAAAATCTAGATATAATTTTTCAAGCACTACTAAGTTAGAAGATGTGTGTGTCTATGCATATTCACGTAGATACTTACAGATGCGTTTAGTATACATGATGCATTGAGTGCATTTGTGCATGAAAATATAAGAAAACTACAGAGACACATGATCCATTCATGAGTTTGACTGTAGTCTCTGTGATATGGGGTGGAGTCAAGGTACCTCAGCATTTTTCTGTAAATTCAGCCTAAGTGCTTCAGTTGACTATTAGCATAAACTGCCTAGGGTATGTAATTTGAAGTAGTGGTTAAGTAGATAATTTAGCTTATAAGGATTATAATTAACTTGTTGAAAAGATTCCTGTCATGATGCAAATAGTTTTATTGGCACTATATCGAACCAATGCTAATTTGCTAACCTTAATTCAATCTAGATATATTGAAAGCTAAAACTTGGATTTGCAAGCTCTTCATTGAAGCATGGGGGCTTTTATTTTACATATTGTTTTTCACATTTGTAGATAAAATATTCGTAAGGGCAGAACTTTGTACCCTAAAGGAAAACCAGATCTTTGATTTTGCGCTGATGAATTCCCTTCCATTATGAAATTTTAGCCAAACAATGAGAGTGGCATTCTTTTCATTCGATGGTTTTCAGTTATACAAATCTGTTGTGCATAAGTGTGGGTACTGATAAATACTTATGTATTTGTCGTCACATGTATTTACATATTGACATGTCTCTGTGTTCTTATACGCATGATTGCCCATGTATTTTTCTAATGTATGTCTTACGTGCATATATCAATATGCATGTATCTATCTATATACAACAAATAGCCTTAGGCTCCTCAAGCATGTTAGTTGGGTCATTGATTAGGATTACAATTCAATGAATTCACTCAAGTAGGCATCTTTCTTGTTTCATGGGAAATGGCCCCCATTCTCCCTCTCGCTCAAGTAGGCATCTTTCTTAGCTTGTGTTTTGGCTTCATAGTTCTCGTATGAGCTCAAGCTCAATTCTAGCTCACAGAAGGATGTCAGCTTGAGTTGAGAAATTTTAAGTAATTTTAGCTGTGTTTGAGCTATGGCACTCAGGCATTGTTTGGGATGTTTCAGGCAACTTAGAGCTTACATTCGACTCAATTTGATTAATATACACAAATCAAGCTTGATCTTGTTTTGGGCTTGACTAATTAGCCATAATGTTTTAAAGGTGTTGAATTTTACTTAAATGGAAAATGCACATTGTACCCAAAAGAACAAGTGGAAACTGCAGATAAAACATGACATCTCTTTATAATCACCTCAAGGTCTCAGGTGTGAGTTAGAATAAGACACCAGCCCCCACATGGTATTATTAGGATGTCTTACCTCAAGTAATATTTGGTGTGCCTTTTCTCAAAGTTATTGTGCATAGGCTTTGGAATGCTTTCAAAGTGATGCCTGATATTTTTCCAATTGATGCTCATGAAACTATTTTTGCCATTGTAGGTACCACCTATATCGAGATGAGGACATATTGGGAACACTGCACGACTGATTATCAATGGAGTTAAATTTGTCCATGAGTTATCCTGGAGGATTTGAGTTCCATAGCATGTATTTGAGTCGGCCCTTTGTTGATGCCCTACCGTCAGTGCTGCTTATAAATTAGATTAGATGAAAGAAACATGTAAAACTGTTCTGTTATCGGGCAAATAATTTTAATGCAACTAAAACGTCTTTGGTTTGTGTTGGAGTGTTACATAAACTCTTTTGAACACAATGAAGAAGTTTAAGGGACTGTTTGGGAATGCTTATGTAGGAAGCACTTATGCTTATAAACGGTTCTTAGTTGCTTTTGTTAGAAGCATCATTTTTTTATTTTTTTTATTTTATGGCAGAGCAGTGGCTTTCCTCCCAGACATGAACTAAATAGTAGCGATATCTCTATCTGTGACAAATAGGGATGGCAATGGGTCGAATTAGGGGTGGGTTTGCCATTCTCTTCCCTATCCCCGTTAAGCATTTTTCCCCCATCCCTGCCTTCATATCCGCAATATTCATATCGGGGATTCCCCATCCCCACCTTAGTTGGGGATGGTTCCCCTGACCAGCCTCGTTACAGAAGAAAAAATCAATATATAACTACTTTGTTGAAATAAAAAAATACTGATGCAAAATAATGAAAATATATATGATATATATAAGAATGTTTATATATGTCGTGCAGTGTGGCTTAAGATTTGGAGTTAAATTTGTCCATGTGTTATCCTGGGGATGATATTGAAAGTTAACTAAATAAATAAGTCGTGTGGCTTAAGATTTGTATAAATAAATTATATAAGTATATAATATAATAATATAAAAATATAAAACTTAGTAAGTACAATCACTTTAATAGCATATTTATATATACAAAAAAATTAATATATATACATACTCTAAAAGGGAAGGGTTCGGGTTGGGGATTAAAATACCATCCCGCCCCTCCCCGAACACCATACCCAAAAAATTCTCCGTACCCATCCCCATACCCCTTTTTTGTCTTTCATACCCGACCCATTAAGATCGAATCCCTACAAAGACCCTTATCCGCAAGTAAAATTGCTATCCCTTGACAAAAAGAGCTTCATGAGCTACTAAACTGCTCTTATGGTACCTAGAGAAAACATTCCCATATATTGTACCCCATCTTAGGAGGACTTCCCTATACCGATGCGAAGATAGTAAAGAAGAACACTGCGATGTATTTTTATTTTTTTTGGTCTGAAAAATGGAATTTCATAAAAAGGCAAACAGCCAAGAGAAGTACACAGCCTATAAAGCAACTAGGCACAATGAACAACAAGAAATAAAACAGCACAGCTGCATGGAAGGAGGACTAAGAAAAAGACGTAGTCATAAGACAACCGGATACGTCGAGAAGCCCACACAACCGCAAACATTAAGTACTCCTTGGGGGGCATGGTAAACCATCTTTGTTCATGATATGCATTAGAGAGGATGGGGGTCGGTTGACCCATACTTCCGGGCTCATCCTCGAAATGGCCAGCATTGCCAAATGATCTGCCGCTTGGTTGGCGGTTCTAGGAATCCACTTCCAAATGTAGGTCTGGAAGCTGTTCAAAACATCTCGAACATTACTTAGGATAGGATAGATTTCCCACCTTCCATTGGATAAGAGGCCCTTCAAGGGAGAGACTATTTCCTTGCAATCAGATTCAAAAGTTACTTGACGATAACCCATCTCAGCAGCGAGCTTACAGCCTTCGAGACAAGCCTGTGCCTCAGCCTCTATAGCAGAGTTCACCACTGATGGGATGGATGTACTCTTGATAAAGTCTCCACGTGTGTTCCTAATTAGGATACCAATGCCAACCCTCTTTTGAGTTTGGATTCCATGATGCATCCACGTTAACTTTGACAAAGGGAGAGGCAGGGGGGTTCCAAAGATGTTGCTGGTTGTCATTAGAAAGGGTAGGAGGCTCAATTTGATGTCTGCCATGATCAAGGGAGCCAAGGAATTCATTGACGGCAATAGAGGCAGCGTGGGTAGTTCTAGCTGGTGAAGGGGAGATGTGTTCTAGCACTGCTTTGCACCTATCCTTCCAGATCTGCCAGCAGAAGTACGCGATAACAGTTAGGCATCTTGATCGCTCCTGTGGGGTCTTCCCTTTCTCAATAACATTCCTAAACACTGCGATGTATTTCTACCATCTTAGCAGCCTAAGAGATTTAATTTACAAACATAATTTAAATTACTCAGGTCTTGAGCTCTCAATGAATTCTGTGATGCATCAAACACAGTCTTTTTACTTTTCGTCTAAAGAGATGCAGCTGGTATGGCACAGGCATACCCAGTCAACATATTTCTGTTTAAAAAAGGTCGGATGAATAAATTGCAGCCCCATCCAAATACTTTGTTTCAAATGCGATTAGACACATCGAAAATTCAAAGGCAGTAAAATAGTGAATAAAATATATGCTAATAAACATTACAATCCATCAGTTTTTGTCCTCTGAGACCATGTCCCTTGATATTAGATACATCATAAAAAGTAGTCCAACCTACATAATTTACAATACATTTTACTCGGTCAATCTCCTATCAAATTGTTAGATCTACTCAAGCATGTCAACCAAATTGGAGAAGAGACCCTCACATGGGATCTCTGCTGTACCAGATGGTGGTCTAGATGTACACAATTACCAAGCTTTCAATCAAATTTTCAGCCTAGTAGCAAGGGTGAGACATGTTTGCATCATTTTGTACCTACTACTTCCGAGGAGCATTTTCCATGGAGAATCACATTAATGCTAGCTATGTTATGTACTTACTACTTCACTACATAAGGTCTTTATATAACACCTCTTTTCGTTCCACTAGATAGAATTTACTGAGTCACCACCTTCACTGCTTTCAGTATCACTGCTGCTACTCACGCTCTCGCTTTCATTTCCACTGCCACTTCCACTGCCGCTTTCACTCCCACTACTCTCACTCCCACTACTATCACTAGAGCTTGAAGTCTGCTTCCCTTCCACCTCAGCATTCACTTGAGCTCTAAGGGCTTCTGCAGCATTTGGGACATTATCCACCACATCATCTACATCTACATCAGCAATCTCATCATCCAGATCACCTGGATGAGGTATGTTAATGTCAATGCCAGTGTGAAATTCATTTACAGGAGACTTTCCTTTCCCAGTTGTATCATGCACAACAACAACATCATCATCATCATCATCAATGACAACATCTACTTCTTCATCCATCTCATCACTTCTAGGTTCTGCATCAGGAGATGCAGCTGGTGGATTTGGTAAGGAAGGTGGACAATCAAAATCCTTGTCAGTTTCAGATGTTGGGCCTGGGGCTAGAAAGAAGATTATAAAAAGTATCAACATGTTATTTTTTTTTATAAAAAGCTAGATTAAAAAACTGCAATAATTAAGGCATTTAATGCAAGTCCATCTGTTTAATCATCAAAAGTCAATTCAGAACACCAAAATACCAAAAATAAAATAAAACTACCATTGATTTTTATTGCAGTATATGCAACTACAATTTTATTTTATTTTTATCAACATTTAATTTTACAAATTCAACTTTTCTGTTCAACATCAAATTGAAAATAAAAAGTATAAAAAAGAAGGATGATTTATATAATCACATAATCTCTGAAGGGAGTGTATTTTGCACAGAAAAACGTTTTAAGCTAATAAGAACAACTTTCTCATTAAAAGGCTCCACCTGGCGCAGGATAGCCAAAGAAAGTTGACGGTCATCATGCATCTGTTACTTACATGTATCATCTTATTTCGTGAAAAATAAGTATCATTATGACATTATTAATTAAATTTGAAGAAATCCAGTCATGAAGGTCAAACATTAGAAGATTGTATCATATAATGCAGAACAACAAAATTTACATAGAACAAACAGGGGTTTAAGAACACATGTACCTAAGCTCTCTGAGTTGTTGATATCAATTCCTTTCACCTCCACCTGTACAATTACATGTAAGCAAGAAGTTTGAATCATATAATTGTAAGATTCCTGTAAGGAATGTGCAATTAGAAAGAGATGTTCATGCTATTTAACAAATCCAATTCTTTCACAATTCTATTTAACAAAAGGGAAAAAAAATTGCAGCATTCAATACTTCAGGTTATAAGTGAAGCAGAACAGAAGGATATGGGCAACTTTCTCTAGATATGATAATAGCAGTTAGCACACCAAGAAGATGAATTCAGCCCCATAGAAAGCAAAAAGAAAATACAAAGTATAACAAAGACGCAAGATTTCATTTGATTCCATGATGTGCAAAATAATAATAGTGAGGGGTATGAGTTTCATAGTGCTACCGCTCCCATTCATAAGGCGGTGATTGCGATTGATTAGTGCAAGCAATAAAGACTGGGCACACAAACCACATGTGCCAGCATAGGCAGATCTCTGATATTCAGTATTCTGGTTGTGGTGGTCAAACATAAATTATATGACGCAAAAATTGGTTTAAATCCCAGATATTGCAACCCCTGACCTTAACTCTACTCAGGTTTCATAGATTGTATCACAAGATCAAAACTCTACTGCAAAGTCAATCACCATCCCTGGATATGCAATGCATATGCAATTACACATACAATTATCCCTCTTTTGAGACAGATCACACTTCAGCCTTCTTTCTTCATTCAACAGATATGAATGATAATAAAATCAATGCAACTTACCGGCATATGAGGAAGAACATCCTTGTTCAAAGACTGAAGCTTTGCTCCTTTCCCACCAGTTGGTGGAGAATAAGATTCCAGTGCTGAAATTGATGTACTCGTGACTGAGGCTGCTGGAGCTGCAGATTCACCAGGCAGCCTTAGATGTCTCAACCGCTTCACTGCTCGGTGCAACCTCTCCAACCGAAAACTCTCACCATCAAAGAACAAAACAGCATCATGCTCCTTGTAATCCTCACTGACACCTTCAAAAGTAACCTTGGGTTTTCCATGTTGGTTGTTGTGAAACTCAACTGTAACCCTGTTGTCCTTGCTCTTGTGGAACGAACCAGGTTGATTCTTATCAATTGAAGCTGGTTTAAATTCATCTGAAAAAAGAAAAAGAAAAAAAAGTAACAATCTTGGTACAAAGTTTGACATTATGACTCTCTATTGGTAGCAGAGAAGTTCAAATCAAAGAACAACTAAGTGATAGTATAAGTTTCTAATTTCACAAGTTTTGGATGGTGCAAAGTAAAAACAAAACAAGTTTACACAATTAAAGACTTGAAAAGCTTTATATTTAGATTTTCTTTCATAACAGACTAATCATAATTCATATATGATACTCCGAAAGCTTTCATTTTCCTCAGTTTTCTGGGCAGACAAACAGAACCCACAAAAAATTTATAGGATACTGAGACTTACAACGTAAAGTACAGAATTTGGGGGAGGGGCGGTGATCCACAAAGGAGGAACCTAGGGATAGGTTGTACCATCGGTCAGGCTCTGGAGCAGTGTTTGGTTCATCGTTATCGTTGTTCTTCCGATTTTTAGCCATTTTCTAAAGCTCAATTTCTCCGCAATTTACTATCTGAGTCGAAACTGAATTTTGGTACCAAATAGGAAGTTGAAATTGGAAAACTAGGGTTCTAGGGAGGGATTGCAAACGAAACGAAACCACCTGCAGAAGAAGAAATGAGAGGGCATTTAGTCCTTTAACCTCTAGTCCGTGACTGTGTCACTGTCACTGTGTCAGTATGATAAATGGTGACTAAGGGAACCCAGTCCCAGACCCCAAATCGACCCGAATGCCCGACCCGACACTGACCCTGACCCGACCCGTTCTTCACAATCATTTTTGGATTATTTAATACTGGAGAAGGTGGTAGTAGTTTTGTGGGTTGTGAAGTGTGATGGCTCTGGCTTTGGGTTTTGCTCATTCACCGAGTCCTTTGCTTTCTCTTCATCAGAAGCCAAAACCCACGTTGAGATTGGCTGCATTTCGATGCTCAGCGAAGCCTAGCAATGAAATAATCCTCAGGACTTGCAAGAATTGCAAAACCCAATTCGACCCTTCCATCAATAACCCCCGGGCTTGTCGCTTTCACACTGCTCATTTCGGAGGTAGCTGATTTCTGCCTTCTCTTCTTTCTTGTATGAAATTAGATTTAATGGTTTTCATGAATTGTATATGTTCTTGTTGAATGAAATTTTAAAGCCAAAGGGTCTTAATCTCTGTTTTCTTGCTGATTAGCTTGGCTTTGAATGAAGTTAACCAAAATTTCTGGGCATTTTTTGGTCGAAAAATTTCTGGGCTTTATGAGCCCAGAAATATTATAAGCATACTCATGTTTGAATATTGTGGCTTCCTAAGTTTGAGTATTCAATTCTATGTGCACATACTCGCTGAATTCGAAACTTACCCGCCATTGAATTTGAAATTCTTGTGAGTGAGTTCCTGTGTTTGTGTTTATGTATGTGGGACTTATGAACTTTCAGCTATTATGCAGTGCTAATGGGTTTTGGGCGATTCATGTTTGTCAATTTCTTGGAAATGCATTAGTTGTAAATTTTCACCTGCATTCTCCGAGGAGGACGAAACAGTTGTGAATTTGCATTGGTGTGTAGTTTGCATTTCGGCCAAGATTTTTGCTGTAGGGTAATCAGCAAACCCTCTTGGGCACAATAATCAAACATAATCAACAATTTGTGATTCATTTTGCTATAAGATAGGAAAAGACTTCCGTTTGTAAATATTTTGGATCACTGAAAATCTTAAGCATGATGTTTTTTCAAGAAGGCTTCTTCTTGTGGGTGGAAAGGAATACAAAGGGGAAAGGTTATGGGAGACATAACTCTCAAATAGTTGGAAGGGAATATGTAGAGTTTCGATGTTGCTTAAATATAATCGTTATCATCATTCCTGCATTGAAATAATATGATTAGCTTGTGGATTGTGGTTTTGGGGTTTCAATGATTTATCCAATTTGAAGAAATTAAGTCTTCAGCGGTCTTGCTTTTTCAAAACTAACGAGTAAGGAATAATTGAACTGGTTAGCAAAAGTTAACTGAACGCAGGGAGAAAGAATCTCGAGGTCTTGTCTATATTTAAAGATGTTATTCAATGTGGCTGACTGAGTTTAGATAATTGAAGTGAAGGCTATGTTTCTGCATTTTTATTTTCATGAATCAGTGGCTCTTCCATATCTAAAAGGCAATGCATGAGAAAGCAACTTGTTTGTATATCCATATGTATCTATATATAATATATAGAAAGTTTATAAACAAATAAAAGAGTGCATGTCAAAAGCAATGCCTTTTTTGTTTTTTTGTTTTTACTTTCTGCTTAAACTCAGACAGAATAGAAAGGGACTTATTCCTCTTAAGCTCACTTTTATCTGCTTGAGAAATGGAAGGAGTTGACAAGGAGTGTTTTTCTTTCAGTACTGTCTGCATATTGCTCAAAATTTACTTTGTTTTATTTTGTATCAGTTGCAACTGAAGTTTTTTTTTTTTTTTTTTTTTTTTTTTTTTTTTTTTTTTTTTTTTGGGGGGTGAGTCAAAGGAGTAATAAAGTTTATATGGTTATGTCACTTCGATCGTATTACATTGATGCCCAAAGATATGATGAAGCTTATTTTCATTTTAAAATACCTTGTTTGAACTCTGTTATAGTTAATGTCATGTTTATTTACTTATTCATTTCCCCATAGTTCCTAGTATCACGTTCAGTGTGTTATATCTTTCATTCCAGATGTTTTGTTTTTCTGGTATAGTGCTTTTAACACCTGTGCTCCCTTAGGAGAAACAAAGAGGAAGTTTGAGAGTGTGCACACTGGGGGCACCATGAACACTCCTGACTCCGGAAAAGTTGTTCAATACTGGCATTGTTGTGGATCTGAAGATCCCTTTGACCCTGGATGCACAGCTGCTCCTCACTCATCCTATGATGACTGATGCTGTCGTATAATCCTCCCCCACCGGTACATGATTCGATTTACCTTGTATGTGTGAACATTTACTTACACTACTATGGATTTTGTTCATCTTTTTCCATTTTCTTTTTTCCCTGTGTATGCAACCATATCGGATTAAGTTTTGAGCTTTAAAATTTGTTTGTTATGACTGATGCTCTTTCAATCTCTCTCGTGTGTGTGTGTGTGTGTTTAAAAACTCTTCTTCTTCGTCTTTTTTCTGTAAAAATTGTTCCGGTGGCTTTCTGGCAATGATGAAGTAGATGGTAGTCTCAACACCACCCACATACGCAATACACTTCCAATAATTCTCTTTTCATTGTCTTTTAATTACGATGCTCTAACCCAGAAAAGTGTTCAATCCCTTCCATCTTCCCCACCTTTTACTCTCTATATTGCTTTCAATTCTGACCTGCCCGCATCTTTCACGGCTGGATTGAACGGAAAAAGAACATCAGTACTGTGTATTAGTATGTCTCTCTTCCCCCACTCCCAAACAATTTCCTCAATCGCCAAATTCTCTCTCATCTTGTGGTTGGTGCACCAGTCATAACAAACATCGACGATATACCACACGATGGCTTCATCACAGACTACCTCAAACAAAACTAATTTTGATGGTGATAGCACATAGCTTACAGTGAGAAGAGTTCTTTACAAAGGCTTCAGTATTTGTACATCCCATATCGATATTTTTACCATGTTTCCTCATGAGTGATTTTAAAAATACAACCGATTGATACTAGCACAATGAGACCAAACTTGCAATGCAAGTAAGAGAGATTGAAAGAGATAGGTACTTATGGACTTCTTCTGTTTTGGTTCAATACTTCAAGTCTTTTTTCTGTTTTTGTTTTTTCCCAATGTGACCGATATATATATATATATATATATATATATATATAGTATAATCACTTTCTTTAATATTGCTTACACTGAAAGTACCTACATACATTGACAAACTTAAAATTATGAAACTCGGTGCCATAAACATTCATATAACCCTCTGTGCTTAATTAAAACACTAATAAAAAGCGCCGACCCTGACTGAATATGAATGTCAAATGCTGGCCGGCTTCGCTTCCCCAAGTCACAAACAGCTAACCATGCAACGACACGTGATACCATGATTTCAGATCTAACTAAAAAACGCGGAGAAGCAACACGTGTCAATCACCCACTAGCCTTTGGTTGAGGCTTTTAAGTTCTGTTTAGCCCATCCTTGGATCTTGATGTGCACATCTATAAATACATAACCAATAGTCAATTCTCTCCATCGATCCAAAAACACTCCTTCACTTCAAACATCTTTCTTCCCATGGAAGCAAATTGTCTTTGTTCATCGCCACTTCCTCCTCCGCCATTTTTCTCTGGTCAATCTCAATGTCCAAAACTTGGATTTGGGCACAGAAGATCAAAGAGATCAACTGCTAGAACTGCTGGCATGGCTGTTGTGGCTGCTACAAGGGACCACTACGGAGGGCGATCCGCTGTCGACGAGAGCTTGATTGTTCTGAGAAAACGTATTCATGAGATGAAAATGGTGGAGAGGAACTACGAGCCTCCTCAGGATTGGATGCATTGGGAGAAGCAATGCTACGCAAGTTATGATGAGTATATTTGCAATTTGGTCGGTTGTCTCCAATCATATCTCATGAACACTAGGCCTAGTTTAGCTCTCTCCATGCTGCTTCTCGTCACCGTGAGCGTCCCAGCGTCGACGGTCATGATCTTGCTGCGTTTCATGGAGGTGGCTAATGGGGCTCTATCCGCCGTTCATCATCTTAGTTGATGTGATTAGTTTTTGGGGTTAGCTTTATGTAAATTTGTAAATGTACAATTTGAATTCCAATGTCAACACTTGAATTCCATGTTCAGATAACAAATAGGTCAAAAATCAGAAGATGAAGTAATTGACAAGGCGGCAGAAATTGGAGAAAGACTATCCTTACATGCATTATTATAGATATAACAATTGCGCTTGAGCAACATATTATTCACAAAACGAATGGAAACCAACACTAGAACATCTTTGCAAACAATACGTGCATATTGTTGTTGTCCTCTAGAAAGCTCATGACAATGGAGCTTGACCTAGAACAAGAGAAATTATACAACAGTACATATGTGAGCTAGTAATATTTTCACTCAAAATATGCCATCTATCAGTTTAAAAAATAGTTAAAATGTTTTTTTTACTGCTGGACTTTAAAAAATAAAAAAAGGCAGTAACAATTTTCAGAATTAAAAACATGGGTTTTGTAGAAGAGGAAAAAAAAATGTTGGTTCAATCGGCTCAGCCTAGCAGCTCATGATGGGTCAAGTTGGCTCCGTCCCGTTATCCTTCCACTGCAAGGAGAGGGAGGTTATCGCTGCTCTGTGAAACCAGCCTCACGCTTTGCCCTCCTGTCTAAGGACCATGTGACCCAGAGCCTTCGCCCAAGACACATGACCCGACTCCTTGCTTGGAACGGGCGGGCCAGAACATTGCCAAGATGACCCGACCCGCTATAGCGAAGCCAGCGTTCCAACACTTTGATGCCCCCACTTGGGTTATAAGCTTGAGTTACCAAGCTCGGCGATGTTTTTTACCTTGTTATGGGTTTATAAACTATAGTTTCTAGGACTAGTTTGTCGATGTGGGACTACTTGCTACCGTTCTCTTTGTGTTTTTCTCAACTTAACATGACAAGTTTAAGTTCTTTTTGGAAATAAGCTCAAAATTTCATCCGCAATGACTGATCAATTTGTTTTTTTCAATACCAAGTTGTGGGATTGAACTTGGACAATCATTGAAATGGCTAAATCTGATCAATTATATAATGGTATTTGAACTTTTCTCCCCTCATGCCAAGCAAAATTTTGTTCCTATAATCCAACCTCATAAATTCAAATTCAATTCCAAATCTTACCATTATATATATATATATTCCTATATCATTTTTCTTGTTCACGTACCCTTGTCATTTATAATTAAAGTAGGCTAGCCTTTAAAGTATGAAATTTTATCACATTTTAGATGTTCTTGATTTTCTTTATAAGTAAAATTCTCTAGTGTACTGTCTAAAAAATCATATGCAACAACCCAAAAAAAAAAAAAAACACAAATCATTAATGTCATGACGTCACTTATACTCATTTCAAAGTTCCAAAACTGAGAAGAAAAAAATCCTATATAAAAGCATTTGCTACCAATCCATTTTTGATATATTTTTGGTACCATAGAGTTGTGAGCTTCAGTTTACTCGTTGCTAAACTGTTGTTTCATGGATTTGTCAGTTATACATCCAATTACTAGTGCTATCACCCCCTCACAACTTAAATCACATGTAAAGGTTTTCGAGCTCATGTGAGTAAGAGTAGTTATTCTTATATCCAAGGTTCTGGGTTCAAATCCCCTCCCTCAATATCGATTGTGTTTTAAAAAAAAAACGCACACACACACACACATTGCATATGTTTCATGGTTCACTTCTAAACAACATTTTAACACATTATTCTATATATAAAAACGTATTTTAGATTTATGTATAGAATTATAAAATGATGGAATTTAGATCTTCATCGTTTAAATGTCTGGCAATTAACAATTTCAGTGTTTGGATTTATGTATGCTGAATTTTGTAAATGACATAAATTATAAGGAAAAACATATCATGCTCATAGAAATTGTGAAATGACGCTTTTTTGGCAGAATTTAAACTCGGAAATCTCGATCCCCAATTTCCACAATTTTTTCCGCACATCATTTAATAGTTTTGTGCTTTAAGTTGCCAAACAATAGAAATATCAATTCTCCTCTTCAATTCTTAATTTTTAACTAAATTCTGAGTTATTTTCCACTATCCAAATAAAAGGTAAAAGAAAAGAATCAATATACATACATACATTCATATATCAAATTACCTACACAACGTTTAATTATGTGGTTGTTTCTATGTTTCGTTAACAATTTATTCCTAATAAAAAACAACCATGGAATCAAAATTATTGTGGTTTAATCAGAATAAATTAAATCTTTAAGTCCATTACGGAAAACCATGAAATTTCTTAATCATGCTTTATTATCACATGTAAACATAATTTGGATAAAGTTATAAGACTCAATTCATGACCCAATAAGATCTTGAACTTCATGATTTTCAAAATACTATAAGGTGGAAATTTCAATAAACATAATTACATACATACCTTGATAATCATCCTTCAAAATCTATAGTTAGAGAGTACAATTTTTCTAGTATAGCCCTAAGTAAGTACCACCAATCATGGAAGTAGAATAGGAAACTACTTCTCTTAATTGACCAATATAATTCTTTTGAATAATATTTATTAAACCCTTATAATAGCAAATAATTTGTGTAACATATAAACCATTCATGTGAGCCACATAGAATATTATTATATAGAAATTTCTTATACAACTTTTCCTCCAGAAGTTGGATAAGGCTGCATAATTTTTTTTGTTGTTGGGGCTTTTCATGTAATGGATTCTCTATATGGCTCGACATTGGACTTTCTGAGTCATTTTATAGTGAGGGCCTTAGTCCTTAGATGATGTCCTATCTCTTAACCATTGGATCAAACTAACCAATTTGATCAATGGCTAACCAATTTGATTTAACGGTTAAGAGATAGAAAACTCTTCTAAGGGACTTAGATAAGGTCCTTTCAGGAAACAAATCTAGGACCTCAGGGGCAACAGTAAATATTCTTAACCATTTAAGCTACAAGTCCCTTGCAAATGACCCCACTAGTTTAGTGATTTGAAGTAATTGCTCCCCTAAAAAAGGTTATGGGTTCAAGTCATAGCATTCGTGTAGAATATATGAGTTTAGTATGTTATCACTCATCTCAATAGGAAATGTTATCATAAAAACACTCTCTAATTTGATACTTTATTTTATCTGATGGAAAAAGTGCATATATATATATTTAATATACCCCAAATAATTGTTTGATGAGCACCTAAACGTTATATAATATTGTTTCTATATAAAAAAAAAATTGTTATATAATATTACTTATAACTAATTGCCCCTTCAACAAAAAACAAAAACTAATTGCCCCCAATAATTGTGCTAACTTGAAGATCAGTTCTCTCGTTTATTTTGACCCCACATATTTTGTTTTTTGGGATGATTCAGTGCCACGGCTTTAAAAAAATCAAATTACGTATTGCTTTTGCTTCTTTTTATTGACTTTATCTTTTTTGGTTGGAGTACCACCTCATCTACTAACGGAAAAGATCTTTTTCTCAGAAGATCCCAAAAAATTTATGAATTATATTTTGGGAGATTTACTATTATATTCAATATGAACTCAAATTATAAAAAAATCTTATATGAATAGACTTTTATAAACACAACCAAAGTCCATTTACAACATAACAAAGAGACTTTTAATTTCTTTTAAATTACAAAATTGTCATCAATTCTTAAAATAAGTCAAACCTCAAAACTTCTTAAAAAAACTCAAACACTCAATAGGGTATTAAAGTAATTTAATAATCAAAATTAAATTAATAGGGCCACGAGTCATTTTTTGGAGTCATTTATAAAAATTAAATGGTGTAAGATTTATTTATAATTAATGCTAAGAATTGATATACAACTAATAACTCTATTTATAATGGAAAAGATCTCAGATTTATATATATGGCTTTTTAATAGCCACCACAATTATGGAACATATCACGTGCTCATGTGATATGATCTTCAAAGGTCTGACTCTGATTGTAATTTGTATGTTCCGCTTCAAATCTTATGCATTATTGGATATTCGTTTTCAACCCTCTGGTTGTCCCAAAATTAATGTATTTTTTAACTCTCTCATTGTCTGAATATTAAAATAATGGAATTGGTTGGACTGGGTCTATTACAATGGAAAATGACATTCGATTGCAAACTAATAGTTTCGGGTTCGAATCACCATAACATATAGTAGCATGTGTGTGGAAAATCCCCTCCTTTGTAATTTAGACTATAGCTTGTACTAAATTTTTTTTTTAATTGGGTTCGCATCACCATAGCACTATAGTAGCATGTGTGTGTGACCCCCGGGTATAATTTAGACTATAGCTTGTTTTTAATGTAATTGCTTATTTGGTTAATGTGAAAAGTGGTTGATGTAGGTGAATTGTATAAAAGCTCAAACCACCAATCAAATGATTGCTTCAAATTGGAAGGTCACAAAACAGGGCCACATCTCAAAACACAGGTCAGATTAATTTAATTTCCTGCTTGTTATGAGATCTTATTGTGATCAATTTTGTGATTTCTGATTTATAAGAGGTGTTTGATCCCAGTTGTTGCTCAGTTCAATTCGGATTTCTGAATTTCTTGGGTTTCCATTGAAAGCAACAAAACAATGGAGTTTTTCCTTGCTTCAATGCACGGAAACCTCTCAAGGAGGTTTGCTCCTAAGTGCAGTACTGCCTTTATTGAAGCTCCGTTGTATGGCTGCCATTGGTTACTTCTTGCTCACCCAAAATACCAACTTGTCCCAAAAGCCACTTTCAACATTTCTCAGTAAGCTGGTGTTTGCGTCTTTTTGCCCTGCTTGATCTTCACCAATCTTGGTCCATCCATCACTTTAAAAACTTGCTGAATTGGTGGGTCATTCCTGTTAATGTTGTTATAAGTACCACAATTGGGTGTGTTTTGGGGGTTTTGGTAGCAATAATTTGCAGGCCACCACCTGAATTTTTTAGATTTACCATAATCATGACTGCATTTGGAAACACAGGTAATCTCCCTCTTGCAATTGTGGCCTCTGTTTGCCACAGTGATGATAACCCTTTTGGTACTGAAGATGACTGCACTGCCTGGGGTGGCATATGTTTTTTTTACCAAGGTTCGTATTCTGTTTTATAAAGTGTGTTATCACATGTGGAGCCCACCTTGGAATCTAGTACAAGTGCTTACGACGTTGTTGTGAGGAAAGAGGCATATCACAGATTGAGTGAGGAAGGGGGGCTAATGGCAAGCCATGACAATGGAACGAAACTGATTCGCACTAGGCCACTTCTTGTGTTGCTGCTGCATGGCCTGGAATGGGAAGATAAGGAAAATTGAGCATTGCACGACACCCTGTATTGCAAGCCTTTTCAATTGGCAGCAATTCTATCACTTTCCCACAAGCGCTCTTCCGGTTTCGGCAGCAGAGGAGGAGAGATAAGAAGGGAACCGCCCAAGAAGTAACCAAGTGTCTGGCAGGCCTGAATGGTGAGGGGAAAATCGGTCCTGTTGCCGGATGACACCAATTATGGATGCTTCAGCCCCCAACCAATGCTTTCTCTTTTTGGCCATTATCCTTGGCAGATGCCATGTTTACATCTGGGTTTTTGATGTGATGATCAAATCTGTCCTTCCTCCACAGAAGCTTGGGAATTCTATCTGAGGCCATGGTGCCTTCGGCCGTGCTTGTTTCTGTGGAGGCATGCTGCTGGAAGGTCCAACGAAATCAAATCTAGGAATGAGAAATACAATTGGTTATTGTTTGCAGCTTTTGGTACTTCCCTTTGCATGGAATTGGTGTGCTCTATTGGCTGATAAATTGGAACTTTGATTGGCCGATGACCATGTACCTGTTTCGTCGTTTGCCTGCATACACCACACCAATGCTATCGTGTTAGAGCATTGCATCTTGAGGGGTTTGCAGTCAGAGAGGCTTCTGCATCTTCGGGCCAGCATAGTGGTGCTGTCTTCTCCCGTTCAGTCTATATAATTGTATACTTCTCATAGGTTTTGAAATAGAGCTTGGACCTCAAAATTCTTTCCAATTATCAGACTACTTTCGAACTATTGAAAAACGGTTTCATTGGCGTTGCTCCTTCAAGTTTTTAAGTTAGCACACAATGTTCATGCATAACTCCAGACAATTGTTGGCTATTTGAGCCTTCTCGTAGCAAGGCCCCACCAGTTTTCGCCGCCGGGGAAAGGGGGTGTATTCATTGAGCTTTGACATATTGTAATACCTGATTTAATGTAATGGTATTTCAACCAGATTTGTACTTTGTATGATTTACTCAGGATTTAATAGAGTGGCAATACATGATTTTACTTAAATTTTAAATCACTTTTAAGATTTACTTATGATTTAATAGTATTCATTTTGTTCTGCGCTTCTTTCTGCCCCTTCTGAAAATGGAGATTAAGCATCCTGATCTTGCCCCCCCAGGCCCTATAACAATCACAAAAACAAGAGCCATAAACAACTCAAACAGTAAAATTGAGGGAATATGATAATTACACTCAATTGTCATTCCACTTTAAATAAAAAAATAAAAAAACTAATATTAAAAACGAAATTAATAAAATACAGATATATTGTAACATGTAAACTTTGTAAAAATAGGTTCTTTGGAACAAAAAATTTGAGATGTAAGGTGAGACAGGGCATTTATGCAGAACCTTAGATTTAAGAACTTGGAACTTTGAAATCGAAATACAATGTGTGAATAGTTTTCTTGTGCATATTCCATTGTTTTAGATACTGTTATAAAATCATATGAGACCGAAGAGTATGAGATACGTGGTAGCGTAATCGGCCTGTTATTTTTTAAAAAGTACTCTAATGTTTTTTGATCGACGCTGGACGGTGGGAGGACAACGGCAAGACACAAACAATTTGGTTAAAGGAACAAGGTGAGTCATTTTAACTTGACGGGGAACGTTGCAACTTTTTCTTTTGTTGGCTTTGATTTAAAATCACACTTTGGGAATATGACTAGAAACTTGCAAGGTATATAGATCAAAAACACTGAAATTCACCGAAAAAATGGACCAAATTTACACTAAACTACATTGTATTTAAATATCCTAATTTGGAATATTAACCGACATTGATGAAAATTATTGGAGAGATGTTTCAAGTAAACTACCTGTCAAACACGTGTGTCACCCTCTTTCCCGGTTAAGTGATCCCAGCAAGGCACGTAAAGCAAACAAACTCACGAAATTGAGCAAACAAGAACCAAAAAAAAAAGGGGGAGAGAGAAATGAATGACTAAAAGTAAAAAAAGAAACGAGGGAGGAAATCGGTGAGAGGAGGAAGAAGAGACGGTGGGAGGTGATGTGAGGTGGCGTGGTGGGTTATTTTCTCCATTTGCGGTTAGAATCTATCTCTCCTCTCTCTCTCTCTCTATCGCGCACCTTTGCGCTTTTCCCACCTTTTTCGTTAACTGATCACATTTATACAGACTCGTGCGTACAAGTACAATTGTCCTTAAATGCTTGGTTTCTCGATTCTCTACCCAAAACAAGAAAAATGCTTGATTTCTTTAATGGGGTTTTTGGGGTGTGTGTTGGGGTTTATTAATTATTTGTTGTTGTTAATTTGAAGCTACTGTAGTGGGTTACTACACAACACTCCTCTCGTGCTTCGTCGTGAAGATAAACAAGCGTGCAAGGCAAAAAGATTGCTGCTTTCTTCCTTCTTCCCATGCAGAGATCCCATTCTATCTGGTAAGCTTCCTCGCTCTCTCTCTTCAATTTAATTTTAACAGCAATCAATAACCTTAACTTCATTTTTTTGGGGCATATTCATGTTCGAACCTCCTCTCACAGTGTGCATTTTGGTGTGGTATTTGATTGGGAGTTTTCCAAGTTTGGTTCTGGGGTTTTTTTACCAAAAAAAGGGCCATTCTTTCTTTTTCTGGGATATTTTATATTGCATTTTTCTGTTGGGTTTTCTGTGTCATTTCAAGAGTCGTGAATGTTTTGTTGTCAACTATATTCGGGTCGACTTCATCCAGCTGCATTTTGCTTTAATTCCATCCAATAGATTCTCATTCTGTTCACAAAAGGCTACATGAATTTTGGTATCTTTCCATTTTGTTTGTTGCTAGGCTGACTCATCTTTATCTTTCCTTTTTCACTATCGTGCTAAGTCCTTATTGATCTTGATGCAGCTTGAGGGTTGTCCTTGGCTCACCTTCCTTTTTGGGATTCTTCTCGCCCTTCTTTGTATGTTTTCACAAGTAGGATAAGGATTTTGATGCATTGATACTTAGGTTCATGGTGGCATGATGGTTGCGCCCAAAGGTTGCAGAAATCCCCTTACATTCTGCGCCCCCGCGTGCAACGGGCGGCACCACGTTTGGACTTTTTGTGTGTTTTTTTTTTTTTTTTTTTTTTTTTTTTTTTTTTTTTTTTTTTTTTTTTTTTTTTTTTTTTTTTTTTTTTTTTTTTTTTTTTTTTTTTTTTTTTTTTTTTTTTTTTTTTTTTTTTTTTTTTTTTTTTTTTTTTTTTTTTTTTTTTTTTTTTTTTTTTTTTTTTTTTTTTTTTTTTTTTTTTTTTTTTTTTTTTTTTTTTTTTTTTTTTTTTTTTTTTTTTTTTTTTTTTTTTTTTTTTTTTTTTTTTTTTTTTTTTTTTTTTTTTTTTTTTTTTTTTTTTTTTTTTTTTTTTTTTTTTTTTTTTTTTTTTTTTTTTTTTTTTTTTTTTTTTTTTTTTTTTTTTTTTTTTTTTTTTTTTTTTTTTTTTTTTTTTTTTTTTTTTTTTTTTTGGGGAAAACGTAGTAGTGTAAGTTATGATCAGTACCTTGGTATTCAACTTGAATTCAACTTTTTAAACTCAAAAATAAAATTTAAGTCCAAAACAAAGAAAACCTGTTTGGTAGCCATATTTTAAAAACTCAAACTCAAGAACAACTAAAACCACCCTAATTATTAAAAACGAAAAAAATTTGTTTTTTCATTTTTTTTTAACAACCCACAAGTTCTCAAATTTTTAAGATTTGAAAATAGTTTTCAAGTTGAATACCAAACAAGTTTTGGAATATTAAAAATAGATTTAAGAACTCCTTGTTTTTAAGAAAAATCAAAGTTTTTGAGTTCCCTATTTGAATAGGATACCAAACGCTCCCTAAGACTCAATCATGTGTTTGTATCATCAAATTATCTAACATTAATAGTAGTTGTTTGAATTTAAGCAGATAAAGGAACAAAATTTGAATTTTTCCACAAAAAAATATAACAAATATGCAAGCAAACAAATATGAAAGTTGAAATACTTTAACAGATTTATTCGCTCCACTCATCCCCTTTTGCCATGGTAAAAGAGGGTAGGCTCCAAAAAGAACTCCCATAAAGGAAAAGTTGTCATCACAAGAAGTGGGCCCACGAAACTGGGCAAGCCTAAGGGCAAGACTTGCATGGATTGCTGATGTCATGCTGATGTCAATGTGACTTCAGCAGCCAATTCAAATATCAACAAATTTTAAAAAAAAATTCTATAAATACCTAGCCATGTTCTTCACTTCCCACACCAAAATCCATACGAATTATTCTCCTCATATCTCATGTAAATAGTAGTCGCCCTTGGGTTGCTATGGTAATGGGTGTAAATGCATCAAACAATTGCTAGGACAAATACTATTCACGTGAATACTATTTGCCCTTACTTGCCCTTACCATGGCACAATAGGGTGGAAGTGCTCTTAGTCTTACGTGTAGTTACGAGTTTGTTTTATTTTCTACAAGCTGATTCTTGACATATTTCTTATTAGCACTATAAATTGTCTAGGTAACTAAACTAATTAACTAATTTTTTAAAAGCAAAAACCTAAAGCCTAAAAAGGAAATAAGTACTAAAAACTGCAACAAACTGAAACTTGAGTGTAGTTTATGAAAAAAAATATATATGCTCAAAAAATGTGAAAAGAAACCAAAAGCCAAAGCCATGATCAAAGTACTAAAAGTTTGTTCAAAACACATTTAAGTAGGTCAGCAGTTGTAACATTCTAATAGACTTGCAAAAATTATTCTGAAATCGAATTATGAAACAAAAAAACTGCACTGCAATTTCTGGGCAAAAACTACAGTGCAATTTATGAAACAAAATATGCTCAAATTTGAAAACAAGCAATGAATGGCAGTTAAAAATGAATATCCACTGATGAAACAATTGTATAATTTTCATTGACTTCAAAAAAGAATCATAATATCCAATTAGATGTTGTGTAGCCAATTAAAAGCAACTAAAAACTGCAATGCAGAAACTGACTATACATTCACTAAACCATATCTAATAAAAGCAATTGTCAACTGAGAAGGAATGTTCATATCACCGCCTTGCAAGTCTTCCTGTTGTGCCCAACAACACTGCACCGACTGCATTTTAATGGCCTTGTACCTTCACCAAAAGCTTTGATCCTCTTCGTTGGTGGTCTTCCGGCTAGCCTCTTTATAATTGGCGGAAGCACAAGTCCAGCAACTAAACCGTTGCTGCCCAAGCCTTTCCCAATATCTAGAATAGGAAAAATAGGACTCTCATAGGCTTTTCGAAAGAAGTCAGACCTGTAGTAACACTCAATGTAATCATAAATTGAATCTTTCTTTGCTAGAATTGCAACCACGACATGCGTGTGGTAACCAAATTAAATCAAAACCCTATGTCAAATAATTCATTCCATTTGGAGATTATTTGACCTAATTGGGAATCAATCAACCTGATTGGGAGTTACTCAATTTAATTGGGGACCCAATTAAATTGAACGTTACCTAATTGGGTTGAGAATTGATTTGATTAATTACCACGATTCCTAATTAAATGAGGAGTTACCTAATTGAATTAGGATTTGATTTGATACCTACCACTATTAGGGATTTGGTTTGCCCTAATAAATCAAATCCCTAATTAATCAAATCAACTCCAAAAAGGGGAGGAATAATTCCCTTCAATCTACGGAATTATTCCTCTAAAACCCTAGCCTCCAAGACCACTATAAAAGCATAGCCACACACAAGGGTTGAGGTACGTTTGAAATCCCTACTTAAACTCAGCAGAAAATTCATCTCAAACCCTAGCCACCTCCTTTCTCTCCTTTTTTTACATAAGGCTCCGGTCGCCCGGTTTACACCATAAACACATCTCCGTACCCTATTAGCTATTGTTTTCTATACGATTCATTGAACTAATTTAGGCATCAGAGGGCCTTTGGCCAACACCCACCGGGTGTGGTCCTTTTATTGGTTCTATTTTGCAGGGAGAATGAGGCGGCGAAGAAGAAAGGGGAATATTTCCAGTCGAATATTCCCGTGGGGAAATTTGTACACACAAATTGGTGCTTTCATTAAGAGCACGAGTTATACTCAACGCGTGCTCAAGGAATCCGTTCCTCCTATTTTCCAATCCACCGAAGCCTTCCAAAAACCATGGTTGGAAGCAAGAAGATGAGAGGCAAAGCCGCCGCGATGGCTAAATCCACGACGGCCCAAGCCACTCCACCCACAATCTCGCGATCGACATGGTGGCACCACCACCTCTCATCACTGCACCGGCCACCGCCGCCGCAGAACATGGTGGAACCTCTCATCAAGGTGGGCTCGTTACAACCACCAACTTAGGCCCGGTCTTGGAGCAACTTCAAGTGTTCCCTCCATCGCCTCCATGCTCAACGCACGCTCCCGCGTACACCTCCAATAAAACCCTAGGCCGTGTGCAATTGGGCTAGACACACTTCTCTACGAAGTCAAGCAGACCTCAGTCTGAGAGTTGACCAGCTAGGTCAGAGAATGGACAACCAAAGCAATCTGATGAGGCAACTCCTCAACCAAATAAGCTTGGCTCAAAACCTTGGCCTTGGACAACGGGCGAAGAGAGAAGGATGGACAAACGCACCGGTAGGCAGCTTGACGGGTATCAAACAGGTCGAGCAGGAGTGAGCAGACAAGGCGAGGGACAACAACGTGATCGGCTTACCGACATGTCGCAAGCATTTGCAAGCTGCACTCAGAGCAGATTAAGCTTAAGGAACAACGTGCACGAAAGGCTGGGCCCATGACTTGACATCCGTGCCCGCTTGCATCCACAAGGAATGTACATCAAAGGCTAGGCCCCCAGGGAGGTCAGCCAGACAACCATCGCAGCGAAGATCGTGAAGAAAGGCGCTCAGCTGTCCACTCACAAAGGAGCATTCACGAAAAGCTAGGCCCCCAGGGTGGTCAGCTGGACAACCCTCACAATGAAGACTATGAGAAAGGCGCTTCGCTACTCACTCTCGAAGAGTGATTCTCGTCGGAAAGCTACAGAAAATCCTTCGCAAGCGCAGTCCACCAACACGCCGCCTAGGCAGCGCAAGTGAGAAGGTCGACCATCGTAGATCAACGAGAAGGTCAATCGCATCGCCCAAACTGCGAAGGTCGCCAACGTGATCGACCAGCGATGTGTGTGCGGAAGACGTGAGAAGCTTGTGAACGACCGACTTTGAGACTGAAGACCGTGGGAACTTTGAAGACGCACTAGTAAGGAGATGGACCAGGTAAACTCACACCTTTCACTGCCGAATCGAGCAAGCTGCTCCTCCAAAGCGATTCTTACACCCACATTCACACACTTCAAAGGGGATTCTGATCCCGAGAGGCACCTAAACACTTCAAAAGTGTCATGATCCTCCACAAGGCCGACGACGCGCTAATGTGCAAGGTGTGTATGATGACCTTGCGGGAGCAGCCCAGACTGGTTCCATACCTTACCATCCGGGTCGATCAGCAGCTTCAAGGAGCTGGCTTACGTCTTCACCAAAGAATACACCTCTTACCGGACAATTAAGAAGAACCCTGACCACCTGTACAACTTGCGCAAGAAGTCGGACGAATCCCTTCGAGATTACATCAAGAGATTCAAAGTAAAAAGACCAACATTGTAGGATGTGACGACCGAATCGCGTCATTTGCCTTCAGAAAGGTCTTCCAGCTAAACACGACTTGTACCTCGAGCTGACTATCACTCCCAGCCAGACTCTGGCAGAGGTCTACGCGACCGCAGAAACGCTACACGCTTGGGATGACGATCGAATCGCCGCAAAGAAATCTACAAAGTAGGAAGTCAGTCAACTAAACGGGCAAGGCAAAGAAGCGATGGATTTAGCAACAAGAACAAAGACAAGCGCAGGTCACACCCACAAGGGGATGCTAAAAGTAGGAGAAGACTAACACCAAGTTCACCATCCCCATACACCATCTTAGCCCAAGTGAAAGACCACCTTGGGTAAGAATGCCATCACACTTGAAATGAGATCCGGACAAGAGGGATACACAAATATTGTGCCTTCCACGAGACGCACGGACATATATGAACAACTGCTTTTCTTGGAAAGCGCCCTTGAAGAACTCGTGAGAGAAGGTCACTGCACGAAATTCATCGCGAAGCAGGCCATCCAGCGAATTGAAGATCGAGGACAACCGCCGAGGAGCCGCCCCAGAAGGTCAAAAGGATTAACACAATCCTAGCCGACGCCAAGGAGTCAGGGTGACCAGCAAGGAAAAGAAGAAGGAAGATCAAACATACACCATGATCCCCAAGTCTCGACTAACATTCCACTAGCGAAGACGATCCTGTAATCAGCTTTCAAAAGAAAGATATGATCGGTCTCGACATGCCACATAATGACGCCGTGTCATCAGCATTCAAATCATTACGCCATGATCGACCAAATCCCGTGCAGACGAGGGCAGCGCAGCAATATCCTACAACTGGTGGTCATTCAGCAGATGGTGGAGACAAAGATCAAAAATCAGCAAGATTGCTGACGGCTTAATGGGTGCAACAACGGTTACCGGGGCACGATAGACTCAATGTCTACACCCCGCCTGTAGCGCTTGCTAACATTCATGGTTATTGATGAAGTCTCACCCTACAACGGCATTAGGGAGACAGGGATCTACAAAGATCAACGCATCACACTCTGCCCACATCAGAAAATTCGGTACCCATCCTGGGGTGGTGTCGGCCAACTCAACAACGTCAGGCAATGGCGAGGAAATGCTCTGCCCAAGGACTGAAGAAAAGCAAACAAGGCGTCCTCCCTGTGAGCCAGGCAGATCTGAAGAAGGTTGCACAACCGAATCTTGCTCTCTTATAGCAATCAAAGCGTCAAGACCAAGCCGGGAAATGTGTCCAGAGGTCTTTCCTGAAGAAGGAATGGAAACCCAGGAAGAGTCGTCGAGTTAATACGCTTGGATCTTGACCACCAAACAAAAAAGCGCGGACGGCTCAGGTAAGCCCCGACAGAAGGTGAGCTACACGCTTCCTCCAACAACAAAGAATGTTTCGCTGGTCTCGCGCCAGACAGGCCTAGCATCGACCCCGAAATCATCTTCACCGACTCCACGTCAACCCTGCCTGCCGCCAGTGCGCAGAGAGACGGACCTTCATTTTTTTTTTTTTTTTTTTTTTTTTTTTTTTTTTTTTTTTTTTTTTTTTTTTTTTTTTTTTTTTTTTTTTTTTTTTTTTTTTTTTTTTTTTTTTTTTTTTTTTTTTTTTTTTTTTTTTTTTTTTTTTTTTTTTTTTTTTTTTTTTTTTTTTTTTTTTTTTTTTTTTTTTTTTTTTTTTTTTTTTTTTTTTTTTTTTTTTTTTTTTTTTTTTTTTTTTTTTTTTTTTTTTTTTTTTTTTTTTTTTTTTTTTTTTTTTTTTTTTTTTTTTTTTTTTTTTTTTTTTTTTTTTTTTTTTTTTTTTTTTTTTTTTTTTTTTTTTTTTTTTTTTTTTTTTTTTTTTTTTTTTTTTTTTTTTTTTTTTTTTTTTTTTTTTTTTTTTTTTTTTTTTCCGCGCCCCAGCCAAATTCACGGAATAGCCTCTACTCCCCAACGTCCTCAGAACACCCCTTTCTGCCCTTCAACTGAAGAAAACGCATTTTTAGTTTTGCCTACTCAAAGCCTCGCCAAAGCTGGAATACATTAAGCTCTGCCAGATCACCCTTTGGCATCGCTTTGTGTTTAAATCGGCATCAGAGTTGTCTCTATCCAGTCCGCCCCCGAAACATTCCCAAGTCCAGCCCTCACAAGCTCTTCCCCTCCATGGCAGAAATGAGATCTAGCTATCTCTTTATAGTCTTGTAATTTGCATCACATGTTCTTTGTAGTCTTGAAAAGGGCACTTCCCCCCAAAACACTTAATTTCATCACTATTCTGGCCAGAACAACCTCTTTTATACGAGCTAAATTGTTAAGTCCTCACCATTCTGAGGCAAGAAAAGAACTTACTTGGGAGATATTCCTCACCCCAATTCACAACGTTTGTTTGCAAATCAGTAACTTGGGGCGCAGTTATCCCTCCAACAAGTCCTGCTAGCTGTTCATTACTATCCGTGGGCACGCTCGCACACCAAAGAAAGCTGACTTTTTGACCAGTCTATGGTTCTCAGGCATGGGGAAGCTTTGCCCTTCCATCATAGGATTAAACACAAAACGGGTGACACTCTTAACGGCAGCCCAAGCCCCATTCATCAGGCTGCTGGAAACAAAAAAAATCCCTACATTGTCCCTGCCCGAATCTGCATTTGTATAACATTTGCATCCAAATGTCCAGTTTTTCAGAATTATCATGCTTGGCTTTGGAGCTTTCTTTAAATAACTCAAAGTCTCATAACTAACCACTAAGTGATCCTCATATCATCAGGCATTCATGTTGAGTGACACGATGGTCTGGTTCAACCAAGCTCTTGAGCTCCACAAAGTAGGATGCAATATCACGACTGCTTTGAGTATACCATTTGCTTTACACCTGTATCATAATCTGGCGACCATCAAATGCGTCATAGACAGTGGGCGTTCGCTCCCAAATATCTGTGCTGTTTGGTAGATCTAAGACTTCTACCAAATCAGTTTCCATGGATTTTTATCAACCATCCTTTAACATGGATCCCTTATACTCCACGAATCCAAAGACGAGCATCTTCTTCCTTGAGCCCCAGTCCCCTGTCCAGATAAACCTCTTTTCCCTTGCCTGACACAGAACACATCATCTCGACCAGTGCATAGTTTTTTCCATTCACCGTGAGTGAATGAGGCAGTGAAGTAGCATTGCGAACTGTACGCATTGGTTCGCCATGTCAAATTTTGAGGTTTTTGAAGCGCTGGAAGCACTGACTTTTGAGCGACGGTGTGGTTTTGTGGGGTAGCTTCGAAAGCCTGAGGAGAGAGACGTTTTGGATGGTTGGTGTTTTAGTAGTCTTTTTGCCCATAGGTTTTTTTTTGTTTTTTTTGGTATCGGGCTAGAGGATGCGATGGGTAAGGGTTTGTATTTTTTGTTTGAGAGACCCGTGTTTCGTTTGAGGTTGGTATCAGAGCCGTTACCCAAGAGAGGCTTTAGCGGGGCAAGGCTATCAGATAAAGTCGCACGGCTAACTAGACAAAGAGCACCTAACCATGATCTAATAATTTTAAGTTTCACTGAAAACACCCAAAAGGGGGGGGTTGAAATTATAAAAACCCCTAGCACTATGTAACTATACACCAACACCCCAAAACCCAGTCTTACACACCCTCAACCCATTATAAAACACACACCACAAAGTTTGCCCTTTGGGTGTTGAATTTGGGTGTGTGTCTATATTAAAAGTTGGGTTGATTTTTATAATACCATGTCTGCGATGGGGTTTTATTTATAATTTTGATATAATATGTCTCAAAGATGAGGAATACAGTCAATTTTGACTTTCTAAAAGAAAAGTACTTCGCTACTTACGAGGAATCTACAACTACGTTAATTAATTCACTTGGTAACGTGAATGTACACCAAAATGAGAGACACGGGATTCTTGAATTATAGCCACACCCAACAGATTTATTTTTCATTATGTTAATTGGGTTTTAGTTAGAAGTAAAAAATTGATGGAAAATTTGTCACTATTAAGTTGTAATGGACTATTATGTCTTAATACGTGCCTCTCGCCTACCTTAGAGTGAATCAAGCCTGAATAGGCTACACTGAAGCATTTCTTACCACCGCAGACAGCCTCAACCTCCTCATCAACTTCATCTGCCTCAAATCCATTCAACTTCATCTTTTTCACCCAGCGAGACCGTGACACGCGTGGTGTTACATGTTATAACACATTTTATATATTAATAATAATACCCTCAAACATAGCCAAGTTTCTATAAACCTTCTCACACAATTCTTTTCATTCCACCTCCAAGCTACCATCCACATTCAATTAAAGCCAGCCAAAAGGATCCAGTGAGAGGCTTAAGTTAGAGATCCTGTTAGCCTCATACCATTCACTAGCAATCATGCATGATTTATTGTTGGGAGAATTTGAGGGCCAAAGGCGCAGGGTTCAGAAAGGGAGGAAAGTTTGATCCTCTTGCCCGGTGTCTGGGAGTTCCCCGGCTAAAGCCCCTCTTACCCCTTCCTCAAATAGTGGTATCGGCTACCACCAGTCGACATCGGAGAACAATTGAAGTCTTCATGTCAGTAACAAATAGAAACATGAGTTTGGTTGAAGGGATCAGGAGGCATCAGCAATTTTGTTGGCAAAGTAAAATGAGATCACGGTTAAAATTTTGAAACATGCAAATAGCAAACGTATATTGGAAACAATATTCAACATTCCGATTCCAAAATCAAATCCCCAGATAACACACAGATCTTATAGGTACTGCAGGACACAGTAGAAATTTTTGACAGTACTGGACTAAGAGCAACACCTCTTTATTTCACGTTATTGGTGACGACAGCAAGCCTAGCAACAACAGAAGACATGAGCAAGATAAAAGAATAAAAAATGAAAACATAATCCTCCTCCGTTTCAGACTCAGCACTCTGGAGCCAGTCAATGAATGGTTGGCGTTCTTCCAAATCTGAGAGTTCTTGCTCCCACCCTTCAGTCCAACTTGATACCACTGCACTATGCATCTTCCTCCAAGATATCAACATCATAGAGAGCTTTTAAACAAGGGCAACTTCCTTCAAGGCACTTGAGCTCGACTTCCCACAGAGCCTTCAATTGCTTGAAGCAAGAGCAATTGAGATCCCTCATCCTGAGCAGCAGCTACAGCAAGGTAGTTTATCTTCTTGGATACCTCTTTGCAAACCCTTTCTCTAGGCCCCCAAATAGCGCCTCAAATAGAGCAGTCATTTTTTCCTTTGCAGACCCAGAAAGTGACCCCAGAAGGGATTGGAATTGTTTGGGTGAAATACCCTTATCCAGATTCTTTTTCAACTCATCAGTAAGTGTTCCTCGAGCAGTGGAGTTCCCATTTCCCAAACTCTCATTTGCCTTTGTTTCTGCCTTGGCCTTCTCTGGTTCATTGGTGGGAAGCTCACCATATCAGCTGTCGCATCATTCAATTGTTCTTGCATCCGTTGACGAGCTGCCTCTATCGAGTATCAGTTTGCCACTGAACATCATCATCATCATCATCAGCCTCCTCTTCATCAGCCTGGCTGAGAGTAGGTGATGTATGATCCTCGTCAGAGCCACTTGTTTTCTTTTTTGAAGAGCTGGCCTTCACAGGGCCCTCCTTAGCAGAGGAAGTGCCCTTCTTCTTTGCCTCTTTCTTCAGTTTTTTCAGCTCCTCATCAGCAGCTTCACCTTCTTTCAGTCTTTCCTTCTCAGCTCTTCTCATTGCTTTCTTGTCTTTGGATCCCTTTTTCTGCTCAGGTGGGTTCTTAATAATGAAAGTAGTGAGCTTGTCCCTCATGTCCACATCAGACACAAAACCACAAGCAGCACATTTGAGTTGAATCATTTGAGTCTTCGTAATCAGTATCTCTGTTTCTGGATTTCCACATCCATAACACTGAACAAATTTCTTGATAAAGTTTTCAAGGAGGCCAGCTAGCTTAGCAGTGTCATGGGACCCATTAACGATAGAAGTCCCAGTTTTCTCATCAAACTTGGATTGTGCGCCAAGTTCACAACCAAAATACTTTGTAGTGTACGCAGCGGGCCTTGCCAAAGCCTTTGCGATATCAACCATGTTGACTATATTTGTCTTGATGCCATTTCCTCGGCCCTCAATTTTGGTAACCATTTTGGGCATCTTATACCTGTAGAAGGCATCATCACTGTTCCCAGCACCAATGTTCAGTAAAGCCATCTTGATAGAGAACAGAAATCAGAATGCAAATACAAGAGATATCACGAGATGGAAATGCTGGTAGCTGCAATATCGTCTTCTAAGTTTTTCAGACAAGAGAAGATTGATTTTCGGAAGCTATGAAAGGTTGCAACCAGTAGCAACCATGAAACTCGGGATATTCCTGATATGGCAACCGATGCATACAGCTATTTCCTTTTAACAAGGGTCTGTTCTTTTTTCTTGAAGATGGACAATACTCTCCAAGCAACCCAATTGATCCCAAATAGAAAATGGCCTGCTCGGACATAAAAGAAACTTCACCACTGACAACTTCACCTTGAAAATCTGAAGGTAACAGATACACCTGCAAGTTTCCTGAATCAAGAATGCTGAGGATTAAAATTCTAAAGAACTCTACAGATTAGAGAGTAGTCTATGGAACTACATGAAAGAAGAATCATGTAAAGAATAGACATAACTTTCCATATCTCAAGCAACAATAATTCAAAAGGGTAACAGACTCTGATGATTTATCATGCTAATGAAGATCATAAATAATTACAATCGTAAAGAATACAAGTCAAGTCCCAACAGCTTACTACAAATCCAAAGAGACAATCCCAAATTTTTTTGCAAACCAGTTCAATTGCCTCACCGTTGCGAAATATATACAGAAAAGTAAATAAATAAAAAATTCCATCAGTTGCAAATAACTATGGAGAATTATATATAAGAGAAAATAACCTATGCATATACTCCAAAGTTACCAACTTTATACGATAACTGAAATCATATTATTAGGTAAGAACATATATTATACAATCAGTTCCGAAGTAAACATTCAACAGACTAGTTTCACTAACAACCATCATCGCAACTCAACTAAACCCAACAACACCCCAAATCCAATCCAAAAACATCAAACAATCATAAAATCTATTTCCAATTAGCCCTAAAATACTGAGATGACTCAAAACATGTAAACAATCGAAGAAAAATAAGATCCAATCGTGAATAAATATAACAAAACAATATTCAAAATCAAACGAAAATTACAATCATAGATGAATGCTGAACTGAGGCTCCTACCTGAAATCCGATAGAGATCGAAGTTCTGGAACGAGAGAAAACGAAGGGTTTCAGAGATAGAAGATGATGGGATTTAGGGTTTCAATGCTTTGGGAGTGTGGCTCAAGAGAGGTGGTCTTGCTATCTCTTATATATACATATATGCGGTTGAGGGCGACACAGAGAAATTATCAAGTGTTGCAATGACCAATTTTAGATTTGGTGGTATTCAATTTGTTTTTGGATTTCTATTTATCAACTAGAGAGGAAAAAAGAAAAAACTTAGAGCCGTTCGTTCTTTTGAATAATCGTTAACCATATTTTTGATGTGATTTTTACAGTTGATGCTATGATAATGAGTTCCTAAACAAAGGAAAAATAAAAAAGATCATTTATACACGCAATGTATTACACAAATCTCCTTGTCAAAATAGAGGTGTCAAATATGCCGGGCCAGCACAACCCATTTATAATCGGCCTATTTAATAAACGGGTCGTGCCGGACTAGCTCATTTAGGAAAAACATCAATATGGGCTCGGGCCGTGCTCATATCGAGCCACTAAACTGGCCAATATGAGCCCACGTCAAATTTAACTTATGTATTTCTTTTCATTTTTATAAATTTTTTCATCTTCATTTAAATCTTTTTTTACCATTATGTATATACTAATAATATTTATGATTTATTTATTATAAAAAAAATGTCAATAACTTTATTTAAATTCCATTTAAATAGAAAATGGCTTAGATTATTGTTTGGGTTTTAAAAATTGAAACTTGAAAAACAAAATTATTATTTTATATATAAAGAAAACATTAAATTTAAGATATAAATATAATAATATTATGTATTATTTTTCTCTAAAATAACTATAATTTAATAAATGGGCTTTAAACAGGCCAGTCAGTCTCATTGGACCTAATTATCTCGTCCAATAAACCCATTTCTGAATTTGTTTAATTCTAAATTTAGGTCATGAGGAAGCAATAGCACCATAAGCTCAATGGTGGAACTACATAGTGGGCTACAGTGGGTTGTAGCTTAGGTAGGTTTTTGAAGGAAAAAAAACCTATATAGCATATCAACTTGTCATTCCCACTTGTAGCTAGGACCCTCGTTTTGTGGTTTTCTTGGCATTTTCCCAACTTTTTCTATGAAAACATCTTTTCAAAACAAAAGAAAATATACAACACATTAATAGGGAAATATTATTTTCTGAAGTCTGTTAGTATTCAGCAGAGAATATATGTGAAAAAGTTGGTCCAACATATAGAGCCTGTTTAGTCTGTTTAATAGGATCACTTTCAATTATGTTGTTGAGCATATATTCATTTTAATTAAATATTTTTTTAAAATTTAATATGTATTTGTTTTATGCTAAAGTTGATTGAAAATTTGCCAATGGAGCTATAAATTATCATGGCTTATATGATTTAATGTATACTTTCATTTCTATAAAAAAAAAAAAAAAAAATCTAAAATTAATACAAATTATTAGAATCATAAATATATTTTATGCTAAAAGTTTAGCTAAAGTTCCACCCATAAAAAAATTCATTGGTTCCCCACTTCCACAAACTAAACCCCTAACAAGAAACTAGTGACTCAGTGAAATATTTGAATAATTTTTAGGCGAAACCCACGCAAAATTTGATAAAGAAACCCAACTTCCCCCAAACATCAACCATGTTTGTGCTTTGCAACACTTAGAGCATCTACAATCATGCTTCCTATTTCTTAGCTAAAATTTAGCTAAAACAACACCACCAAAAAAAAAAAAAAAAAAAAAAAAAAATATATTAAGAGCTCTCTAAAAAATTTAACAATTCTCCCTAATTCGGAGCTTTACTTCTTTTTGTCATAAATACTTTATTTATTTATTTATTGGCTGATTGAGTTTGCAAACTCTTCTTTTATAGATTGATTGACCATGCCAGCCGGTGAAAGTTGATTATCATTGTCATCATTCGAATACTAATTGTTACGATTCAAATCTCCATCCAAAAGATTGAAGAAATCACCACTTTGAGAATCCATCTACCCATAGAAAAGAGACCCAAAAAAACACTATAGCAAGTAAATGAACATCCAATATAAATAGCTAAATTCCAACAGTTGTTGGTCTTTGGTTGTGCAAAAACTTTCAATTAAAATTCTATTTTTTGATGAACTCCAATTCAATTTTCATTTTGGGTTTTGTAGCAAATAATGCCAACGGTAAAATGTATTCAATTCAAGAGTTGTTGGTCTTTGATTGTGAAATTTAATTTTGATATTCTAAGGTTTTTGTGTTTTGCAAAATACCTACAGGGAAAAGAACTATAAAAAAAAAGGGTGTTTGAGTGCTGCAAAATGTCTACAGTGAAAAGAATTGAAAAAAACATTTGTTTGTGCATTGCAAAACACCTACAGCAAAAAGAATAGAAAACATAAAAAGTGTTCTGCAAAATACTACATTGAAAAGAAATGATAAAATTGTTAAAAATATATGCTTGTGTTTTGCAACGTGGAAAGGTGATTAAAAATATAAAATGCAGGAAAAAAATGATAAAATTAAAGACATCATTAAATAAATGTTTAAAATAATAATAAAATATAGTAGCATTTAATTATAGGGAGTTACTAGGAGTCCTTTATCTCTCATCAGATTTATGAGCTCCTAGAGGTCTCCTTATTTTAGGAGCTGGAGGTGGTTTAAGGAGCCCATTGTGGATGCTCTTATGGGTGTATTCAATTGAGATTTAAAATATTTTTAAAGAAGTTTAAAAGTCTAGGTGTGTTCAATTCAATCATGATTTTATAGAAGTCTATAAAAATATTGGTTTATTCAATTCAGACTTTTTAAAATCCATCCAAATTTGAATGTATTCAATCATGACTTTAAAAGACTACATTAAAGTTTGGGTGTATTAAAAAACTCATTTGATTTTAAAGGAGATACAAAAAGTTGTGGATTTCATTTATTTTTAGAATAATTTTAGGCCATAACAAATCTTTGCTTCCTCCTAGAACATTTGATAGATATGTTATTTTTATTTTCAATATATAATTTCACCACTTCTACTACCACCATCTTGTCATGGAGACCACCATTGTTACCGTCGTCACCACCTCCACCACTACCACCACTGCAACCCCCACCACCACTGTAGCCACCCAAGGGCGGTCTTATGTTCTGGAGGCCTTAGGCAAACAACTTAATTGAGGCCCTTTCACCCTCTACGTATATTTATGTGATTTTTTTTTTTAGTTAACTAAAAAATAAAAATATATTAACTCAAATTCACAAATGTTACTTACAAAACAACTTAATAAAATGCAACAACAAATTACTTAAATATCATTCGTCTTCCATTTTTCGATGCAAAAGTATCAATTAATTTTACATATAATCGAGTTGACAATTCCTTTGGCAATTTTTGCATTGACATTGAATATATCGTTCCCTTGTATTTTTTTCATATATAAAAATAATAGAGAGGATTAAGCGAGATTAGCTAATCAGTGACGGTCATAGGATGTAAGCATCCACCCTCAATCCCGAAGGAGAACGGACCTACACTTTTGGGAGCCCCAACCCATCCCCTATATTATTACTGAAAAAGGGAGAAAAAAAAAATACACCGGGGACAAGGAGCCAAAAAGCCAGCAAAAAAAAAATACAATAGCCGCAAGCGCTAATAAAGAAGAAAACAACCAAACTAGCAAAACCTATAATTAGGTTGAGAAGAAAGGTTTTAGTTCCCTAATTTATTCATCACAGTTGACAATGCACTCGAAGTGGAGATTAGGTTATGATGCAAACCTAGGAAGGAAATGATGCTAGTTCTTTATTCCTAGGGTGGCCGATTTTGGCTAGGTGGGAGGAGCAAGGTAGTGTTCTAACTCCTCTCTTTAAACTAGCTCAAAAACCCTAACTTTCTCAAGTGACAAAGTTCACTTATATTGACCCACAAGAGGGAGACCAAGGTAAAACCGGCCATGGAACACAACGCTTCAACATCGCTAAGGGCCCATGATGCTTTCATGAGACAACTCGTGATGCCTCAAGTCAATGATTAATTTGTAGTATTCCAACTTGAGAGATCCTGATTGACATTTAAGTAAAACTTCAATTCAAGTTCTCTATGTTGATCGCATTCAGTGAATTCATTCTCTAATGAACACCCATACACTTATCTTAGTGTCTTCATACGAATGACTCGAGACCAATCACCCTCCTAATTGAGCAGATACAATGCATGATGGTCTTTATGGATTATCAATGTCCAGGTGATTATCCTATGACGATGAACAGTTTACGGTGTGGACATGGTACAAAAAGGTCTCATGAACTTAACTTCTTTAAGTTACTTTCTACGTTCATGATCCATGGACTTGTTGGTTAAGTAAATAACTAAGATAATTACTCAAAACAACATAATGCTCTTAATTAATTAGGTGAAATGTCTTTAGAGTTTACATCTCATAATTGGCTATAGGGCATATTTCTACACTCACAGTGTTTGTCAGCTCGCTTTATAATCAACTTTGTTTACACCATAATCAACCGAGCATATCCAGCATCAAAACGACTAGCACCAAGACAGACACGCTTGCTTCCCTACCGAAAGAAGACACTCTTCCGAAGCGGTAGGCACCTGCCAAAGCTCCTGACTGCCGAAGTTTTCGACAGCCAAAGCTCCCCACTGCTGAACCTAATTTGCAAGAACACGTGTCGCCATCACAACAACTTGCACAAAGTCCCACATCGAAACTTTGTGCAAACCTCTCACTTCCACTTCCCTATAAATAGGGAACAATACCCGAGTAAAAAGGGTAACTATTTTCTTACCTTTATTGTTACTCTGCCAAAATTATCACATATAGCTGACTTAAGCATTGGAGAGCCTTTGGCAGGCACCACACCGGTGTCCGAAACTTGACGACTGCTTCTTCCTTCATGTCTTCTGCAGATTCTCACCTTCTTCCCTGTTGAAGACTCTACACTCCTCTCTAAGTTGACCCTCCCAAAAAGAGCATTAACAAACTTAAATCAATCAAACCCACCATGCAATGCATTTCCTTCCAATTTTGTGATAAAATATAAATAATTGACTAAATAAACATCCTCTAAGGTTTCAATCAAAATTTCCAAATTTTTCTTACAATTTTGGTGGTTTTTATTCAATATTTACCGATATCGATAATTTCCACATATTTCAATGTTTTTGGACCGCCGATATTTATTTTAGACCTTGCACACAATATTCTAGGGAAGGAGGTCTCTGAGTCAAATGGCTAGAAAGGGACATTTTTAGTAATTAGATAATTACCTAAAAAATCAAGGATAATTCATGCCATTTCTTGGCCACAAAGGCAAATCAATTGGATAATTTATTCTAAAAGATTACGATCTAATCTTCATGATTGGTCAGCAAAAGCCATATAAAAGGAAGAAGATAGCTCATGACGACAAGGGGAAACAACTTTTCAATAATCAACTCGATATTAAGAGAATATGATCACTCATACTGAACCAAAGCCTTCAAACTTGGATTACTTTTTCTTCCTCTCTTTAGCTTACACCAGTAGCATTCAAGATAATTCAAGATATATATATATATATATATATATATATATATATATACTAATACCATTGTATTCAGAAAAGATTGAATTAAATAGAAAGAGAAATTCCATACCTGAAATTCCATTTGTGATTTAAATTTATGATTCTATCAACAACAACAACAAAAAATAAAAAATAAAAATAAATTTATGATTGTACTTTCTAAATATGAGGAAGTATGGCCCTCCCCTTAATATTCATCATGTTTCGTGTCTTATATGGTGACCAAGTTAAATTCAAAGAGAACTTGAGGTCGATGTACAAGTGAGTGGTATAATGTACGACTTAAATAGTTGATAGAAAGAGTTGATTAAGATCAATCCACGTGGATTCACCTCTATGAGTTTTGGTATGAAATTGTTGTGTAAGTGTATTCTCATTATTTTCGAAACAATATAAGAGTATGAGTTATTTACACTAATACTTCTTGAGATTTTTCGTGTTTTTACATAACTCTTTAAAGTTCTAGAAATTATAGAAACACCCCCTCATGTTTCAAAATGATTTCACATAACTCCAAAATCCAAAAAACCCTAAAATTGGATGTAACATGACTTATGAAAAATACTAAAATACCCTTCATAATATTAGAATATTGTTTAGATTCAGTTGCACTTTAATTTCTATACATTTTTATAATAAAATTAAAAATTAAAACAAAAAAACAAAAAAAACCCCTACCCATCAAACTCATCGTACTCTTCCACCAAAAAAAAAAAAAAAAAAAAAAAAAAAAAAAAAAAAAAAAAACAGATACCAGACCACTCCTCTGAGAGCATCTTGAGAGCAGCAGCCTTCATTCGAATACTAGTTACATACATCCACTTATCTACTAGGTTCAAACCCTAGAGATACACAAACTCGAGAAACTATAGAATACTACCGTAGACAAATATGCTACAATATATATTAGTTAAACTAAAATAAGCATGTGGGGGAAAAATACACAGGTTTTAGGAGATGTGCGACCAAATATTAGAGGTCGTTTGTCTCACTTCAATATTATATATTGACTCCAGTAGATCCTATATACAAAACATATTATTTTGTACCTTTTTAAACACACATTTTATCTACCTGCCTGCTGCACTTTCCTTTTTTTTTTTTCTGGACCACGCACGGCACTCCATGTTAAATGTTTGATAATTTGTTTTGCTCATAGGACCTTCATGGACCACGAAAGAAACATCCACCAGACAAACCATTTATTATTATAATTTATATAATTACTTACTACCGAAAATGTGTCTCGTTTCTGGTACTAGTCAATCATTGCCCATTTTATTAAGCTAGAGTCCGTTTGAAATAGTTTTGTTAAGAAGCATTTTATTCATAAGCGAATTTTGAAAAAGCGCTTTTATTAAAAGTAGGTTAAAAAAGATTTACACTTGGAATAGCTTCTTAAAATAGCACATGCTAAGTGCTTCTCTAGAAAACACTTTTAACACCCGTACAATTTTTAAGTGTCTTCTATGAAACGAGAAAATAAAAATAAATGTTGTTAATTTCATACGTCCAAGGTGCTTTGTCGATCAACCAACCATTATTTACATCACCCAGTCGTTCTTTATATATTTTTAAAACACATTATTGGCTAATAACACACAGCCAACTTATAAATTAGAATGTCCAATGTTAATAAATATCCAAATACATAACCCCAAAAGTCAGATCAAACTAGTTGTCTGCGGCTCTTTGCTACTTTGACCTCTAGGTTAACTTATCCCTATTAGATAATTTCCTCAAACACTTCCCAAACGTTGGTCATGGCTGCCGTACGCAGTTAATTAAATTCGTCACTGGTCATTGGAAACTTGACAACAGTGCATGCCTAATCCAGCTAGAGCTGGCCACTCGTCAGTATCTGTTGACCTCCAAATTATAACCGGCTATTATATCTATAAATATACATAAGAAAACAAGCCATATGCAGAATGGGCAAACAAAGTTGGCTTCACAGAACATATCTGTACTTTCCCACCCTACATTACATTCTTCTGGGTAGAGAAGCCTAAACTCTCTAGAGACCCTTTTCTCTATCTCTTTTTATTCTTTCTTTCTTTCTTCTTCTTGTTTCGCTTTTCGATTTGTTTTGTTTTCGAAATTACGGTGATCAATATTGGAGGAAATCTCACAGTCAGGATCATAAGCAGAAATATACAAAGAAACATGGCCAAGGCTTCTTCTTTGTGTTCTCTTCATGTGCTACAGCCATCTATCCGGAGCAGTTGCAGTCGTCGTCCTCATATCATGCAAGTAAGAGCTCAGAGCTTAGATGAAGGTAACTCTCAATCCCTAGTTTTTTTATTTCGAAATATCTGAATTCATTGCCTTATAAATAAAAAAAAAAAAAAAAAAAAAAAAAAAAAAAATCAATGTCGTCTTTGCAGTTTCCCTCTGCAATATTAGTGGCAACTACTTTTAGCAAATCTAAACAAGAACATATCAAAATATTCATCTATTCATCCTTTCTTATTTATTTATTTATTTATTTTTGGATGAATGCACAACATATACGAAAGTCTAGCTTCTAACGCTCATAAAAAGTATCGTGATTACACTACGTATTTTTCTCCTTACATTATAAATTCAACTAACTTAATTTGTTATTATATGTTTTATATATATTATTTTTTTTGGGGATGGAGATTTATACAAATATTGATTGGGTTTAGGGTGAGATTTCGAACCTCTACCCACGTGAGTGGCAGGAATGGCTATGAGATTTTAGGAGCCCTGTGCAAAATGAGTAATGGAGCCTCTTAAAACATAGTCCTTAACCAAAAAAAATATAAAAAAAATTGGACCATATATATTGATAGCAAATTTACAACTTAAACTCAGCGAAAGACAGTCACATCAAATACAAATCATATAATAAATAATTTGGTTAATGAATTTTCTTGGATCAATAACTATACTATCAAAATTTAAAATATAATATTACATCCTTAATTATCTCAATTTGTCTTGGTCATATGAGGATGGACTTATTGATTTGGGGATTTTCTTCAATTATGATTTAGAAAAAAGGAACGAAAACTCTAAGAATTTGAGAGATATAATTGAGTTTGATTCATGAAACTTGCAAACGAAGGCTACATGGCTTATGATGGTTGGGGAAAAAGAAAAATAGGCTATGTTATATATTACATTAATATATTATATGTATGCAAAGTTTTTGTTTTTTGTTTTTTTTTAATATGTCTAATATGGAACTTATTTTTTTGGGGTCTGCAAAGTTAATGCCAAATTTTATGTAATATATGTAATATTATTAATATTATATTAGTATATGTTATAATAAATTAAATTCAATCTGATTATTATTATAAATAAATAAATAAACTATAACCTCAATAGAATAACATATAATAAAGTAATATAGTATTTTTGGGGCCCTCTTGGAAATGGGGCCTGTGCTTGTGCTCACCTTGCACCCTAAGAGCACTTCCAGCAGTGCAGGCAAAACGGTTCGGGTGGGGGGGGGGGGGGAGGGTTAGGGAGCCAAAAAAATCGATTCCAGCAGCAAAAGCTGGCCAGGGCAGGAGGTGGAGCCCAGCAGATTGGGCTGGCCCAAGGGGGAGAAGAGCCTGCGCTCTGGCTCGAGGGCTGGGTGACGTCATGGCTTTTTGTCAACCCACGTGGTGTCCTCTTAGCTCTCCGATCGCTTTTGTCCTCCAATCCAACATCAACCAATTTTTGTGCAATAAAAAAATGAAAAAAATTACAATTTTTTTGTTTAAAATACCAAAAAATTAATGAATTTTTTTTCTATAAATACCAACCAATAATACTCTTCACTTTTGAAACCGAAAATCTTATTTGAAAATTTTATCCGATTATGAGATATGAATAGTATTGACACGTAGGAACCCAAAAATCTTATCCGAAAATATTATCAAAATTAATTGTTTAGGTAAAAAAATTTGTGAAAAAAACAAAAAAAATGAATAGTATTTGCCATTTGCCATAGTAACTGCTGGAAATACATATTGCTTTTGCAAGGGCAGCCACTATTCACATGAATAGTAGCTACCCTAGCCCCCCATTGCCATGGCAAAGGGCAAACTGCTGGAAGTGCTTTAAGAGCACCTCCACCCCAAAGGGCAAGGGGAAGGCAAAGGCAAGGCAAGGTTTGTCACTATTCACTTGAATAGTGGCAGCCTTGTCATTTTGGTTCCATCCCAAAAGACAAGGGCAAGGGCAATTATTATTCACTTTAATTTGTTTTCTATTTTTTATACTTAAACCATTAATTTTGATAAGCTTTTCGGATAAGATTTTAGGTTGCCACATGTCACTATTTATTATAAAATTCTCACCTAAAAATTCAGATAACATTTTCAGATAAAATTTTCAAATTAAATTTTCAGATAAGATTTTCGGTTGCCATGTGTCCATATTTTATTATAAAATTCACATCTCACTCATCATACAATTGAAATACCGGTCCTCATAGTCCGACACAATCGAGTATATGGACGACTCAATCATTGGCGAAGGCGGTTTCACTTGATCAAGACGTGGGGGAGTATTTTCCTTCAGAGGACGTAATAGTGTCATTATTTCCGACATGAAACGCACCACTGGAACCGACTGCGGGCATTGTTCAATTGAGGAGCCATGTGTAATGGTTTTCCAATTTTTTGTTTTGCCTTCAATAATCTATTTAAAAAAATGAAATTGGAAATACAAGAAATATATTTTTAAAAATGACATTAAATTGTTGTAGCCAAGATTTTGACCTCTTCGAACATTTGCTTCGATGGAAGAGGCCATTTGTATTTTTGCAAAAATGGAAATTTTGTAGTAGAAAATTTGGTGTGGAAAGTGAAAAATATTGGAAGGAGATAAATTTGTATGAAGATTTGGTGTGGAAAGTGAATAAAATTGTTAGGCATTTAAAGGGAAAAAATCCAAAATTTTTTGGTATTTTCGAATTTTTTTAGCCAAAAAAATTTCGATCAGAGCCTCCGAGAAGCGCCACGTGGCTACTTCCCGTTGGTGTATATCAGCATTGGCGTCAGTGGCTGAAATCAATTTCTTTGTACTGTTGGCTCATGAAATTCACACACCAACGGTTTTTGATTTGCCTTGCTGACGTCAGCGTGACGTCACGGTTGACGTCAGTGCCTTCGGGAAAGAGCCCAGTCCATATTTGCCCGTTGGCTTGCCCGGGCTGGGTTTTGCAAGCTGGAGGTGGAAATCGGGCCTAGGGTGGCCTTTTGCCAGGGCCAAGCCCCTGCGCTGCACTCACTGGTGGATCCAAAATTTTTTTAGCATAGGTGCAATTTTGAAAAGCTAAAAACTCTTTGTGGATTGAACATCTATGACTTTTTACCTAGATTGGACATCTAAGACTTTTTACCTAGATTAACCTTAGGTCCTTTCATTCATTCATATCATACATGAAAAATTGTTTTATGTAAAAATATTGACTAAGTATGAAAAAAGGTTTTTTCAAAATAATCATCTTCTCAAGATAATTTTTGGCGGCTTTTATTCCTTACACATCAAATAAGAAAACTTAATTTTATGAAATTTTATTATGAACTATATATTGACTTAATGAGCCATCATTTTTAGCCTAAATCGTATTTTGCACTAAAACCAATTTTTCATATTTTGATTTGGTGGGAATTTTATTTTCTAGTATTTTTATTTGAATCCGAATGGTGGATACTTCCTTATTTACATTGTTAATTGAGTAATATAAAAATAAATAAAAGTAAAAGGACAAAGACATTTACTTAAATGTTGAAAATGGAAACAAGGTAATCTGTGCACCATTACTAGCTGAGTAAAGGGGCAATTTGAAGCACCCACCATGGTTTTTCCTGCGAGAGGAAGTGCACCTCCTTGCGCCTTAATAGATCTGCCACTGGCTGCACTTGCTCTAAGAATTGCCTCTGATGAGTGGAGGTAGAAGAGCTCAACCAACTGAGCTACACCCCACTTGCGTTATATATATTCTTCGCCAAAAAGATCAAGGAATAGTTTAGATGCAATTTCTAGTACTTTTAGAAATTCTCCGAACACATTAAAAATACTTATTTATTTAGTTTATTTATTTTGTCGATGTATGCACTAACGTTATAACTTCCAATGTGTTTGTAAAATGTTATATATATCGTGACTATATATATGTTTATATTTCTGTTTCTATTTACCAGGTAGATCAAGGAATATTGTAGATGCAAATTTGAGTGTTCTAAGAGAGAAGATGGAAGTAATTAAGATGAGGGAGAGACTTGAGAAATGTTGCAATAATAAGCACCAACAATGTGGTTGGAATTATGCAGCAGGTTATAATTACAAACTCAGAAGAGCAAGGGAGGTATCAACGTTCTTCGAGCTCATGCAATTGGTTTGTGTGACTGTTGGTGCCACCTGTTTTACTGCTACTCTATGCCTTGTCCTTGTTTCGCTCTTGGTAAATTTGAATCAATAATGATAAATATACATATCTTTGTAAAAAGAAAAATGTACATCTCTCTAGCCCGCTTATTTGACTATTTTTTATTTGTCAGTTGTCGTTCATGAGATTTGAATTTAGAATATCAAATATGCACCTTTTTTTTTCTTTTTTTTCTTCCTTTTTTTTTTTTTTTTTTTTTTTTCAGCTTGTTTTTGTAATTTGCAAGAATGAATATGCTTCCCACTATGCACTTGAGTTTAAATCATCTCCACATAGTTTAGATTAGATTAAAGTAGAATATCATTTGTATTAAATTTAAAGAAAAAAACAAACAAACAAACTTCACCAACTTTGGATCTTTGATTTTGCCATCCCCATCACTCCCTTCTTCTCACATACACAAACTCTGATATGGAAAAGAATGACAGAAGAAGAAGAATACGCAATAAAAAAGACATCGATTCTTACGAGAAGTAAAAAAAATACCAAACTATATTTGGGCAATTATATCCAAATCATAATCTCATAAACAAAAAAAACCCAACATGAATTACAAGTTTCAATCTCTCTTGATGAAATAGTTTGATGCAAAGTTCTGGACTCTAAACATATACTTGTTCAAACTTGTAAGACCTCAAGATTCAGTCTCTCTTGAGTAAACATTTTGGTACACATGAACACTAACTACTAAGACCTCAAGTAACATCAACAACAAATTTATTTGCTGCCTCTTTGTTTGAGCAAAATTCCGCATAGGGAATATTCTCAGGTTGACTCCTCAACCTTTGATCTTACTTCTCTCTCTTCGTCGATCCCTGCGAAACAAATAAGAGTAAATAAACCACATTTGGGGGATGTTGGCCAAAGGCCCTCCGATGCCTAAGTTAGTGCAATTGGATCTTGATAAAGATACGACAATAGCTAAAGTGGATGGAGTTTTCTCTCACGGGGAGAGCTGAGCGGCCAGAGCCATGTGTAGTGGCACTTAGTCATGTGAGGAGAGAGAGAGAGAGAGAGAGAGAGAGAGAGAGTGTGTGTGTGTGTGTGTGTGTGTGTGTGTGTGTGTGGTGTTTGTCTAGGGTTTTAGAATTACCTCAAATGTCTTGTGTAGCTATGTATTTATATTCTCCTTGCGTGCTAGGGGTTTTGGGAGAATATTCCTTATTTGGTTAGGATTATTCTTCCCCAAAAAAATGATAGGAATTACTCCAAGAGATTTGGTGGAGATTGGTTCCTTGATTTAGGGAGATATTCCTATCTTAAATAAATGATAATTTTCCTAATTAAATAGAGTTTAATTAGGATAATTAGTTTAATCTAAGGAATATTAGTTTTCCATGTGTTGTCTTCTTATTGGCCAGTGAAATATATGTTCCCACAAATGGCCCCCAGCTTTTGCATGGCGCTTGTGAAACATGGAAGAGATGAGAAATATTTATCAGGCTCTTCAACTACATATGGGATTTTATCTTTGAGTTAGGCTCCTAATTGGAGTACACTTTTGACTTCTTCTTAGAGTTAGGTTCTCAATGGGAATAGGCTTGTGATTCCTCATTGATCTAAGATGCCCAACCTTTATAAATACAAAGCTTCTCTTCACTCATCTTCAAATTGCAAACTTGTCATCCTCTACTTTCTAACTTGTGAGAGAGATTTTGAAGGAGTGTACTGCTTGCTAAGGAGAAGAGTCGTCGTGCACCCTAAGGTAGGTCAATTTTTTTTATTCACGGTGAGGACCAGCTGGTTGTGGTCGTGACCGACACTATTGGCAGTGGTGGCGTCTCTGTGGCTGTTGTGGCTGCTGCCACAAATTTCCCTTCTTCTTTTTTCTTCACTCGATGCGAGGACCGGTTGGGTAGGCTCGACTGGTTGTCGTCGTGATGCGGTGGCTAGAGTCGTTGATGGCGAGGACTAGCTGGGCTTGGCTGTTCGACACCTGGGCAGTTTCATGAGCCCAACCGAGGGCGATGGTGGCAGAGGCAGCAACTGTTCTTTTTTGTTTTTTTTAAAAGCTGCGCTATGACCTGCTAGGCAGGTTATGGCTCGGTTAGGGTCGAGGTGCTTTGTCGGCAGCTTGGGCCGCTTGTAGCTAGTCAACGGTCATGTGTTCTGAGGAGGGTAGCTAGTCACCAAGTTCTCAAGTGCCTCTGTATCTGTGGGGTGGTTCCAAAGTGCACAAGAAGAGATTCGTGGCTAATCTGCATCGCATTACATAGAAAGCTCACTTACAAAAGTGGCGTACAACCTATGCTTCTGCCATACATGATGACGTGCATGTTAAGTTGGCGGCGTCTTCGACTGACGATGCGCTTTGTGTGGATTCGAATGATCCAGATGCCTGAATTTTCACATTATGTCCCTTCTATTTCTCCTTGGGCTTCACATGTTCCGACAAGGGTAGCTGATCATGTGTTCCGACGAGGGTAGCTGGTCAAAGTTCTTCAGGAAGGTGTTATGAGCCATGAAGTGTGCCCTAAGCCAACGTACTCTGAACGTCTACCAGACGATCATGTGTTTTGCGAATTTGAGTCGTTTCTTCAAACTGGATTTGACGATGCAAGAGTTCTTTACTTCTTCGAAGTGAGGCACTATGAAAAGTATGCTCAAGTTCATGTATGCAACACCAAGTTTGACAATCTTAGCCAAGGAGATCATGTATGGCAAGCTAACATGTTGGAAGTCAACGGACGGTGGGAAGGCGAGGTCAGCGACGGTCCATTTTTTCCCCTCACTTATTGTGATGGTACGTTATACTTCTATTGATCTGCTTCAATTTTGCCCAAATTAACTTCTGTCTTCTGCTTGCAGAGAATAATATCAGCAAGAAACTGGATCTCGAGCCAGATATGTCTAAGGTCCAACGGACCCTGAACATCCCTGTGAGGTTTCTCAAATGGCGCTGGTTATTAAGCGAGTATCGAAAGAAAGCTGATGGTCTGCCTCCTGCCTAGGATGTTGAGATATGGAAGCAGTATGGCCCAGACTCGAATGATCTGCCTGCCGAACAGGAGGAGTCTTCGACTAAGCCCCCCTCAAAATGAAAGGCCGACACCAAGACCTCCAAAGATGAAGCTACAACTTCGAGGGTAAGAGATGTGTCTCCTTTAAGGAAAACGAAACTTTCTTATGCTGTGATAAAGTCTTATTCGAAAGGGGTATTGTCTGCTAAGAGGACTCAAGTGAGAGTTGCTCTTTTGTCGTCTTCCAGGGTCAAGCATCTTGTAGGCACAGATAGCAAGAAGATTGGCGGCATGCGGAATGTTCGAAACATTCTACTTAAGTCTCCCACTAACCAGCTCAAAGACTAAAATCTGCCCTGCATAGAAGTTTGTCCTCCAACCAATTCGCAGGCCAAGAAATAAAGAGTTGTTGACATTCCACCTAACCATCGCGATTCATTTGCCGAGCCACGAGCAATCATACATGAAGTTGATTCAACATCGTTAACTCCTTTGGAGAGAGTCATTTACTCTGGCTAAGGGTTCTTTGGAAATGCGAACAGTTGGTCCCAAAGCTGACAAGTCCAACTCCGCAAAGGATACATATGTGTCTGATCTACTCAAGATGAACTTTCTGTCAAGCCCATCTACTTGCGTCAAGCTTGCTGATCATATACATCAGGCTAGTGATCTTGGCACGTTCTCTAATCTTTCCTTGGAGTAGCAAAAGGAAGCAATTATCACTTTGCTTAAAAAATGAGTATTTTTGCTATTTAGGCCATTCGGAACTCGTCTGTTGTTGCCCACTCTTTTGCTCAGCTCAGTGATTTAGAGAAGAAGAATGTTGATCTAACTGGCAAGGTCTCGGCCGAGTAGACCCGTCATGAAATGAAGATGTTTGAAATAAATGAGAGCATGTCTGTGCTGAAGAGTTCCCTTGCTAAAAAAGATAGTGAACTCAACTCTTCTACTGCTACCACCAGCACCTGCAGTAGAAAACGCAACACAGCCCAGCTGCCGAACCGCAACATAGGCCGAGGTCTAACAGCTAAGCCTGCGATGCGCACCGTGGGAAGAAGAAGTTGTTGCCGCCACCATCCGTAGCTTCATCACTTCAGCTACTACATCACAGCGGCAACCAGTCGGGCCCACCATGCTAGTCCTCGACGCAAGTTAAGAAAAAAGAAAAAAAGAAAAAGAGTAATTCAAGACAGCTGTTGCTACAGCAGCCGCGGTAGACACCGCGACACCACCACTAGCATCGGTCACGATGACAACTAGCTGGGCTTATCCAGCTAGTCCTCACCGCAAAGAAAAAATAAGAGGAAAAAAGAAAATCAACCTACCTTGGTAAGCACAGCGATTCCTCTCCTTAACAAGAAGTACACTTCTTCAAGATCTATCTCACTAGTTAAAAAGTAGAGGATGACAAATTTTCAATTTGAAGAGGAGTGAAGAGATGTTTTATATTTATAAAGGTTAGGCATCTTAAGTCAAGGAATAATCACAAGTCTATTATCACTACTCCAAGAAGAAGTCAAAAGCCTACTCCAATTATGAGCCTAACTCACAAAAGGAGCCCAACTCAAAGAAGAAAGCCCAAATGCAATTGGAAAGCTCAGTAAATATTTCTCATGTCCTCTATGTCTCACAAGCGCCATGCAGAAGCTGGGGGCATTTGTAAGAGCATATATTTCACCGGCCAAGAAGAATGCGACATTTGGAAAAGGAATATTCCTTAGGTCAAACAAATTACCCTAATTAATTCCTATTTAATTAAGAAAATTATCTTTGGTTTAAGATAGGAATATCTCCCTAAATCAAGGAACCAATCTCCACCAAATCTCTTAGAGTAATTCCTATCATTTTTTGGGGGAAAAATAATCTTAACCAAATAAAGATTATACTCCCAAAACCCTAGCACACAAAAAGGCTATAAATACATAGCCACACAAGACATTCAAGGTAATTCAAAACTCAATTCGAATACCCTACAAAAAAACCTCTCTCTCTCTCTCTCTCTCTCTCTTTACCATCTCCCCCCCCTCTCTCCTCACACGGCTAAGTGCCACCACACACCGCTCCGGCCATCTGGCTCTTCCTATGAGAGAAAACTCCATCCATTTTAACTATTGTTGTTTCTTTTCTCAAAGATCCAATTGAACTAACTTAGGCATCTGAGGGCCTTTGGCCAACACCCCCGGGTATGGTCTATTTACTCCTATTTATTTCGCATGAATAGAGGAAGAGATAGAAGGAAGATTGAAAGTTGAAGAATCTACACGCGAATATTCCCGGTGCTGAAATTTGCACAAACACTTATCATTTGGGAGACACAAAAAGTTGCGAATAAATAGAGGATCGGAGATGGTAGCACACTAGCGCTTGGAACACACTTGCATCTAATAACAAATTTATTACAAGGAAAGCGACATAAAATTTCAACCAACAAAACCGCTGGGAGATCGTCAATATTGATATTCTTCTTCAACTTTGATGATGATATTAATATTCTAGCTGCTGATGCCGATGATGATCTTTTTATCTTTTATGACGAGGAATATCGACATCTTCCCGTATTACTCCAAGAGACGACTCATATACTTCAAGGATACGACATTGTCTCTTAACTTGTATACTCGGCACCATTGCGGCACAATTGTGTATTGGGAGGCTGATCGATATATTAGGGTTGGTATTCAGATTGGTTCACCCCAAATAGCAAGCAGAAGATATACAAATGCAAGTAACGTCTTTGTATTGTATATATATAGTGGAATATTAAATTAAATAACCAAAATTACTTCTTAGTGTTTGGACAGGAAAGAAATCAATGAAGCAGGAAGTTGTCGTTCGGTATCCTTTTTTAAGCACCGTTTTCTATTTTCAAACTCAGAAAACATATTGAATATCTGTTTGGTGGATTGTTTCCAAAATAAAAATAAAAATTTGGAAAACGAATCCGAAATTATGCCTTAATGCCCGTTTGACATTGCTTATTTATGGTGATAAGTGATTTTTTAAAAATTTTGGGAAGCTCAGCCCGTTGGTAAACTATGAGAAAATCATTTATTGTTAAAATTTGTTGTAGGAGAAAGCTATAAGGAAAAACAGCTAATGAGGCGCTTTCATTTTCTGATTATGTGGAAATCAATTTCGAAGAGGCACTAGGTTTAATGAAATTTACAAACTTCAGAAAATACCCCAATCTATTTCATGTAATCTCTTCTCTTGAATCTCTTCTATTCTTCCTATTATTTTTTCTTGTTGAATAAATTTAAGCACACTCTTGAGAAGCCACAAGACTCAGGTAAGAGGCATATTATGTTTATTTCTTCTCAATTTCATTCTTCCCTATTTCTCTTTAATTTCTAGGGTTTTAATTATAAATTTCATTCTTCACTCTCTCTTTAATTTCTAGGGTTTTAACTTCAATAGTTGTTGATGCTGATTTTTATTTTTTTATTTTTTTATTTTTTGTTCTTGTTTTTGTTTCTTTGGTTCTTTGACAAAATATTTATTTTTAATGGAATATATTGGATTTAACTTGAAACATTAGTTTAGAGCATTTGGATACAAATATTTAATTTTTAACCTAATATTTTATTTATTTTATAATTAAATTAATTTTTAGGGTGTGATGGAAACAAATTTAATTCAAAAATATATACAAGTGAAAATGAAAGTGCTTTTCTTTTTATAAAACACTTAAACAAAAATGTCATTTCAACAGAATGTCTTTGTTAGTCATTATACACAGCTCACAGCACTTTCACAACAAAATTTACTGTACACTTAAAAACTGATTATTGTACCAACAACACTTTTAATAAAAAGTTTACTAAACCCCAAACTGTTTTATCTCACAGCTGATTTCTCTCACAGCAAATCTAACAGTGATTATTTTCACAGCACAACAATGTCAAATTGGCCCAGGAAACAAAAAAGCATCCACAATTTAAAACCCAGCTTCCCAAAAGAAAACTGTACATCTCTCTAGCCGGCTTATTTGACTATATTTTATTCATCAGTTCTCGTTCATGAGATTTGAATTTAGAATCTCTACCAACAATTATTTCCCTTCAAAATTAGTTATATTCATCTTGTATAAATTAATTTGTAATTACACTTAAATAGATAAACTATATAGAAAATGTAACAAATCACCTTGCAATTCATGTAAACACTCCCGCTCAAGTTCAGCAATCCTCACTGCTTCAAAATCTCAATATTAGCCATTGTTTAATCCTTAGCAAAAAACCATAATTTAGCTGTGATTAATGGGCATTAGCCATTATTTTTATTTTTATTTTATTTTAAAAAAAATCCCAGAACAATGGTAAAACTATCAGTTTCTTTTATAGGTTCTATCCAGCTAAAAATCCCTAAGTATGAGCATCTCCAAGGGAGATGTCAAATACCAAAACATTAAATTTAACTTTGAAGGCGGATGTGGCAATTTGACATTTTACACAGCTTTACACTCCACTTGATATGTCAAATTAAATTATTATTTTATTACATTTTAGTGTTGATTTATTTTTAATTAAAAAGAAAAGAAAAGTTGGTATCTAAAGTTGGTCACCCTACATTTTCCGTAAAATATTCATTTGATATCTTGCTTTTGGGATATCAAAAATAACATCTCAACCTCCAGCCTTCATTCTACATCAGCTTTGACACATCGGTTGGAGTGATGTGAGATATTATTTCTAGTAGTTAAATGTCTATGTGGCACTTTTGACACATCGGTTCGAGATGGTCTAACATGTCATTGATTACATCTAAAATGTAGATAGGCCCAAAAAAGAGTCTCAAGCCATATTTCCTCATTTAGGTAGAATCATGCTGCAACGAAACAATAATTCTCAATCAATTCCATAGTATCCGATTAAATTTGAGTCTGTTACATTCATTTAAGCATTCATATGGTTTAAATAGCAATCAAAACAAAAACATATATGCTATGAGAATCAAAATTTATACAATGGTTCATATTAAGTAGCAGAGGCATAAAAATGATGCACAGAACAAAGGCGAAACCAAAGATGAGAGAGAGAGAGAGAGGAGAGAGAGAGAGAGAGAGAGAGAGAGAGAGAGAGAGAGTATGTTGGTTCAAAACCAATACAATTTAGTCAATTCATATCTGATCCAATATAGATTGGATTGTTATTTTTTCAATATGATCCAATCATATTAGATGTTTAAATTCAATCCAATCCGATCCGATCCAATTGATATTGAATTGGATTGGATTGGATGATTGATTTTTATAATGGAAAAAGACAATAATAAAATAGTAAACATTTATCCTTAAGTTTAATCTAATAAAAAAATATTAATAGACATAAATGTAAATATAAATGAAATACTACAGAAAATTATTTTGATTATATTATATTAAATATAACTTCATTAAATGACTTAAAATATTCATAACATTTTCAACTACAAATACCTACAAGAGCAAAATAAGCATAAAACTAACTATATTGGATTGGATTCTCATAAGCAAATCCGTCATCCAATCCAATCATGTCGGTTTTGAAAATTACGAATCCAATCCAATCCGTCAAATCATCGAAACCGATTGAAATTGGATTGGATCAATCGATTTGGGCAGATTGGATTGGATCTTGTACATTCGAGAGAGAGAGAGAGAGAGAGAGAGAGAGAGAGAGAGAGAGAGAGGAGTGATGGGGAAGGCTAGAGGGTCAATTTAATGACTTTGTGTTGTTGGATTGTATGTGGTCAATGTTCTCAAGATAATGTGTATGAATTTGTTTGACAAGGAGTAACTGTAATCGTTGCTTTGATTTAGTTTTATGGCTTTTGTAAAAAGTTCTCTTGATTCTTGGAGTGCAACTAGTTATATACTAGAGTCAACTATAGTTTAATTTGTTTAGTATTTATATCAAGAGCTTTACCAAATATACCAAATCAATTAGGGCAAGTGTTTGTTAAGATCTAAACGATTGCTAGACCAATATACTAACTTGGTCTTAAGGTACGTTTGATTAGTTTTGTAAGTAAATTTTAACACTTTTTTTCATTGTGTAACATCTTTGATAAGAACATGTGAACTCAAGATTACATAACTAACAAAGCGTAAAAATTGCATAGGGGTTTGTCCTGCAGCTAGACCAAGTTGATTGTTATACCCTTTGACATAGTGTTTTTATCTTATTTCGGCACAATGCTGGAAAACTACCTAGAGTTTGGTAAATAGGTCTTCCAAATTTCTCACCCTAATTGTGAACATATAACCCTGGTGGAAATTCACACCACAGCTCAAGCAAACAAAGCAGATCAAGGATACCCCAACATGTTATAAGGCTCCAAAATGAAAGGATTAAACAAACATAAACTCATACAAAAAATTAAAATAAGTAAAAAGAGACGTTTAGGTGGCTCAGCCTCTTGCCTACTTCCAACCCCAGTTTCTTGGCCATGCATCAACTACACAAAAAGCAACTTGACAAAGGTCATTCTGAGAATTCATACCAAAATCACCATAAACACTTGACAAGCAGATCACTAGGTTCAATCCTAAACACTTGATCCTTTAAGGGGGTTGTAGAAAATCACCGACATTTTAGATTTAGAATCACTGATGAAAGGGCCCAACTAAGTGGAGAAGAGAACAATTCCTTTCTCAAACACTTGGCTCCCAAACTCTTTCGCACCAAGAGTCGAAAAATTATTTAGACTGTTAAATAAAGCAACTCTCTCACGCAGAGGGTTGGGAAAAAAAAACACAGGTTCCTTAAACTCTAGGTCAAGGATGCCTACATGAGCCTAACTAGGTCTCCAGATCTTGGAGCAATCCAATTCATCTAGAGTCTTTTTGACACTTAAAGGTCTTGCGATTTTCTACCTAATGTGGAAAAGGGAAAGGGAAGAAAGGAAAAGGACAGAGTAAAAGATTATTTCATTCTTTCAATTTTTTAAATGAAAAAAGAAGTAAAATAGATATTATACTAAATAAATTTTTAAGCTCATCTCTCGCAGAGAAGGTAGTTGAATTCCAAAGGATAAAGAATAGGAAAATCTAATATGTAAAATAGCTATTTAACCATAATACATTCATACTAGCAACTAACAATAAAATGTACATTTTATGTATAAACTTTGCACAGCAGAAACCCTGACAAAGAAGAAATAGCTTAAAATGAATCAGAGTTTCATGGTTTTCAAACAAATAAAAGAACTTGCACAAGTCAGTACATTTACTTTCTCGGTGTGCACACACAAACGCATGAACCGCATCAAACCATGTTACTCGCAAGGATTAGTGATTCAGTTTCGGAGAAATGCCACAGTGGCAACACGTGATCCTACAGATCCACCGAACATGAATGTCGGATATGTGCGGACATGACTAAGGTATTGGAACTTATCTTTGGATGTTTCATCATGTTCCTGGGTCACACTTCTTTGATTGAAACTTTCCACTTCTTGCACCAATTCATCTTTTGTGCTGTTACATGATGTGATCACCTACAATGGTGTTCCGCAAGGCAATGGAGATATCAGGTAGTGTCAAAAGAAACAAGAACTTGACAAAGAGAAATTTTAAAAATAATAACAAAAATAAGAAGAATGATGATGCAAATGTTAAAATCTTATAAAGTTTTAGGGTGTGTTGGGGGATGATTCTGACAGTGCCAAAAGCACTTTTAAATATCCAAAAGTGCTTCTTATATTGTTCGGCAGAACACAAAATGCTTTTGGGTTAAAAAAGAACTTTAGGTGCGTCATCAAAAAACACTTTCAAAGTGAATGTGTGAAGCATTTGTGTTCATAATGAAATAGTTTATATACTCTAACTTCCTACTTTAGCACTTTAAAAAACATGCCCTAAATGAAGTTGAGTGCAACTTTGAGTAACAAGTACTAGGCAAAGTGAAGATGCTCACCAATACTCCACCAGGAGCCACCAATCTTGAAACTGAATCCCAATACATTACCCTGTATAACAAAAACACAATCTTTCTCACTCTAGTTTCCTTCTATTCAATAAAGACAAGCAATTAGATGAACTGAACTAATCATTAATAGAGAAACTGAGGAAATATCAATCAGAAAATAGAAAAGAAAAGAGTAATGATCTTAACAGAGCAAATGCAGCAATGCAGACTATGCTGGCCTTTACCTTTTGATAGAACCATCTGGATGCAATCCAATGGCATCTAAGGTTCCTTTGTCCACAACAAGTTGAAACTGCCTTCCCAACTTGGTGTCTAGAACATCATCAACCTAAAAAATAAATGTGACGCAATTCAGTTTAAATTATTGAAAAAACAAAGTATCAAAGTAACAGTATACACAAGCCAGGATTCTGAAGACAATTATGCTAAAGAACCAATTACAGAAATTCAGCCTCATATAAATACTTGTTCTACATTGCTTGTATAGATTTAACTTCAATTAATGGAAAGAATAACAAGTTTATCATAGTCAATAATGCATATCTGGTGATTTAATTTAGAAAATTCCATGCAGATGTTTATAAATTATTGCTTATTCCCATGTTCAGCAGGTACAAGGGGAAAAAGCACTCCACAAACTTACCAAGTAGATAGATGAGAAATTCCATTTCATTCACTAAAAATATAGAGATGTCCCAAGGGATTATAGAAGACATTAGGTTCTAATCTGATATTTTTTCAATGTTTAGACATACCAGAAAAAATTGGCCAAAAGAAAAGGCATACCAAAAAATGAATGTTGGGTAATCCAACACGACCAGCAAGGCTTCGAGCAAGGTCAACCGCTCCTTCACTATAATCGGTTCCAGTTAAATCCGAAAACCTGAACCCAAAACACCAATAATTTCATTCATTATGGTCAATGTGGCCATTTAGAAAAAGAAATGGAATTTAAGTCATTGACTAAAAGTTCATGAAATCTTTGACTCACACTTTTGTTGACAACACTCCCTCCCCTTCACCCCTACCCTCCAACAAGGGAAAAGAAATAAAACAAAGGGAAAAAGCAATGGGCGAATGAGGCATAGCTTTTAAATTTTTTTAATTAAAGATAGACCATATTTCGAACTGGGTCGGGTATAACAATTCGTGGTACGTAAGCAACCTGGATCAATAGATTTAATGAACCAAATTCATTAAGTAGCATAACAGTACCTGTGAAGAACAGATACTGCACACACGGTCCTATTGTTTGCCTAATATACTCCACACATGGATCAGTAGATTAGACCCCATAAACATCATGCCTACTATATTATTACTGTTTGCGTACTATACTATAAATATCATGCCTGTTTGCCTATTGTATTATAAATATCATGCCTACCACATTCATATACTGATAAATCCATTGAAGTGCATCTCTTTATATATATATGAGTATTTATAAAATAAATATTGTACCAAATTAAAAAGTTACACAAATTGCGACCCAAAATACCGTATCGTCTATGCCTACCCCTTCAAATCCCGTACCGTAGAAACTAGCATACCCCGAACCCATTCCTGTTCCACATACCCTCTCATTCCCTGTACCAGGTAACTATGAGAAAGACCATTTTAATTGACTTTAGTCAGTCTGTTAAATTTAGCAACAAATGTATTGAAGACAAAAATTAAAGGCTCCATGTACGTTTCCAACAAATCATGCCCACTGTTTAAGACAAGATTGATGCTTGGAGGATCGAAATGCCACATAATACCCAAGAATATTGATGTAGGACAAAGAGAAAACAGACTTCATAAAGTAGTACAAAACAAGGAGAAAGAAGAAAACAATGAGAGAGAGAGAGAGAGAGAGAGAGAGAGAGAGAGAGAGAGAGAGAGAAGACAAGGCGAAAGAAGCAATTACAGTAAACGAACCATGGAGGCTCACAGCAAGATTCAACGAGGGCAGATCCAGACTTCCTACCTATGTTGTTACCCTAAAAACAGAAGAGGAGCTTCTTTTAACCGGAGCACGTGTTGCATGTGCAGTGGTTACAGTAATGCCACTTGAGTGTAAGTAGATAGGTGTTAAAGTGACAGTAGAGTTTATTGCACTCTTAAAGCCTAGACTGTCTACTACTGGCAAAACTGGATCACATTTTTAGCTCTAATGGCAATCAATGTAGGGCATAGTTAGATGGAGAGCTAGAAGGAACAAGAGAAAAATACAGAACAAGGAGAGAGGAAATGAGGGTACATTCAAATAAATATTTATCGCATCACATGCCAAAGCCTAAAAACCTGTTTTCCTATAAGAAAGTCTAGAAACCTTATTAAAATAAGGCCCATATAATAATGCAATAACTAGAATAATAATAATAGTAGTAGTGATAGTACTGAAATCACCGAACCAACCTATTAATTAACTCAGAATTATAGTTCTCTATTATTCTTATTTTTTTTAAAAGCTTAATAATAAAAAATTAATATAAAAATAAAAGAAAGTTAATTTCTAAGCTTGCTCTTACATGCAAAATAAAGTACAAAACTGATTGCATAATTCAAATATGACAACTTATTAAGCACTGCACATAAACATTTCAGGAGACACACACTTCCCTCATGTTCGATATCGATTTATTTTAGATTTTATTTTCATGGTATCGATTTATTTTAGATTTTATTTTCATCTCTGCTACATCACTCTATGGAATCTAAACGTACATTATTCACATTAACCATGTGTCATACACATACTGACACCTCCACCTATGGGCAACTTGTGAATTTTAAAACAAAACCCCTATATTTCCAATCTAGACATTATTTGAGATATGGTTCACTTAGTTTTGAATTGAATCTGCCTCCATACAGGACTTTCAACTTAGCTCAACATATAATACCAGATAAAATTGAAAAAATCGAAGAATACCCTTGCTTGGAAAGTTCTTGAAGTAGCAATCCATTGCCAGTCCCAATGTCAAGTACACTCCAATCTGAAAGATACTTATCACCTTGTTCAACAGGATCAGACTTGATATTATCAACATGATTTGGCATGCGACCTTGAGAAATATCAATGCATAAGTTTTTGGTCCAAGAGGTGACAACTTCCATGACATCAGCTCCAAACCTACAGAAACAGCACGGGGAACTGCTAAATGCTCCAGGTCTTACATTATCTTCCCATTTTAGCAGAAGTGGAACTAAAATATAAAATGCTCACTCAATTGGGTTTTAAAAAAATAAGTTAAATTTGACAAAATTTGGTTAACCATAACCAAAAGTGATTATAAAGCCAGTAATATTTCAATATTTCAATATTTCAATATTTCAATATTTCAAAGAAATTTAGGTAATAAATATTTTCTTTTGGAATTTTGTAATAGATTTGCTTTTCATATTTTCATCATTCAAACACTTTAGGGGATTTCTAAATAACACCCAAAAAGAACAGTTCTCTCTTCTCTGTCTTTCTTATATTTTGTTGATGAATAAGTAAAGGAAATAACAAATTGTTAAAGATATGTTTCCTTCACTCTCCCACTAAGACACCTAGGCTAAATAAATCCTGTATGCTTCTCCCACTTTCATTCTTGCTAAGAAACCACAAAGGCTGAAAGAGAACAAATGAATGACAAGTAGCTAGGTCAAAAACCATGGTGATCATATGAGTAGAAAATAAGTAGATGATCAAACAAAGAATTGAAGTCAACCACAAAATCCTTTACAGTCCATAAAGTAACCCAAAACATAGATTCCAATTGCAAGATTTTTGTACATTGTGATTCTCTACCAACATGACGAATACCATATGATGAAGCAGAGAGTAAGCATGCATCATTTTGCACAGTAACTTATAGAGGACTGGTATCTTTACCAAGTCCTTCATGAAAGACCATCTGATGCTCTTAATTATTAAGTTCACACCAAAGTCAATCGTTCTCACTGAATACTCCTTTCATTTATTACTTTTAAGATCTGATTTTTTTTAACTTCAAAAAATTATATTACTACATATAGCATGTCTAATCCCGGCTAAAGGATTTCCTATGACTCTGAAAACTTCAAACTCCATGAATTGAATCCATATAGCTGCTTTATGCTGCGCCCCAAAGCCACAACAAATGCATTGACAAGTTAATTTGCAGAGTTACAACTAAAACCAAGCTTACCAAACTTCACCAGTATGACCATGTTCACGAAAATTCGCCAACTCATCTGCATATGCAGCATCCCAATAACTCTGAAGACCTAGCATTGATGTCACACCTTCAGCATCTGGTTCCTCCTTGTCAGAACTGCACACATACAATTACAACACACAACATCAAACACAATACATACAACATTAAAAATAAAATAAATTCATTCATTCATTGACTAAAAGAGTCTCACTCATCCTCTAAAGTCAAGAGTTATAACAGAGGTTGTAAAACCAGAATAAGCCTAAATACAACAAGCAATGGGAAACCTAGTCTTCATAATATTTTCTTCACAAGATTTTCTGGGAAACCAAACAGGAAGTGGACTGAAATTAAACCTGTAATCGGAGGGGGCGCGGAGGTTAGCCGCGGAGAGGGCCTCGGCAGCGTCGGCGTGGCGCTGGTCGTCGTCGAGAGTGCTTCCGTAGTCACTCTTGATGGACCATGAGTCTGCGGCGACGGAGCGGTCGTCGTCGGAGATGAGATCGGCCGGAGCAGCTCGGCTCTGCTGCGATAGCTCCGAGTCATCTGGCCCCAATCGAAGTCCAGCCATTGCTAGAGAGAGAGAGAGAGAGATGGACTATAGTACTGTAATACTAATACTGACCCGAGTACTGCTAAATGGACGTGATCAAACCTTGGGGTTACTCTGGTGGACTTTTTTGGGCTCGGGTCATAGATCTTAAGATTTGTACATTTTTTATTTCGTTTTTCTTATAGAGAAAGCCCAATGGTAGGCTCTAAATGGGCGGGAGAGGTTACAACGAGGAGTTTAAAGTAAGAGGGCTATTTGAGGAGTTCAATCTCATCATAAACAAATGTAAAAAAATTATGAAACTTAAATATTTTAAATATTTTGATGGTGGGATTGGCCTTCTCACTTTAAACTCTTCATTGTAGCCTCTTTCTTAAATGAGGCTGAACTTCTTTGGCACTTTAATCATTTTGACCATGTAGTTTCAATTATGTCACTTTTACCTGTGTAGTTTCGTATTTGTAATAGTTCGAGGACAAGTTAGTATTCTTGTCAATTTCTTTTACGGTGCAAGAGGCAATTTTGTAACCCAAATCCCTTGTGCGTAAAAGCTCGTTTGAAACTATCCTCATTTCACATTAGGGCTCGAAATTGGCCATTTGGGTTTAGGGTTCTTCAAAATTTGGGATTAATGATTGAATTTCAAGCTCTATATATAGTGGCATGGCTCCAAGAAAGTGGTACATGGTCGAATTAAACCCTTCAAGACGGTCTGTCTAACTTGTCAAAAGAGTGGTCCATAATTTACAATACATCTCATTAGTTACTATCTTGTGCAAATGCAATGCAGGAAAGAAACAAAGTGTCCTTGCTTGCTTGGGGATTTTAATTTGATGAGTTGTTATGTCCAAATTCAACCTAAATTAATAGATTAAATTCAACAAATTTATCTTGCAAGAGCACAGATCAATGGTTAGTATAGATATGCAAGCACATGGTCATTCTCACAAGAATTGAGTAAAATTTCAATTAATAGAACATAAACTAAATGGAAACAAAGGTGAAAAATAGAGAGATGGTACATGCCAGTGGAAGTTTTGAAAAGTGAGTTGGCAAAAGTTGATTTTGGTTTAAGAAAACAAATAAAGGCAAACAAGGAAATTTAAGGAAATTTAAAAAAAGGATTTTGGAAAAGCTTGTTAACAATATGATGAAACACCAAGGCTTTAGATTCAACCATTAGTCTTCTTACTCATGTTATTGAGGTAAGTGATTAATCCAATGAGTTAATCGATAAAGATTCCGTACCTAAGTCGATTTTAGCGCACTTAAGCCGATTTTCCCTTAGCTGTGATTACTATTCGTATTATGGCATAGGTTGTTATCTTACTATGTAATCTATCCGTATTATGGCATAGGTTAAACATATGAGATTCATTAAATTTTATGGAAACAAGGAATCATATGAAGTCTTAATCTTTATTAGAGTATTAAGTTCTTCACAATTTATAATTGCAATAAGCTTTGAAACATGCAACTTATTAGGTCTGCATGTATCCATCTTATCACCTAGATGCAAACCCTAAAGATGGCCAATCAAAAGAATTCAACACTTAGAATAAATTTAAGTAGAGATTATAAATTTATCAGCACAACTCATTAGATAAAAAACTCAACATTCAATAACACAAATAATTAAACTAAGGCATCCTCCTAGCCTTGGCCAAGAGGCCTAGCTAGACATAGTCATCGGATCACAACAAATAAGCATAGAAAAATAAGATTACACATTTTAATTGAAGATAGAATAGAGACCATCCACGCCTTCGTAATTTCACTTTGAGTATTGGTGAATATTGTGTAGGTTCGTCAACATCCTTTATAACACCAAAAAGAGAAGTATTTATAGGTGTTGCGTCTAACCAAGTGCAAGTAGTCACACGTAGTGATAATCTTGGAAGTCCAAGTATCATATCCTCAAGGAGTAGGTAGGCAAATGTCTGAATACAAAGAAATAATTAAACGTACAAAAATAAAAATGACTACAAAACGGAAAAGTAATTTAATTTGAGTGTTGTAGAGATTACGTTTAAAAATGAAATATCAATAATGGAAATGCTAAGGCATCAAGGTTCAATTCTTTAAGCAAAATATGTTTCATTCTCTTTAATCCAAATTATAACTCGATTAAAATTATCATAGAGAAATTTTAACATGAAGATGAAAAAACTAAAACTAATTTAATTTTTCAATGTTATCTTTTTTAAATGATTTTTCAGAGAGTGAAATTGCTTAATATTTGATCTTTTAATTTAAAAGCATGCTAAGTCAGTTCTTCACAATAAGAAAAATATAATTGAACTCATGAAAAGATAGTAGCACTTAACATCAATCAAAATAAAAGGATATGAAGATATTGAACAATCAAAAATAAAAGAAGTTAGCAATTCATATTGGATTAAAGAACAATTTACAAACTTTCTCAAAGGACATTCCCTTTAGCCTTAGCTAGAGTTCTAGCAACTCATTACCAAGAAAAACATAACTACATTTTGAATGAAATGAATAAAGAAATTTGTCATCGTACGTCCTTGCCAAATAATTGGATGGGTGATTTATAGTAGTCAATGAGGTGAGTGGAAAGTTAATACGTTCATGGTGGGTAGTGAAGGGTTTAAGTGATGGATTAATGGATTAAACATGTGTTATGGTGGGTAATGAAGGGTTTAAGTGATGGATTAATTGGATTAAACATGTGTTGGTGGTAGAGAGTTAGCGGAAAAGAAATAATGGTGAGGTAGTAGGCATTAAATGTTAATGAATGACATGAAATAGGCTATTTAGCAGTTTTGTCTTCTCTTCTCCCTCTTTACTTCTCTTTATGATCACAATAATCTCACAATCAATTCTTCAATAAAATCCGCTAGCAATTCTCTTCACTCTTGGCTTAAACTTGAACAAATATATATCTTCTTCTCTTGGCTTTCCAAATTCCTACAAAAGATAAATTCACCTAATAAGTTCACCAAATTAAATATAGAAAATTCATAAATCCAATTGATGAGAATGAAATGTAACAACAAGTGATATTATCTTTATTAAGCCAAATTTATATCATAAAGTCTCCAAAATAATGTTAAAAAGATGTAATTTGAGACTCTCATCAATATGCTCTCAAAACCTCCAAGGTTTTCAAGTATGAACCCCTCTTCAAATATGATTTGTTTCCTTTTCTTTTTTTCTTCAGAAGGAGATTGACTTATTCAACTTTCTAATTCAAACCAAGACACATCCATCCCATTGGGCTCTTCTAGAATCTTCTAATAAGCCTTATCTTCATCTTGGAATGTAAATTAAGACCCAATTAATTACTTAGATAAAATAGATAACCCAAATAATTAATCCAATTCCTGCGCATAAATTCCAACTCTAAACATCAGTCACTCAAAACACAGTATCTTCCTCTTCCGACTTCAGAACTATGAACCGTAAAATTATGTAGAAACTAGACATTCAGGGCTTTCCAACCATATAAGGCTCGTAACATGATTCATCTTGAGCAAGTACAAACTATTCTGTAAAATTGGTTGATTCATATAGGCAGTTTTTGAGAAAATTTGCATAATGCATCAAAGGTTGCCTTAAAAATCTTCAAATGAATTCATTTGTTGAACTTTACCTACAAAAGAAGAAAACAAGGTAAATAGCTAATAAATAAAAGAAACTAAGTATAAAAAATAAGAAAAATATTATTCAAATGATGTACAATTATGAGGTTAACAACTGCCCCCAAACTTAGATTTTTCTAGTCCTCGAGTAGAACAAATCAAAACACAAACTCAAAAGAATGTTAGACCTTTCACATATTAGTCAGTCTCAACAGAATTTTGCAATGTATACAACTCTAAAGAATCAAATAACCACCATATAAATTTTACGCATGATTCAGGAGTTCGAAAAAACCACACAAAACATTCTCAAGTGTAGTGTGTGAAATAGCCAAATACTAATACAACTTACTCAACCCCGATAAAGATATGCAAAATAAAACTTCAACTCCAAATCTCACCAGAAATGTCACTCACAAAGAAAGCATTCAAAATTTGGGGTAAGTGTTTTACTCAAGAAAAGTGAATGCATGAAAACAAAATCAAACCCCATAAGCTTGCTCTGCATATCACATCTCCACATAAAAACTATACAACACCAAAGATCAAAAAGGTCTTTACAAAGGTTGTAATGGGGCTAAGGTGAAAGGTTTAAATAAATGACAGGATAGGCATGCAACAAAATTTCTACCAAATTACTAACATAGCATGACATGAGAGATTATAGATTATGATGACTAGCAAAGAATAAAACTTGAGCACTTTAATTTGAAATTCACAGCACACTTCGTTCTTGTGCATAATTTGGCCCAATTTTCTGGCCCTCTTACTTCACTTCATTTATCTCAACCCCCAAACTTATTCTTGTTATTTTTCACTTCATATATATATATATATATATTTCATATTTTTCATCTTCAAGCTGAGCAACTATCCTTGCATCTTGAATCCCTTTAAAAGAATTAGCTCTACTAGTTCTCTAGAAAAGGAAAAAAAAAGGTAAGGATGTGTGTTTAATAGGGTAATAAGGTAAGAAAATTGGGTTGAGAAAGAAAAGGCTTATTAAAAGGCTCAAAGGGCTAACTTGGGATGAATAACACATAAGGGTTGGCTAGAAAGGCTCAAACAAATCAAACATGGCCTAAATCACTTCCTTAGGATTGTATGGTTATTGAAACCTATGTTGCACGGGCACGGTAGTGAGCTGAAGTGTCGGCGTGTCCGACACTCGGACACGGCGCGGATACGCCTCCGACACGCCTTGGACACAGGTCAACGCCTTGGACACAGTCAAGAGACTCCCGACACAGCAAACTCATGGTCAAGACACGGTGGGGAATTTTTGAAAGGTTGCAGAGAAAGCGTTGGGTGACTGGCGAAGCGAGGCCATTGCCTGGAAGCTCCAACAATCACCTCAATGATGTGGTCCTCCTACGTAGTGCACCGCTCAATTAGCAGATGAAAAGTTGCAGAGGCAGTGTAAATGGAGGTTGCGGCGTTGCTTTGCGAATGAAGAAAATATCCTGATAGTGATACCCTATTTTTACTTTGCCCAAACGGGGTCGTTTTTTAATACTGAATAAAGAAACGAAAAAGAGTAAAAGTCATTGGTGATAAAGCAAATTGCCTCAGTGGGCCCACTACACAACCACAAACTACACCCCCACCCCAATTAAATCCAAAATATTACCCAATATAATAGACGATTATCCAACAAAACAAAAATTCTTTTGTCCAATACCCACCCAGCCAACAAAACGTATATTATATTTAATTAATATGCTAATTTTATAATAATTCATATCAACTTAATAAAAAAAAACTATATTTGGAAAGGGTTAGAAAGGTTGGATTACATCATATATATATATGGTATTATGAAATTAAGTATAAACATAAATATTTTATTTTTTTAATATGTATAATTATTATAAATTTATTATTATTTTAATTGCCGCATCCTAGCCGTGTCCGTGTCCTAATTTTTTGAAATTTCCCATGACGCCGTGTCCCCATGTTGCGTTCCCGTGTCCCCGTACCCGTGTCCGTGCAACATAGATTGAAACGTCTCAATAGATATTAGAGCAAGTTCTAGTGAATGAAATGCAATCATGAAAAGAAATATAACTCTCAATGAAGAATATGCATGAAGCTCAAAAACTCACAAGGGTTATCAAGTCTACACTTTAATCCACATATAATTCTCTAAGTTAAAAGTAATTTGCATTAAATTGGCCATGTGCATCAAAGATATGAGAATAATTATGTAAGAAAAAGTTAACTGAAGAACCACAATTAAAACTCACATAATGATTATCAATCCTTAAAAGCTATATAACAAAGTAAAATCCAAGTGTTATCATCGATTTGTGGAAGACTTAACTAAAACAACTCAAGAATAAAAAGAAAAATATTTTTTTTATTTTTATTTTTTTTATTTATGAATTTTATGACATTAAGGACTGAACAATAGTAAATAAAACTGAAAAACTAACCAAAACAAAAAATAAAAAAAAGAAAACAAAATCTGTCAACCTTTTCTTGACAAAAATAGTTTTGACCTATGCTTGATTTTTATCGATTATTTTAAAAATGACATGATGGAATTTTAGGATTTTTACATATTCATAAACTAGACAGAAAAACAAAGACTAATGTCCTGAGCATTGTTAAACTCCAGGTCCAAAAAAATCCTAAATTGACGAAACACACAAGTGCAAAAGCACAAAACAATTTTCTAGTTTTGATGTAGGTTCAGTTTTTACCCTTTATCTCACAAACCACTTGGCCGAAGTTTATGTTCTTTAAATGGTTAAAATCAGCATGAAAGATTGAAGAACATAGTGTAAACGAAAGTTTAAGAGAAAAAAAAACAATTTTAACCAAACAAAAACTATACAAACAGAGAATGAAAAACATACAAAAACCAAGTTTGAAATCCTCCCCCAACCCACCCTCCCCCCAAAAAAAAACTTGAACAAAACATTACCCTCAATGTTAAAGCAAGAAAAATATGCAGTGCATTAGTAAAGGAAGGGTTAGAGGCAAATGAAAGTAGATTAGCAAAGGAATAGGTAAAAAAACTCCCTCTTGAAGCAATTAGAGCACTTCCACCCATTTGCCATGACAAAGGACAAGGGTTGTCACTATTCACATGAATAGTGGCAGCCCTTGCAAAAGGCTTGTGATGTTTCCACCCATTGACATGGCAATCCAATGGCAACCACTATTCACATGAGATATGAGGAGAGGAATTTGTATAGTGTTTTGGTGTGGGAAGTAAAGAATATGACCAAGTATTTATTTAAAAAATTCTAAAAATTTTAGTATTTTTTTAGATTAAAAAAAAAATTTCGTTGCTGGGGCTGGCCTGGTTTGGTGGGACCCATGCGCTACTAGGTCTGTAAAATCCTGCTGGAACTACAAATTAGGGCTTGGGCCCCTATTGCCCGGGCTAGGGGGCACCGCTGGAAATGCTCTTAGGATGATCAAGCTAAGTTGCGGCGACTTCATTGTCTAAGAGCTATCTAGCGAACGTTGGGTTGCCTCCTACGAAGCGCTGAGTTTTACGTCTTCAGCCAGACGTTACTCCCATCTCAATTTAATGGTGGATAATCAAGGTAGAGCTTTTCTTTTACGGTATCAAATTTGCTATCCAAGTAGGGCTTCAATCTATGACCATTCACTTTTCACTCATAACCGGTCTTCAGGTCATTAATTTGGATGGCACCATAGGGAAACACTCCTAATACTTCATATCACCTACGAGACTTCAACTTACCCGAAAAGAGACAAAGATGCGAATTAAACAGTAGAACCTTTTGGTGCTACTCAAACGTTTTCCTTATGATTTGCTTGTCATGAAACATCTTAGTACACTCCTTATAGATCTTAGCACTCTCATAAGCTTCGTTTCTCAATTCATCAAGCTCATTAACTTGAAGCTTCCTCAATTTTCCAGCTTCTTCAAGATCAAAGTTAAGGGTCTTCAATGCCCAATAAGCTCTATGTTCAATCTCAACTGGCAAGTGACATGGTTTCTCATAAACAAGGCGATAAGGAGATATTCCAATGAGAGTTTTGTATGTAGTCATATACACCCAAATAAAACATTATTAATCTTCAAGTACCAATCCTTTCTATTTTAACTAACAATTTTCTCCAAAATTTGCTTAAGTTCGCAATTAGAAATCTCAACTTGGCCGCTAGTTTGGGGATGATATGATGTGGCAACCTTGTGTTTAACCCCATACTTCTTCATCAATGCAGCGAATAGCTTATTACAAAAGTGAGACCTCCATCACTAATAATTGGCCTAGGTGCTCCAAACCTTGTGAAAATCATGTCTTTAAGACGACCTATGATCATTAGTTTTTCAAGGTATCGCTTCCACCCATTTACTTACATAATCAACCGCCACCAAGATGTATATGTAACCATAAGACGGAGGGAATGGTCTCATGAAATCAATACCCCAAACATCAAACAATTGAACCACAAGAATATTAGTCAAATTCATTTGATTACGAGAAGAAAGATTACCCGTTCTTTGGTACCGGTCACATGCTAGGCAATAGACATGAGTATCCTTGAAAAGTGTCAGCCAAGAAAAGCCACATCGCAGTACTTTTGCTCCCAAAGTAACCCCCACAAGCATAAGAGTGACAAAATCTAAGGGCTCGTTTAGGAGTGATTCTGGTTCTAGATAGGCCAGAATCACTTATGGGAAGAATCACCTCTCATGTGCTTCTCCATTTATGGCTCATTTGGGAGTGCTTCTTCCTAAGGCGCTTGTGCAAGTAGCGCTTATGCCAGTATCGTTTATGACGTAAGCACTTCTACAAAGAAGCAGTTTGTCGTTTGGATGTCACATTTAAAAGTTCTTTTACACTACATAAAAGAGCTTTTGATATTTTGATGAGTGTTTGGTTGACACAGTAAAAACGCTTTTAAAAGTACTTTAAAAAAATTAAAAGAATCCCAAAATATTATAATTAACGTAGAAAATAAAAATTCATAGGTTCCCAAAATACAAATACGACTAAAAAAAAATGAAAAAAGAACTTCACCAAGTATTATTTTTAATCATTTTTTGAAAGTAAAAAAGGAATTAACTAGACATAAGAAGATTTGTAATTCTCTTGCTTTCGTCATCCATCTCACGCCTATGGGTTAGATTATATTCTTCAACCATCTCTTCCCCTATACTAACTCCCGCTCCGCCAGAGATAGAGGGTTTGGTTGTTATAGAGTGTAGCTTGTTTTTAGGGTTTATTAGGTACCCCGGTGATGAAGCTTTCTCGAGTTCACTGTCAAGCAAGGTGAAAATATGACTGGCTCTTTATTTTTTTCTTTGGATTAGAAGGAAGAAACGAGATTTTTTTTTAAATTTTCTGAGCAACTGGAGAGGATCTAGAGTTGGCTCTAGGTGAGTTCTTCTGGTCATTTGACAATACTCCATTCATCTATGGGTGGGTTGGTTGAATAATAACATTAGTTGGTGGAATTTTTCATTAGGAATAGGAAATAAATTTAAGGTGCTATTGCTAAAAATGCAAGCTTTGACCATTGTTAAGCACGTGGTGCCTCAATTTGAGTCCATAAGTTGTAGGTTTTTTTTTCCCCACCTGTGAGTGTTTAATCATCTTTTTATTATATATATTTATGTACTTGAATCCATAAATCCAATGCCTTTTCAATTACCCAGATCCTGAAAGAGAGGGAAAAATGAGTTTGTTATATTATCTTCTTTGGGTGCTGTTGATAGCTGTTTTGGATTTTGCTATGTTTTTCTGCGCTTTTTATGTGATATTGCTTGATGGGTCTCGTGATTTGTTGTCTGGTTATATGGATGCATACGTAAACAGCTGCATATAAATTTTTTTTTGTTGGCTTGGTTTTTATGTGTTGGTATATCATAATGAGTCTGTTGTTATCCTTGTCTGTATGGCTAACAATAATTTGCATGTTTATATATATATATATATATATAATAATTAGAAATGGGAGATTGCGAACAAGTAACTGGAAAATGGAAAGCCAAGAAAGATTATAGTGTTTGGAGTGTGGAAGAGAGCAAAATGTTGTTGCAGCTCATGGTTGATGCTGCATCTCGTGGATGGCGTGCTAAGCAAGGCAACTGTAGAAACCAAAATACTTCCCATCCTTAATGAAAAACTTAGGTGTAAGAAAACCTATTGTCATTACCAAAGTCGGTTGAAATATTTTAAGAGAGAATATCAAAAATATTCATAGCTTGTGCGTCATAACTCTGGATTTGGGTGGGACTCAACCACAAAGAAATTCACTGCTCCTGAAGAAATTTGGGAAGACTACTTTAAGGTTAGGTTCTTAACTTATCTCTCAATATGCGTTATGTGGAACCTAAAGTACATAATTCATTACTAATAATTATTATTTAATTGTTGTTTTTGTAGTCCCACCCAACCCACAGGCATATTCAAACAAAAACTTGTGATGACTCTGAGGATTTGCAAATTGTCATTGGGAATGCAAGTGCTATTGGAAAAAACTCATTAGGATTGGGTGATGCTACTGATGAAAGAACTTTTGGGGTGGAAGATAGACAAGTTGGAATAGAGGACTTCGTTTATGATAATGACACTCAGACCTTTGTACCAAATCATAATGAAGCATCACACCAAGATCCACCACTCGGACATTCTGCTTCATCCTTACCTTTTCATGCCAATATTTGGACAAGTCCCTCAGAAAGCTCAAGCTAGAGGAAACGAACTAGACCAGAGCATGAAGGGAATGAAAGCCAATATGAGACATGTATGGACATAATTAGTTTTAGCATTGCTAAAATTGCTACCGACTTCAAGGGAGTCCATAGCCTATTGGAAAAAAGGGAAAAATATAGGGAGAGGCAGAGTTATATATGGGATGCCATTAAGGAGACCCCAAATGTGGATGAACGTGCTTGTTATAAAGCCATTTCTTTGTTGAATACTACTACAAAGAAGGAAGGAAGCATTTTTGTTGATGTCCCCTGAAGAGCGCTTAAGTTGGATATCCTACAATTTGGAATGAGTGGTTTTTGGGAATGAGTGGTTTTTAGGAATGAGTGGGTTTTAGGGATGAGTGGTTTTTTGCTTGATAATGCATTAGGATTTATCAAACAGTATGTTTAAATACTCTATGTTTTATTTATTTTGCATATGACGTATTGACTTAAATTTTTATTAAATTGATGATGAACTGGTTTTTATTATATTGATGATGAAATAGCTTTGCTTGGTTGTAATATGGGCTTGGTTATTGTTTTTATTCTAGGTTCTAAATTAGGCTACTTGTTATTGGGTGTTAATGATAAGTTTCCTATTGTTATTTGGAAGAGCATGACGGTTGCATAATAGCTTTTCCTATTCTGTCATTGCTCTTGGTCTTTTGAGTGGCGGAGGCACTTGGGGGCTAGTACAGTCACTGGTCCCCACTGAAATTTTATTGAAAAAAAAGAGTACTAGTATTAGAAGTCTGAAGCCATATGGACATGAGCCAAAGAAGATTTCAGCCAAATAAGTTGTCATAGTGGCGTTTAAGTCAGTGGCGTGGTCCAGTAGATTTCAACGTGGGCCAACTAAATATCCTAAAATGATACACTACTCATTTCTAAAAGGATTAGAATTATTATTATTATTATATATTGTCTTCTAGTATAAATCAATAAACCTAAGTCTTTTTCTCTTTTCTTAGGTCAGAAAAATGATGAGACCAGCCGGTTGCTTGTGAGTTTTTTTTTTCTCAAATTTTAATTATATTATCAAGTTTTTTTTATTTCTATTGATTTTAATGGGTCTTTCAATTTATGTGTAGATTACCAAAGGGAAAAGGCTTTGGAGATATTTGGTAAATTGCTATTCAACTCCAAGTATGTACTTGTCTATCCCTTGTAATTTTTCTTGCATCGTATGTAATTGTTTATCCCTTTAATGTAATTGTGAAATTGTGTTGGTGAAATTTTAATTTTAATTTTATAAATTTCTATATATATATGATTCTCTATTGGTTTGATTAATGATTGTTTGGTTGCATATATTGAGAAAGACATTTTTAATAGTATAGATGATGAGGTTGTTATGCAACGATTTCAAAATATGAAAACTCGTCAATGACAATTATGATTGTAATGAATAGACAATAGACAATATGATTTTTGATGTTTTGATGTCTTATAGGCCCCCAGACACATGAAATCCTGGCTTCGCCACTGGTTGCATAATAGCTTTTCCTATTCTGTCATTGCTCTTGGTCTTTTGAGTCCTTGTCTTGAGTTGGGCATGAACCCAAAAGAAATTAATAATTATAAGATCAGATTTCTTATATATATTTTATTTCAGGTGGTCGAATATCAATTTATATAATGGAGGAAGAACAAATTGAAAGGCAAGAAATTGAGAGGGAAGAAGAACTTTATGAAATCATTAGGTATTTATTAATGGCAATCCAAGCAGTAGCTCATGCGTTGAATGAGTTTATGATTATCATGCATAGTGAAAATGTTGAACGTCCATTAACTCGGCAAACAGTTACTAGGAAAGGATATAACTACATACATAATGCTTTGAGTGATGATCCTGAGCATTTCCGACAAATGTATAGAATGTATCCATATGTGTTTCACAAGTTGTGCAGTATTATTAGAGAAAAAACACTGTTACAAGATACAAGGTTCATTTGTGTAGAAGAAATGCTTGCGACATTTTTGCGTGTTGTGGGTCAAAATAACAGATTTTCTGTAATACGTGACACATTTAGTCGATCCCACTTCACTGCTAGTAGAAGTTTTAACAAAGTTTTAAAGGCTTTGAACACATTAGCACCAGAGATGTTAGTCAAACCTGGATTTGCAGTGCCAGCCAAAATAAGGGAAAGTACAAGGTTTTACCCTTACTTTAAGGTAAGTGTTGTCTTGTGCATCTTGTTTACTTTTATGTAATATTTTTAAAATCAAAATATAAACTTTGAATTTATTTTAGGACTGCATTGGAGCGATCGATGGCACACATATTTCAGCAATGGTAACATAAGGTGACGTAAGCAGTTATCGTAATCGTCATGGAACAATATCACAAAATGTTTTAGCAGCTTGTAACTTTGATTTGGAATTCATATATGTGCTTAGTGGGTGGGAGGGCTCAGCTCATGATTCAAGAGTACTAAATGATACTTTAACAAGGAGGAATGGACTTAAAGTGCCACAAGTTATTTTTTTCTTTTTCTTTTTTCATTTACTGTTTACATTAGATCATACATTGGATAATAAAATATGTGTATTCAATTATCAGGTAAATATTTCTTAGTGGATTGTGGATTTCCAAATCAATGCCAATTTTTGGCTCCATTTCGAGGTGTTCGATATCATCTCCAAGAGTTTGCAGGTCAAGTTCGTGACCTTGCAAATGAAGTTGAGTTGCTCAATCTTCGTCACGCGTCCTTGAGGAATGTCATTGAGAGGATCTTTGGTATATTTAAATCACGATTTACAATTTTCAAGTCTGCACCTCCATTCCCATATAGGACACAAACAGAGCTAGTGTTAGTTTGTGCTAGACTACACAACTTTCTTCGAAAGGAATGTCGATAAGATGAGTTTCCTATTGAATTGGAGAATGAATCTTCTTCATCTTCGTCATTACCGGTTAATGAAGGGGATCCTGAACTAGTTTTCCAAACACAAGAACAACAACGAGCACATGCTAATGAATGGAGAGTTGGTATAGCTTTGAATATGTGGAGAGATATTGGCCACAATGACAACAATGATAACGAATGAATGTTACATATTTTTCTTTCAGCATTGCTTTCAAACTTGTTATAAATTTGTCACTATACTTTCGTGAACGCCAATTACTTTGAATTTCTTATAATATTTGATATCGTTAATTTATGGTGGGTTCGTGAAGACAAATTGATATGAATCTATAACAAAAAGTACAACGTCTGGCACAAATACTCAGAAAGGTATGCCATCCCATTTACATGTGGAGGGCAGTGTGGAAGATGATTGTCTTGTGGCATAATAGCTGTTGTAGCATGATTTTGCATATCATGCAGATTCTTTTGATAAACATGGGCTGATGATGACATCATAACTTGATTGACAGCCCCATACGTATAATATTGATAGGCAGCTTGGGCAGGTGTGCTAGAAAAATCATGTTGACATTCATTTCTTGGATGCACAGGCATTAGAGAGTATCTATCTTCCTCAGCACTCTTTTGATTTTGAAGTTCCATTGATCCAGATGGGGGAGTAATGCCACCTCAAGGGAGTCCATAGCTAATAAAAACACATCTAATACATGGAGGAGTAATTCCACCTCTGCAGGTTTCAACGCACATGAATCGTATAACCAAAATAGCTTTTAGTGATCGACTAGTGGCTAGGTAAAGAAAATAATGTTGGGAAGAAAGAGTAATAAAAGTCTATGCAAATTGATCTGAATCTATAATAAAAGTCTATACAAAATTATGGAAGTCTATAATAAAAGTTTATAAAAGTTTATTAAAAATTCAGGTAAAACCTATAGGAGTTATACAATTCCAGGAAATCTGTCACTTAAAAAAAATCTTTTAAAATCTTATACAATCCTAATTGAATACACCTGTCTTAAATCATTCTTAAACAATTTAATAAAGTTGCAGACTTATAGTTTGAGTATAAAGAGTTTGGGGTAAAACGATTTGAGTTGGACAAAACCCAAATAGTTACTTTTTGGAGGGAATATTTGGGTTTAGGACCAAATAAGTTGGAAGAGCCCTAATCCATCGCTACTGCTATCTGGGCCGCTCCATATTTTCACACCGAGCCCATTATCGCACCACGATCTTCCTTCGTCGAAATCCCTAGGTTCCTCCGTTGTCGTTTTTTCCAGTTGAACCAGACCGACCTGCCCTCCCATCTCTTCTTCGTTGTCGTTGTGAAAAACGGGTACGCTAAGGTACTATAAGGTTGACGTTGAACTCGACTCACAGTGTGTCTGTAGGGTTTTGCAAGCTCTATGAGCATGTCTCTCCCACCCGTAGAGCGTGCATACGTTAGAGAGGACTGCGTTCGTGAATGGAAGAATGGAACCTCTAATTTCAAGCTCGCAGACCCCGTTCCCATGCTTCGATTCCTCTACGAGCTCTGCTCCACCATGGTCAGCTCAAGATGCCCCCTTTTCTCTTTCAATATGATTTTTAAGCTATTGTTAAGGGGTTTGGATTGAATTTTGTGTGTTTGATTGTTAGGTTTCTGGGGAATTGCCATTGCAGAAGTGTAAAGCAGCGTTGGATTCAGTTGAGTTCTCCGATAAGGTTTCGGACGAAGAGTTGGCTTCCAGTTTTGCGGATATTGTCACCCAATTGTCTCAAGATGTGAGTTGTTTATTTTTTTGCTTGAAGTGTGTTAGTTTTTCTTTTAAAGAGTGAAATTGGATGAAGAACTTTGGATCTTGAACAATAGTTTAAATCCTTGGGGAGCTGAATCCTAATATAAAGGGAGCCTACCGCTATATGTGATATCGTGGGATTAATTTAGGGGTGAGTGTTTGTGAATAGCAGGAACAAACGTGCCATAAAACCACTACACTTGAAATTATTTTTGCATTTGATTGTCCTAACAACGTGTGGTGCAATTATGATCAGAAGCCTCTTTCTTGAAATGGGCTTTTGATGGCGTCCTTTTTAAGCAGGCAAGTTCTAGTAGCTTTAGTTTCAAGTGATTCTTACCCGTAGGTATCATTCCATTGTTGTCTTTTTAGTATTAAATAGTACAATTCGGTTTAGCAGAACCAGTGGATACAATTTGCAGCCCTATTCACTACAAGTTTTGCTTGTACTTCAAACTTTTGATTGAGAAATTTGGTCTACACTATATTAGCGTCTTATGTAATCTCTTGAGATTTGTTTAAGTTGGCCACAAATGAGGTTGGTGTGGTAGATTTTGTCTGTATTCCTCCTACTATGTGTGTGGGATCACTTGCAGTGCTTCTATAAAATATTCTTTTTGAAATGGATTGTTTCCGTAAAGCTTAAAGCTGGGATTGTGCTGGAGAGAAGCATGAGTTTTGTTTAGAAATTGAAAACAACTTCTGTTGGCTGTTTTCCTACTTCATTTGTGGTATCGCTTATGGTGCTCTTGTAACATTTCCCTTTTAGAGTAGACTTCTTTCTGTAAACTCTGAGATTGTTCACTTAATGAATGGATGGGGATGTATAGTTTTGATGTCATTTTAATTGGATGCTAGTGCTTGATCTTCAGATGTCTGGATGCACATCTTGATATTATTTTGATGCTTTAATGTCATTGATCCTCAGTATCATTTGTAGGAGAAATTGTTGCAAATGGTTGATAATAACAAGTAGTATTACGAGAGGGTTATGGTTGCATGGGTGCAATTCGTCTGTCTTATAAATAAACTTTGTTGGAAAAGCAAGGGTAAACTATTGAAAAAGGGGGCTTTGAGAAAGCAACTATGAGGAAGTTGGATTTTTAATGGTTTCTGCAAGCTACTGCATGTGTGGGTTCTGCTTAATTGTTTGGAGATAACGATTTTGGTGTTCCACTGTTGCCTTTTGATTTTTTGTTTTTGTTTTTATGGTATATTATGTTTAAGCTTAATGTAATCATTCAATGACCCACTAATATATGATGTTTATCTGGCTGTTCTTGCTGACATGTGGAAGTTCACTTAATTTGCAGATTAGAATGCCTGGAGAGCATCGTGCTCGTCTTATAAAATTGGTTAGTACTTGGTTAAAAGGCACTAAATTCGAAACAGGAGTCTTGTACTTTATTGATGTCCATTGTCTTCTTCACTATGCATATTGGTTGTTGGAGCATCTTTTCTATTTGTCCACCCTGCCCTTTCCATTTCTGTTTGTGATTTTATCTAGATTTTTCTGAGCCTGGTTACTTATTGTTTAGTTGTTTTCTGTTTCTCAGGCTAAATGGTTGGTGGAATCTTCCTTAGTTCCATTGAGACTTTTCCAGGAACGCTGTGAGGTGAACACTTATCCTTGTCCTAGTTTACCTGATGGTTATCTGGTCATGGTTTTTTCTTCGTTGGCTCTGTTTTCAATCTTCTTGTATGAAAAAGAACTTATGCATGTATACTTCACAAATTGTAGGAAGAATTTTTGTGGGAGGCTGAAATGATCAAGATAAAGGCTCAGGAATTGAAGAGTAAAGAGGTAAGAAGATTATTAGTGTGTAGCTATGTGCTCATATGATGGTGGCCTTGCCCAAAGTATGAACCGACTTTGTGTTGTAATTGTACTTTTTAACAGTATCATCCTGACATGAGTTTGTCCAAATAGAATCTTGCATGCCCTTGGTGAACTTTTAATTTATTTTTATCTGGTAAAAAATCCCTGTTGATGTCAATTCTATATGCTTCATAATGTATTATTTATATGTTTTCTTTGTCAATTGTTAATATCATTAGGTGTACATTAACGTTAGAGTCAACCTGTGCAACTGATTGTAATAGGGAGATCTAAATGCAATAGTTTGTTTCGACAAAGTCAGGCTTGGAATTGTGTATATGACGTGCATGGTTCCTAACAAAATATGGCAAGCATAAGTTTGCTATGAAAAGGATCTTATAGAAAACAAAGGTTTAGCATGAAATAATCAATATGTTGAAGCAGGAATCTTGAATACGATCTAAGTTGATGTGCATGCTTTTAATTTCAGGTCAGAGTAAACACCCGTCTTCTATATCAGCAAACAAAGTTTAACCTTCTACGAGAAGAGAGCGAGGGCTATGCCAAGCTAGTAAGATTATTATTGATAATATCCTTTGGAAGTTTGTTCAATGTGCTACACTAATGGGAATATTTTCCTTCCAGTTTTGTTTCATAACAAGGGATATATAATTTTTCTTTTACTTTGCTTGTTTCAAATGCCTGGCAGTTTTATTAATGTCTTTTAAAAAAAAAAAAAAAAAAAAAAAAAGTCTTTGTTAATTCTTTTGCTGGTATTTAGCTTTTACGTGCCTGCGTTTTATTCTTGGTATGGAACTTTTATTTTATCAATTGATTCAACTCATTGTTTCCAAGTTAAAAATCATCATAAGTTCAGAGTTTATAGTATACATAAGTTAAATTTTCATGCAACCAAATAAATCTTAATTCCTGTTAATTCTAGTTTTATTGAAAGAAATCCACTATTTGATGAGTTTGAGTGCAGTTGCTTTCAGAATCTCCATAAACTAGACTACTGCCTTTAGGCATTGTATGTAGTTGTGAATCTCGTGATTAGATTTGGGACTTCAGGTTGGAGGTTTAGCATCACCTTCGAATTTATAGATTGAATCTTGATAAACTACATGTATCTAGAAGTGTGTAGTTGGTAGTCTGTGTACTATCTCCATATATATGATTGGAGAGATATAACTGTTCTGAGTTTCCACATAAGCTAGGTAATATGTTTATTTAGTTAAAGTCTGGTTTTACTGAGTCAGCCATCGGATTTTTGCTTGGTAAGTCATCACGTTTGCAACTTCATGAATGAATGCATTGCAAATGGGTAAGACTTCAATTTTTTTTAAAACAATTTTTATTCTACTTTTTTAACTTTCTGATTCAGTCATCGTTGCAACCATACGATGTTATGCAGAGAAAATGTTCTATTGTATTACATTTCCTTTTTACTTCTGTTTCAACATCATGGGAGAAGTCCTCGTATGTATTCTTTTTTATATTTTGTGACTCATGTTATAGTTGGTTGGATTTAGCTTAAGGTACTTTGTTAGCAGTGTGTTTTACCATTTTGTTTGCTTCCATGGTGAAGTCACATTTAAGTTGTCACTTTTTCTTCCCTTTTATGAATATAAAGTTTGTCATGTTCTCTCTATCTAATGAGGGACATCTTGGTTGAAGCATGCGGTTTAATTTCAGTAGGTTTGAGACATGTAATTATGTATATTTATTGCCTTGTTTATTTGTAGGTTACCCTTCTTTGCCAAAACTCAGAAACTTCATCACACAATGCAGCAGCAACAATAGGCATTATAAAGGTTTAGCTTTGATATATTTTTCTCTACTCTTTTTTCTTCTATATACTTTTCATCTTCCTGATTAGACTGATCCTTGCAGTCATTAATTGGACATTTTGATCTGGATCCAAATCATGTCTTTGATATTGTAAGTTGTCTCTATTTACCTTATTTGTACTTATTTTTCTGTACAGCCTGTATTTTCTTTTTGGACAATGCTTGGATCCTGATGTATCACGAGGAACTGTTTGTGTTTGCTTCAACTTTTTTTATTTTATATTTTAATTGTGGACACGTGTCCACTACTAGATGAGTCACATCTCCATATAAGGAGGGGCTCTTCCTGATCCTGATGCATCAGGAGCCAAGTATTGTCTTTTCTATGCTTTTACTAAGAATTTGATGTTCTATGATTCACTATTTTCTCTTCAATACTTTTCTTTGATTAGGTTTTGGAGTGCTTTGAACTTCAGCCAGATAGTAATGTATTTTGGAGCTGATACCATTTTTCCGAAGGTAAGGATATTCTATTTACCAACTTAAACTAGTGTGCTATATTTTGATAATTTTGATTTAACTCACTACTTCATCATCTTTTGCAGTCTCATGCTTCACAAATCCTTGGTTTTAAATTTCAATATTATCAGCGTTTGGAAGTATATAGTCCGGTGCCATTTGGGCTTTATAAGCTTACAGCTTTGTTGGTGAAGGAGGACTTTATTGATCTTGATAGCATGTGAGTTTTCCTTTGGTGATTTTTGTATTTGTTGGGATTTTTAGTTGAGTTTAATTATTTTGATTCAATCATGGATACTGTTTCCTCTTGGAACGGATGAAGTTGAAAGGGCAATGTCATTGCCCGTCATGTGGGAGCATTGACTTAGCACCCACAAGCATGTGTCTAGTTAGGTAAGCGCAAGGGCAGACTAGTGTGCTGTATATTCTGAGATCATCATGGATAGTACAAGATTCATGGGTTTCTGTGGTGCCACTATGGGCCATTTGTGACTATCTTGGTGTAGCTTGGATTCAGCCTTACTCATAATTACATCGTTAGCTGAGATGCATGGTAATTTCTATTGAAGGGCTAGTGACTATTAAATTTCATAGCCTGCCGGCAATCACTATGTTTATCTAGCAACCACACTTATGGTTGAGTCTGTGTGCCTTGTCATGGGCAGTTTCATAGTGCTTAAGTACAGTAGCTAGTAAGCTTAAAGATTGGCTTGCAAATATAGAGTCCTTGGGGAGTGTGGTGAGACACATCTACAGATGCTAGTGATGCACTCCTAAGGTTAGGGATCAATGACTCTAATATTGAGACAGATCTTGCTTAGGGATCAATGACTCTAATATTGAGGGAGTGTGGTGCTAACTTGAACTTGATTTTGGTAATTGTGTGCATGATGCACTCCTAAGGTGTGTAAACTGCGTTTACAGTTTTTTGATTGAAACCTTAACTATTATCAAACCTAAGGATGTGACAAGTTCTGGTACTGTGCTTGAATACCGTGAGGCAATTGCATAATAGCATGAGTGCAAGATTTATAATGAATATTTCTTAGTGGTAAATACTAGATGGAGCTACAGGAGGATTAAATTACATGTAAACCACTGCTGGAGTCTGGAATTAGTTCTTGTTTATACCTTGACATCTTTTATTGTGGTTGGTTTATTTATATATGTTTTCTTGTCATTTTATATGTGCTGTTATGCTGTTCATTATCTGCCCATGTATTCAGTTTCCTTGATGATCTGAATTAGAGTTCTATTTGTGCTGGGCCTCTTGGTGATATATTCATTAATGTCTTTGACAGATATGCTCATCTACTTCCCAAGGATGATGAAGCATTTGAACATTATAGTGCTTTCTCTTCCAAGCGACTTGATGAGGTATAACTTTATTATATGTATAAAATATGGGTTATAACTTTGTTATCTGATCTGTAACATCTGTTATTGCGGGAGTTTTTCTGCATGGTTACTAATGTTTGAGGCGACAACTTTTTTCCATTGCATATGCTATGTTTCAATTGTATGTTATGTGATGTGTAACATCTGTTATCATGGGAGTTTTTCTGCATGTTTACTAATGTATGAGGCTACAACTTATTTCCATTGCACATGCTATGTTTCAATTGTATGTTATGTGGCCTATGGATTTTAGGGCATTGGTGGACAAGAAAATTGTGTATATTGTGTCAGGTGGATGCTATGTTATTTGATCATACCTGATTTTTCTGTAGAGAGCGTTTCAAGTATATTTCTTTTAGTTATGGTAGCAGCTTTAGTTGCTTACACCTTCAAAGTCTGTTTACTCTTATATGAAAGGCTATGCTTTCCATTTTTACTTGTATATCTGCGAATATTTGCAGGCTAACAAAATTGGTAAAATAAATCTTGCTGCTACCGGGAAGGATCTCATGGATGATGAGAAACAAGGAGACGTGACAATAGACCTCTTTGCTGCTTTAGACATGGAAACAGAGGCAGTTGGTGAGCGGTCTACAGAGTGTGAAAATAATCAAACTTTGGGCTTGCTCACTGGTTTTCTTTCTGTAAATGACTGGTATGTTTGCTTGTACTTGGGATCTTCTGGTTCCCAGCCTTTCCCCCTTAATGATTTCTGAGTTCTGTACTTATTTCTTCGTTTCTTGTTTACACTGGTTATTACTCTATAAGTGATTGCTGCTTGCTTAAATTGGTAATAGAGCTCTTGAACTGGTTTCTTCCATGTATGCAATGTCCTTTTTTGAGCCAGTTCTTTGTCTGTTATGCGGTCTTACCCTACAATATTATCTTTCCAGTTATATTATTTGTCTGATGAAATTCGTTTATGAACTAAAGGTCCTTGTGCTGCCTTCTTGATGATCATTCTAAATTTTTGTCATGTCAAAATTCTGTAAATGTATGGTTTACTATGTTTGCAACAATGATGGTGATCTGTTGAACCATGTTGTACTTATTAGATTTTGTTAACCTAGATGCTTTCAATTGACTGGAATTTCACAACACCAGGGCTTGGGACTTATGTGAAAAGGCTAGAATGGTTTATGCTTGTTCTAACCAACTCTTTGTCGGCTGTCTGCATAAAGATTGGTATTTGATTTTTGTCTGTCATGCATATATACACTCTTAAGTGTTCAAAATATAATGAATTGAGCTTGTTTGAAGTTTTGAACTGTTGTTCAGTTTTGTGCAATAGCATTTATTTCGTGTAGATTTAAAGATCTCATTTGTTATTGAATTTCTGCTCATCAGGTACCATGCACATTTGCTATTTGAGCGTCTCTCACCTCTACATCCTGTTGAACATATTCAAATCTGTAATAGCTTGTTCAGGTAAATCTAATGTATTGTATGTCTTTCACTCTTCTTTTGTTTTGTACTATGAGCTACTTGTGACTTGACTGAATGTGCTCTCATAGACATGCATGCACAAACAAAGTGCAGATAGGTGGATGATTGTGCATGGTTGTTTTTGAGTGCATTTGAAGAGTTTTAACTTGGCTTTCTCTAGCCTCCTTTTGCGCATACCCATTCTGAGCTTTGGCAGGGTAGGGCATCTACTTTTTCTTTCTAATAATTATTCGATATTTGTGTCCAGGCTCATTGAAAAAACAATCTCTTCTGCATATGACACTGTTCGCCGAGCACATCTCCTAAGTTTTGGGTCTTCCTCAGGAACCAGTGTTGATGTAATTAATACAGAAAATTCATCAAGACATGGATCATTTGTTGACCTTCCCAAAGAACTTTTTCAGATGCTTGCTTCTGCTGGACCCTATCTTTATCGCGATACTTTGTTGCTTCAGAAGGTGCAAATTTTATATCTTATCTTCATGTGTTTGTTTTTTCTTTTCAGATTTTATCTCCTTATAACTTAAGGATTGACTGATTCTATCTCATTTTTGGTGTAGGTATGTAGAGTGTTGAGAGGTTATTACTCATCTGCACTTGATCTTGTAAGCAGTGGTGAACGAGTCGTGGATCCCAGTTATGTTTTTGTCGGGAATCCTCGTCTGCACCTTAAGGAAGCAAAGTCAAGGATAGAGGAAGCCTTGGGAACATGTCTACTTCCTTCTTTACATTGGTACCTGCAAATCCAGCCGTTGGACAGGAGATCTGGGAAGTGATGAGTCTACTCCCCTATGAGGTTGGCCTTGCATCAAAGATATTTGATTCTTCACTTTTGAGAATTTATTTTGTATGGTAGACACTCTTGCTAGATAAATCTCGTCTGCTTAGGTGCGGTATCGTTTATATGGTGAGTGGGAGAAAGAAGATGAACGCATTCCTATGGTTTTAGCCGCAAGGCAAACAGCCAAGGTACAACAAATATTTTCTTCTTGAGTCTTCCCTGCGTTCTGAATATGCCTGGATTTACACTTTTTTCATTGTTGTATGTTGCATGCTTAATGCCCTAAAACCATCACTGATACGTGTTCTATTTTTCCTCTTTATAGTTGGACACTAGAAGAATTTTGAAACGCCTTGCAAAAGAAAATTTGAAGCAGCTAGGTCGGATGGTTGCAAAGTTAGCTCATGCAAATCCAATGACCGTACTTAGAACAATTGTACATCAGGTCTTGCCTTTTTTCACTTTCACTTTGTCTTTTGGAATCTTTGATATTTTGTTTTTTGAATTTTAGTGTTTGTGCACAAGAAATTGTTAATCTGTTGATATTATGTGCAGATTGAGGCGTACAGAGATATGATTACTCCTGTTGTAGATGCATTTAAGTATTTGACTCAGGTGTGAATTTCTATTTTGTTGTGTTAAATTTTTTTTCTTCATCTTTTTCCTTCCCTTCTATGACTACTGTTAAGACTGTTGATTTGAATGGGTGTAATCGGGTTGTATACCAGCTATCTGTTTTGCCCCTCCTGTTATCTTACTCAAAGTGTTGTCCTCCATCATTGAAGTTGATTATGAGACAAAACCTGTGGTTTTGTAGGACAATTTGTATAAATTTTCTATGTTGGGCACATTAGGATACAGCACTGGTATCCATGTGTGCCCATCTGTATCCAACTTTTATACATTTTTTGTCAAAATTACTTATAGTTGGTTACTATTTTAAAAATTATTGACACTGTTCATAGTCTCTTGATTGACAGTAATATAGCTTTGACACGTCTTCATACTAGTGAATTTCTTGTCAGTGTATACGAGGCGGTGGAGGCCTATATTTTGGTCTGTTCTACCTAAAGATTATGTATGACGATTCCTTGGCCAGGCATCCACTAAGTGATCTTTAATCAAGCTTTTGATGGAATCTCTGCTCCTTGTAAACACCATATAGGAGTAGTTATTGTACTACGTCGTCATAGTTACATTTTTGTGTTCTGAAAGACCACTTAGTGGAATTTAGAATTAGTTATACTTAACATTTGGTGCTTAAGAATTACCAGGAAGATACTTGGCTGGAATAAAGTTCTGTTGTGATTTTATGAAGTAGTAGTCATAGCCAGTAATTTAATCAATAATCTTTTAGAGTCTTAAGTAGGATCCTTGGAAATTACAATGAGTGTTTTTTTTTCCTTCTCCAGATTTGGCCTTCTGGAGAGATGGTTTTCAAGTTTAATGCCCTAAGCATGATATTCGGTGATCTAACTTTTGTGGTTGGTTCTCTGTTTTCCAGCATGATATTCTAGTGCATTTCTTGAGACTTTATACTCCAGCATGAGGAACCTTTCTTTGCAGAATAGCCTTCACTCTATTTTGCTACTTTATGATGTTGCTTCTTGGATTTGGCTTTCGTGTGTGGGTGTATATATAAATGTTATATATACATATTTTTATGCCTATGCTTTCTTTGCTAATATTTTTATATGCGTGATTTCTGTCCAGCTGGAGTATGACGTTTTGGAATATGTTGTGATTGAGCGTCTTGCACAAGGAGGGCGTGATAAGCTAAAAGAGGATGGCCTTAACGTGTCAGACTGGCTTCAATCTTTGGCTTCATTTTGGGGTCACTTGTATGTCTTTTTCGTCTTATGGCTTCTATATGTGTTTTTGATACGCTTATTTGGAATTACCATAATTGTTTATGCCATATGGTAGTTGATATGCATTGGCCTTAGTTGTTCGCTTATTTTGGGTTTGTACAATTTGGTTACTCTTGAGCTTTATTTGTTTATTTTTGTTCATCCTTTTTCTTTTCCCCTTTTGACTTTTTGGCATTTATTAGAGTCATTCTGCATGTTTACAACCATTATACAAAGTCTAGTTATATACTTGGATACTTCACTTCAGTTTCCGGGTTGCAGATTAGCCTGGGATTGGGGAATTTATTGAGGAGTAAAGCTTTGCTAAGAAAACGGCTTTGGAGATTCCATTTGGAGGAGAAATGTTTATGGTATTCAGTGGTCAGAAGCAAATATGGGATAGGCCAGGCTGGGATACCAAGCTGGTGAAAGAGGATCAAGTCGGAATCCATGGAAAGATATTTTTCAAGTACTCCATCCTTTTTTATCATGTTGCGAGTTTGGTGCTGGTAATGGTTTAAGGGTAAGTTTCTGGAAGGATCTCTGGGTAGGGGAAAAGCTTTGCTAAGAAAACGGCTTTGAAGGTTCCATTTGGAGGAGAAAGCTTTATGGTATTCAGTGGTCAGAAGCAAATATGGTATAGGCCAGGCTGGGATACCAAGCTGGTGGAAAGAGGATCAAGTCGGAATCCATGGAAATATATTTTTCAATTACTCCATCCTTTTTTATTGTGTTGCAAGTTTGGTGCTGGTATGGTTTAAGGGTAAGTTTCTGGAAGGATCACTGGGTAGGGGAAAGAGAACTCTGGGAAGCCTATTTCAAATACTGTTGCACTCGACATTAAAAGATTCAAACATTTCCAGCCTTGTGATTTGTTTTACTTCTCCATATAGTTGGGACTTTGGTTTCACGAGAAATCTGAATGAGGCAGAGGTGGAGGGGCTATCTGCATTACTGCTGTTAGAAAGTGTGCACCTTTCTCAAACTAGACTAGATTCTTGGAAATGAATGTTAGATCCTGAGGAGAATTTTGTGCAAGTACTTTGTCAGATTTCTTTATGACAAGCCTGAACATCTTTCCTTTCAGCCTTGTTGGCAGTTTTAGAAAGCATGGTCCCATCAAAAGAGCAAATTTTGGCATGGCCTGTGGTGTATGGTTAGTCAATATTTGCGATATGGTTCAGAGGAGGAGGCCTAATTTTTGTTGTTCTCCTCAATGGTGTGTTATATGTGAAGGAGGCGGGGAGAGTGCCAATCACATGTTTTTTCACTGCCTGCCCTTTATTACTTTAAGTCTATGATGGAGGTTGTTCAGGGAAATAACTTTGAGTTGGTTTGTCCCAAGAGATTGTTATTCCTTACTGTATGAAAAGCACAAAGTGGCTAGGAGGGGTAAAAAAGCTAAAGTGATTGGGGTTTGTATTGTGTTAGCTGTAATGGGGGTGGTTTTCTGGGGACAAAATAGAAGAATCTTTGAAAATTTTGAAGGAGTGGGATCGGGGGAGCTCTGGGAGAAAAAGCAAAGGGTCTTTCTTTTGGCCTTCAGTTCCAGTGGAATTCAAGGAGCTTTCATTTCATTCTATCTATTTAGATTGGAAGGCAACTGTGAGTTGATGGTTAGAGTTGTTAAACTCGGGTCTGTGGTTTAGTTGTAATTGTCTCACGTTGTAGCTTCTATTTGATCATTCTTGTTGAAATAAGAGTTTTTTTTCGTTTCACCTGTTTTACTGTCGACTGCTTGTCCGCAGATTGTAATTTCCTTTTCATTTATAAAAATGTGTTTCTTCTCTGAAAAAACAAGGCTGTATGAATGGAGCTAGGAAATTTTGTGGACATTGAAAGGGAGACTTTGATTGATAGTCAGAAAATGTTCACATTCTAGATTGTCTGAATAGACAAAATAGATTCAACAGATGATGCTTGATTCTTTTTGTCTCTTTCATAGTGATGTTTTGTCCACCTTTCCTTGGTGTATGGATGATATAATTTCTAATCACTGATCTGAGGACATAGAATTATTTTTGCATAATTTAGTATAGCAATATGTTTATTTTGCATTTGAGATACTATTTATAATCGCTTAAGGAAGTCTTTTATTTTTTTTCAATGTATGTATTTTTGTCAGAATTGTGTCAAGTTATTCTTAAACTGTCACTTTGGTGCGTAAATTTTTTGTTTCTTTTCTTGCTTTATCTCTGTTGAGTTTGACGATTTCTCTTTTTTAGTTGCTTCTGAATTTATAATAAAAATTGATAGATTTAGATGAACAATGTTTAATTGGATTGGTTGTTCCTTTTTAAGTTCCCTTTGGTTTTATGATTGTTGTTATTTTATTAAAATTTTAATTTCTTCCTGTTTTTTCTTTTTAGAGTCAAGTTTGTAATATGCGCTTTTAGCTTTTAAGAAAGCTGACCACCTCAGTTTTTTATTTTCTTAGGTGTAAGAAATACCCATCTATGGAATTGAGGGGCCTTTTCCAGTATCTTGTGAATCAACTGAAAAAGGGCCAAGGAATTGAGCTGGTTCTCCTTCAGGTATTTTCAAGGTTCAATGGTTATACCTGCTATTCATATGATTTGTCCTCAAGCTTTGATAATATTGAATTATATCAGGAGCTTATTCAGCAAATGGCAAATGTCCATTACACCGAGAATCTGACTGAGGATCAGCTGGATGCCATGGCAGGCAGCGAGACTCTTCGTTATCAGGCAACTTCTTTTGGTGTTACTCGCAATAACAAGGTGCCTTGTAATGTTTGATTATTTTCTGTCATTCAATTAGGCAAGTAGAATAATCTTTTAGATGTTATTTTATCAATATTTGATATCTTCTGAATGTTAAGTATGTTTTAATCTTACAATGTTGCATAAGTTGTTACGTTTAAAGCAGTAATGCATGTTATGGATTTGAGTGCCTAACTTTGAAGATGTTAATGTTGATTTTAATAATGTTACAGGCATTAATCAAGTCCACTAACAGGCTAAGGGATTCGCTGCTCCCCAAGGATGAATCGAAGCTGGCAATACCCCTTTTGTTACTTCTTGCTCAGCATCGTTCTGTGTAAGCTGTAGAGCTTATTTGCTTTCATTTGTTATTTGATATCCATCATCATATTGCTATATGATTCTTTTCAAGAAACATTTATGTCTGTTTGTTCCAAAGATGATTGGTTGCAAGGTGTCTTGAAGTTGTTTATGGGCTGGTTCATTCTGTAGGTAGACCTGTTCTGTAGTCTCTTTTTTTTTCTTGGTTTGGGTGTGTATTAAGAGGAACAGCCAATGGCATTTATCAGTCCTTTTAGGGGATTTATGCAATGCTTCTAACATCCTGATAAGCATCCGTCTTTTGTGTTCAGCATGAAACAATTTTGATTCTGTGGATGAACTATGGGGGCACTGTTTTATCTGAGGCAAGCTCAGTTATGTACTGACGAGATTCCTATATTCTCTGCAGGGTCATAATAGATGCTGATGCACCTTACATTAAGATGGTTAGTGAGCGTTTGATAGATGTCATGGAACTCTCCTTCAATACGTGGAATTTCTTTGCAGTGCTGTGACACCGACATCAGCATATGCTCAGCTAATTCCTTCGCTTGATGATCTTGTCCATCAATACCACCTTGATCCTGAGGTCCTCTCTCTCTCTCTCCTCTCTCTCTCTCTCTCTCTCCCCATTAAGTGCTTTGATTATCTAGTTATTTTAATTATTTTCTTCCATCTGTACTTAATCACAGCACCTAATTTGTAAATTCTCATAATAGTGAACTTTGTATCTATTTATGGTTAAGTGTTTTTTTTTCCCGGAAAAGTTATGTCTACCTCAGTGGCTTACAGTTTCCACATAACATAAATTGTGTACCTGAATAGTCTGTTAATTGTATTTCCTCCATGACATAGGTTGCTTTCTTAATTTATCGCCCTGTAATGAGGCTCTTCAAGTGCCGTGGGAGTTCCGATGTCTTCTGGCCTCTAGACAATAATGACACTCAGGGTATCACCTCTGCAAATTCAGAGTCTGAAGCTGCAGAGCATTCTGGAAATTTGGTTCTGGATGTTGGCTCTCCATCAAAGCCCGTAACGTAATTTTTCTAAAGAGTACCGTCTGGTTTATTGCATTTAGACATCTCTTGATGTGAAGCTTATTCTTGTCTAGTTACTTTTGACGTACCCTTTTTTCTAATTGTGTTGCGTTTCTTTGCTGTTTTTATCTAATTGTATTAGGTGGTTGGATCTTCTTAATACTGTTAAAACGATGTTGCCTCCAAAAGCCTGGAATAGCCTCTCCCCTGATCTCTATGCGACATTTTGGGGTCTCACGCTCTATGATCTTTATGTCCCTAGAAATTGTTATGAGTCTGAAATTGCGAAACAGCATGCTGCTCTTAAGGCTCTGGAAGAGCTTTCTGATAATTCAGTTCAGCAATAACCAAAAGGAAGAAAGACAAGGAAAGAATTCAAGAATCCCTAGATCGCCTGACTAGCGAACTCCGAAAGCACGAGGAAAATGTCGCATCTGTTCGTAAACGTTTATCTCGGGAGAAGGACAAATGGTTGAGTTCTTGCCCTGATACTTTGAAGATCAACGTGGAATTCCTTCAGCGTTGTATATTTCCACGCTGTACTTTCAGTATGCCAGATGCTGTCTATTGTGCCATGTTTGTGCACACTCTTCATTCCCTGGGGACACCATTTTTTAACACAGTCAACCACATTGATATTCTCATTTGTAGAACCTTACAGCCTATGATATGCTGCTGTACTGAATATGAAGTAGGTAGATTTGGGAAGTTTCTGCAGGAGACGTTGAAGATCGCATACTATTGGAAGGTGAGACAACTTTATGCTTTTGGTGGTTTAGTTTTTTTAATCCAATCATACATTCAATCACACTGATCATAAGTCCTGGACATATAAGAGGGTCTAATGGGCACTCGAAACTGCTATACTCTTTCCCCATTTTTTGATTGTTCTTGCTGAACCATGCTTTTTTCCAGAAGGATGAATCTATTTATGAACGCGAATGTGGAAACATGCCTGGCTTTGCTGTATATTATAGACATCCAAATAGCCAGCGAGTTGCCTATTTCCAGTTCATGAAGGTGGGTCCATGGCCTTTTATGTCTAAAATTAACTTCTGCTATACCAGAAGTCACTAAGCTTAACTGAATACTACAGGTCTTCATGTAGAGGTCTTTTAGTTTTCTTTAAAGGACTCAGCTAAATCTTGTCCTCCCAATTAGTTATTCTGTTTCTCTATTCTTTTGTTTATGTATAAACATCTGTTTTATCCGTGTACTCTGAGTTTCAAGTTTCAACTGTATAGTTCAGTTGGACACTTGAACCTTTTCCAAAGGAAGGGTACTTTGTGATTGATCTTATAACCTCAACTATTCCATGGCCATTTCATCCATGTCATGGAGTTCTTGCTTGGACAGACTTTCAATTTCCAAATCGTTTAGGGCATGTTTGATAACCATTTGTTTTTAGTTTTAATTTTTTTGTTTGAGAGGGAGTGGGAAATATAAGGCAGAAGAGAGAGATGAACAAGGGTGGATGAATGGTGGTGGGAAGGAGGATGTGGAAGAAACGTAAATGGCACACAAAATGAAAACTAAAAACTAAATCTGAAAACAATTTTAGGTAAGTTTCTTTTCTTTCTAGTTTCTGTTTCATACATTCCCCTTCGTTTCTATCTCCTTCCTCCCATCAACCTTGCTTCACCCTTCTTGATTTCCCTTTCCCCCATATACTTTCCCTCTATCCCTAGCAAGAAAAGTGAAAACTAAAAACCAAAAACAAAATTGTTTTCAGTGTCTGATGTTTTCATTCTTTTAACTTTCTTATAGGTTCACTGGAAGTGGAGTCAAAGGATTACAAAGTTATTGATTCAGTGTCTGGAATCAACTGAGTACATGGAAATTCGTAACGCACTCATACTGTTGTCAAAAATTTCTAGTGTTTTTCCAGTTACTCGAAAGACGGGTGTAAATCTTGAAAAACGGGTGAGAACTATTTGAATAGCAATTTTTATTTAGAATTTCACTGGAATCATTATGCGCATCTTCCTTTTGACACCTCCCTTGCAGGTTTCCAAGATAAAGGCTGATGAGAGAGAGGATCTTAAGGTGTTGGCAACTGGTGTTGCTGCTGCTTTGGCTGCTAGAAAGGTTTGTCTTAAATTTTGGAACTTGCTTTTCAGCTCAGATATGAAGGTATTTAATTTTTTTTATCTTTCCCATTTGCAGTCTTCATGGATTACAGATGAAGAATTTGGTAATGGATATCTTGAATTAAAGTCTGCACCACTTGCTTCAAAGTCTTCGGCTGGTAATTCAGCAGCCACACACAGTGGTTCTACCATTAATATTTCTCAATCTGAACCTATAGGAGGGAAAGTGGGAGCCCTTCCCTCCCAACACCCAGAATCATCAAACTCAGTCAAAGACCAGATTCTGAAAACCAAAACCTCAGATGGGAGGTTGGAAAGAGCAGAAAGTATCTCAACTGTAAAATCTGATCAAGGGCATCTAAAACTTAAAGGTGGCTCATTGGTGAGTGGCTCCGATGCTCAGTCACCGATGCCCTCAGCTGCTTTACAATCTGGAACATCAAGATCTATGGAAAATAAAAAACAAGTGAATGAATCCTCAAATAGAACCTCAGATGAAAACATGGGAAAAGCTGCCCCGAAGAACTCTTCTGAATCTGAGGTATTATGTTGACCAAGAAAAAAGAACTTTTCTGTTTAACTTTTGTATCATTGGACATGCTTCATTCCACTCAAGCTGTAGTGTAATTAACACCAGGATGACCACTTTTATTGGAAGAAACTAAGGGTATGGTGGCAAAATGCATTTTGCACTCATGTGGATGTGTAGGAGACAAGCATTTTTAATTTAGTCTTATTTTCATTTCCTTCATTTAATCTCCTCGACATCATTTTTGTCATGTTCGCTAAATCAATAAACGATATCAAAGTAGTATGTGGTATTTTGCATATGGGTGATGGAGAAGAATGATATTGAAAATACTTGTTAAACACTCGAGACTGAAATCACCCCACAGAAGTTTGTAGGGTTCTGGAGTAGCTGATAGCTCTCCGAAGCTCCAGAATTAAACTTAAATGCAACTGATAAAAGTCAGATGTTCTATAGATCTATATAGTTTGTTTTTATATTGATCATTAGAGCATGTGCAATCATGTTGTATCCCTTCTACGGACCAAAACATCTACTACTTGAGTTTGGGATGAATGTTGACCTACAATCTCACTCTGTTGTGGTGCTTCTTGCAATTTTCTTTCCAAAGCCTGGTGCCTATTCCTGGACCCTGATGTTCACGAATATGGTATGTAAGTTTTTATGGCCAAAAGATAAAGAGCTAAATGTAATTTTTTAATGGTTATAAGAATGATATAGTTCCGTGGAATTAGTATCTCTGTTTGTCCCTGTTGGGCATTTCATTATGATGTGGTCAGTCATTTTCTTGCTATTGGCTTTTATCATGCTTTTCTTTATTTTTTTTCCTTAAAATCTGTTTTCCATTTGTTGACAGTTGAGAGCCCAAGCAAAACGGTCAGGTCCTGCTGGATTGCTTGCTAAGCCACCGAAACAGGATCTTGCAAAAGATGATGGTAGATCTGGAAAAGGAATTGGCAGAGATGTCTTGTGTCATGCATCAGCTGTGTCTACAAATGTTTCTCCTGCCATCGCAGCAAATGGTAATACAGTTTCAGCATCAGCTAAAGGTTCATTTGCGAAGACATCAGTAGAAATTCATGGTATTGAATCAAAGGTGGATGTTGGAGCTGCAAAGGCTTCCAATACAAGGGTTTCTGCTCCAAAGGAAGATGGTCCTGAAACTTCTGATGCACTGAGGCCCCATTCTTCTCGACTTGTTCATTCTCCTAGGCATGAGAATTCTGCTAGTGCTTCAAAGTCTAGTGATAAGCTGCAAAAGAGAACCAGTCCTGCTGAAGAAACTGACAGACAAAGTAAACGGCGGAAAGGGGAAACTGAAATGAGGGATTTTGAGGGCGAAGCTCGATTGTCTGACCGAGAGAGGTCTGTTGATGCTCGACTGTTGGATCTTGACAAATCAGGAACTGATGATCAAAGTGTTTATAAGGCCTCTGATAAGCCTTCAGATCGGTCCAAAGATAAGGGCAGTGAAAGACATGACAAGGATTACAGGGAAAGGTTGGACCGTCCTGATAAGTCACGTGGAGACGATTTAGGTGAGAGATCCAGGGACAGGTCAATGGAGAGACATGGAAGGGAGCATTCAGTGGAGAAAGTTCAAGAGAGGGGTATGGATAGGAGTGTGGATAGACTCTCTGACAAATCTAAGGATGACAGAGGTAAAGTAAGGTACAATGATATATCAACGGAAAAATCTCATGTTGATGAACGGTATCATGGGCAAAGCTTACCTCCGCCACCACCCTTACCTCCTCACATGGTTCCACATTCAGTTAGTTCTGGAAGAAGAGATGAAGATGCAGATAGAAGGTTTGGGACCACAAGGCATACTCAAAGGCTTTCTCCGAGACATGATGAGAAGGAGCGTAGACGATCTGAAGATAATTCACAAGATGATTCAAAACGTAGAAGAGAAGATGATTTTAGAGATAGGAAGCGCGAAGATCGTGAGGGGCTGTCAATAAAGGTATGTATCAGCACTAGTTTATATTTTCATTTGGGGAGCTTCCTTTCAATATGTCATATTAAGTGGTTCCTTATTCAGGCATTGTTAACTGGCCCCTTTTCATTCTAATTAGAACAGCATATGTTGGTAATGATGCCTGAAATAAATGTGATTAGTAATATCTTGGTTTATAAAAGTATTTTGGTAATAGTCGAAAAAACATGTGCTTACGATATATTTCATGGGGTTGGTCAAAAGGCCTGGCTATTCATGAGTTGTGCAAGTTCACTAGTGTGTGGGACAATCATCTTTAGTAGCTTCACTATCACGGCAGGGGCTCTGTAACGTTTAGAGCTTTTTACATGGCACTATTCTTTTTCAATAGGGATTTTATGCCCAGATAAGCTTCAGTATGCACATTGAGAAATAAACTTTCTATTCTTTCACTATGTAAAGTTGTGTACACAACCGCCACTTCTTCACGAGCTTAATGGGTCTATTATCAGTTACTAATCAGTCTTTTTTTATTTGTTTGCTCTCCACGTCCACTATTAATTTCTCAATGTCCCAGGCTTTTTATGATTCGCTGCTTAGTAAATATCATGAGTGCACCTCTCAGAGAGGAGTTTAAATTTTATCTTTCTGATGCATTTATTGAGCTCAAACTTCAAATGGATTTCTCATTAGTTTCATTGTATATTACGCATATGATGTTTATGCTTTAAGCTTTGCTGTATATAGGTGGAGGAGAGGGAGAGGGAGCGAGAAAGGGAGAAAGCTAACCTCTTGAAGGAGGAGACAGATGCAATTGCAGCTTCTAAGAGGCGGAAACTTAAAAGAGAGCACCCGCCTTCTGGGGAACCTGGTGAGTATTCACCAGTTCCTCCTCCTCCACCACCTCCCCTTTCTATTAGTTTGTCCCAGTCATATGATGGAAGAGATAGAGGAGACCGAAAGGACCCCCCCGTCCAGCGTGCAGGGTACTTGGAGGAACCAAGTGTGAGGATTCATGGTAAAGAAGCAGCCAGCAAGATGACTCGTCGTGACCCTGATCCGTATCCTTCATGTATATTTTTCATGTCATGGTGCATTACGTATAATAGATAATTGCTAATTGCCGACAGAATACACACATGAATATATTTATTGTTGTGAATTTTTAAAAGAAAAAAAGGTGCCTGAATATGTTTACGATGAGCATTGACATGCATATATTGTTGGTCATTTCAGTTTCAGTTGTACAATTGCGTATTGGAAATTTGGACTCCTTAACCAGGTTGCAGGATGTATGAATGGGAGGATGAGAAAAGGCAAAGAGCTGAACAAAAGAGAAGACACCGGAAGTGATGTACTGAGAGTTTTCATTATCTACATGCTCTTGATGTAGTTCCCATCACTATCTAGTCTTTTTGGTTTGTAACAGATCTGTTGTAGTAAATTCTTTCATGGCTAATGGTCTTTCATCCGATGATCCCTTGATTGGGCAGTGATAGATTCATTCATATTCCGATGTACAATATTGTAAATTTCTTAAATGTGGCCACAAGTGTACAGAGAGTTGTTTTAAGTAAAATTATTAGGTTCGAAGGAAAACTTCAGATATTTTTAGAATTCTGAACTTCAGAATTTGAAGGGAATTTAAAGAATCCCAAATTTTTTGAATGGGAATTCAGAGAAATTTTTTTCGCCAAATTCTTCAGATGATGCTTGGATCGTAATGGCTGTCACTATGAATGGTGGTGTTTTTTTTTGATCATGGCAGGCACCCTACTTGCTGTTTTCACACAAGGAAAATCCCTTTTGAGGTATCAAATTATTTTCTTAAAACCCCTTTTTGTTGATTTTTACTACGAAAGTTGTCATAATTTTTTAGTAAATGACAAAGTTAACCTCAAAGATTGGATTGAACATCCACTCTTAAGTCTAATAATTGAGGACACTTTTGTCATTTTAAGAAGTTTTTTAAATTACACCAACAATTGTTGGACGGAAAATTATTGGAAGGGAACAAATCGAAACCTCATGGGTGTTTTAAAACCTCACGGGTTCAATCAAAACACCAAAAATCTCAAGTTGTGTGTCAGTGTAAATATCTCACTATTATTTAGGTTACTGTTGCATGCTCTCTAGGGCTCGGGAACGCAACATCTTCCTATTTGTCTTGGAAAAGGGGTGTATTGACATAGTTATAGCCAACACATAACATGAAGATATTGAATACTAAAAGGGGCGTATTAACCTAGCTTACTGGTGTATTACCATGACTTTTATGATTTAAGAAAAACTGAAAGGTGTTACTCTACAAGGAAGTTACGTTATTACTGAGTCTTGGGCTTGGTTGATTTAATTCATGAATAAAGCCATTAGACATCATGAATTCAGATTTATGGATATGGATTCTCTACTTTGATTTTTATACTAGGATTCGCTGGAGTGCAAGAATTGAAGGACTAAACATGTCAACACTCCTTCCAAAATATGTACCCTCAAAACCCAAATTCTGAAACTCGAAGACCCCATTGTATTTTGATTCCCATGGTCATGAAGAAATTTGGTTGCATTGGAGTCATTGACTGCATAAATTTTTTCAATGATCGTAACATCCTCCATCTTGTCACTACCGCATCTTACTTACAATCACCATTGTCCTTGAGAAGCATTCATCAAGACTTCTTTTGGTTTCATGTGAAGAGTTTCAAAATCTCTCCAAAGTGCTTGAAGTTGTGCACGTTTCACCTTGGTTGAGCCTTGACACGTTTCTTCGTCGAATCTCAAATATTCCTGGAAGTGTCCTTTGGAGAATGATCTCCAAAATGCAACAACCAATTGAGCAGTTGAATCCGTAACTTATATATAAATTGAGGAATTCCTCATGCATCTAAGAAGAAAAAGAAAAAGAAAAACGGAGAGTTAAAAACCTTAAATAAGAAGAGAGAAATCGTAGAGAAATCGTAGAGAAAATTCTATCAGAACTCCATGAGTTGTAGTATTACAAAAATAAATATAATTCCACTCTCATATTTTGTGGTGCTTTCAGTTTATTTTAGAGATATTTAGTTATATACCTATTCTTAGCATTAATGATATAGATAAACCATTATATCATTTAATTTTTATAAACAACCCCAAAAAAACGCAAAAAATGACAGTTGACCCTATTGAATTTAATTTTGATTATTAAATTACTTTGATGAGGTTTTGGGGTTGGGTTTGTTTTAAGAAATTCATGGCAATTGTGTAATCTATAAGAAGTTATATATTGTAAATAGACTTTTGGTGTGTTTCTAAAGTCCATTTCATATTGAATTTTTTTATAATTTGGGCCTCTATATTGAGTATAATTGTGAATCTCCCATTATTTTACAACAAGACAACCCTTTTGTGGGTTCCCCGGGTTGCTTGGATCCTACGGAGCAAATCAAATTGGCTTAATTATGTACATGCCCCCTGTGCTTTCCAACTTATCTCAGATTACCACCTGTGGTGGAAAACGTCTCAAAGTACCCCCCCAACGTGCAAAAAACTGTCTCACGTTACCCTTTCCGTCAGTTTTTTTGAAGTTCCGTTACGAACGTTACTGTTCATCTCCCCCAAAAATTCCAGAACAGCAGCTCCTCCCATTTGTTACTGTTCATCGCACCAGTTTTTGGGCTGCCATCGCCTCCTCCGGCCACCCCAAGCGACGACATGGATATCAAAAGAACCAGCACGTTGTCCTCTACCACCCTCACATCTCAGCCGCTGCCAACCGTCGTCTGGATCACCGAAAAAAGCAAGAAATTGGCCGGTTTTTACCCAAAATCTCCATTGCTCGTTCGGGCGATTCCGAGCACCATTTTCTTCGATCCAGGTATGATTTTTCAACCTCTCGAGTTGTTCTTGTTGCTAGTTGTGTTGGTTAGGAGAAATTTCTGAGTTTTGGAGGGTAAATAAGCGATGAACAGTAACAATGGGGAGGGGCTACTGTTCTGGAATTTTGGGGGAGATGAACAGTAACATTCGTAACGGAACTTCAAAAAAACTGACGGAAAGGGTAACGTGAGACAGTTTTTTGCACGTTGGGGGGTACTTTGAGACGTTTTCCACCACAGGTGGTAATCTGAGATAAGTTGGAAAGCACAGGGGGCATGTACATAATTAAGCCAATCAAATTTGTAACTTGGACAAACATGGAATAGTGGATACACCTTCTATCCAGCGCAAACCCGCCCATGTTCATATAGATAGATATAAATATAATATTCAAATATAGTGGAAAGGTGATCGTTATTGCCGAAGCCTCCATATCATCGGCATAACCGCCCATTTTTGCCACCAAGAAACGTCACTGGGAAAAGATGCTGCTGTGTCCTGTTGCTGTATGCCTCCCTATTTTCTTTCAAAGCCTCTGGTTGGTTCCTCAGATTCCGCAGGAAAACAAAAGAAAAAACAAAGATAGATTGTTCTGAGAAAGAAAGAAAGAATCATGAAGACGATGGGTGAGATTCTGAGTGCCTACTGCTCGGATGATTTCGATATGCAGCTGATAGGGAAGTTCTTGAGTTTTGCTTCAAGAGGTGACAGAGTTGGACTGAACCAGATGTTGATCAAAGGCATATCTCCTGATGTGCAAGACTATGACAACAGGACTGCTCTGCATCTCGCCGCAAGCGAGGGTCACACTCCCATTGTCGAGCTTCTTTTGTGCTACAAGGCCAATGTTAATCTCAAAGATCGATGGAAACGGACTGTAAGAACAACCAATAACTCATGTCACATTTAACTTCTCATTTGCTTTATACGCCTAGACATTCTTTTCTTAATTAGCATACCTTGAAGTGGCTATAACTCTTTATCTCTTTATTTGGTCACATATCAAGAATATAGCATGTACAAGTCCTTCAAAATGGATATTATAGTATGATTGAACTTATCTTGTCCAAAATTCATCATATGCTTAAGGATTTTGGAGCATACAGCAAGTTTGGCTCTTTTGCTTGCCAAATTTCGTCTCTAGCTCCACAAATTTAGATAGTGTCTGCAAAAAGTATCATAATTGGTTGAAATTATATGATCTTTGAGAAATCCCAGTAAATTTATATTGCTAAATGTCATTGGCAATTGTTTCCATACCGGTATATCTGCTTTCCATGCTGGTCATGTCTTGTCCAGGTGTTAATTGATTGGACTGACTTATCAGAAGAAACTAAATCATGTGTCAATAAAATCTGTCATGATTTCTGCTGTATATCAATCCAAAATGTCTGAGTGGTCTATACAAAGTCACTGGTTATTATTACTCTGGTTCGTAAAGTTTACCTCATAACTATATATACATAAAGTTTTTAAACTGCTTTAATGGTTTACACTTGTAGTGATATCTTTCTCTAAGAGTCAAGAGTTCTTCTATTCATAGTTGTTTACTGTTAACGATGCTACAATCTCTCCTCGCCGGTGTTCTTTGAATGACTTGTTAGGTGTAATAGCTAGTAATTCTACTTTCTTTTTTCCTAATGTGAAGCCCCTGACAGACGCGAGACTCTATGGACATCGAGATATATGCAGGATTCTTGAAGTAAATGGAGGCAATGACCTTACCAATGATCAATTCGTAAGTGAAATATCACTATAGAACACACAGATGTACAGTGAAAAGTCCTTCGTGGGTGAAGTGAAGTGACATTTGTAGATATTCTGCTGTTGACTTCTCTTCATGCATTTTTTGCACAGACGGTTCGACACGAGCAAGAAGATTCGAATGATGTGAAGTTTGACATGTCAGAATTAAAAACAGAGCATTCATCAACCATTCAGCAGGTATACGAAAGTAAATGGGAGAGGGAGGCAGAGATCATTTTATGTGTTAACCTTAAATTGCTTTCATTTACTAACCTGCAAATTTCCTATTCAAAGAAAAAAAAAAAAAAAACATATTTGATGAACTCTACAGATAAGGAACTAAGAAATCAAAGCAGGTATCATCTTATATATATGGTTTCTATAACCATTAAAAAAATTGATTTCTTTAAGAGAAGCAGAATTTTATTATTGTAGACTATGGCATGTGAGATATTCTTACTTCTGCGACAGTGTGTCTACCTAGCAGCTTCTCTATCTGAAATACTCTTGTTTTCTTAATTTTTCAGGGCTCATTCAGTGAATCCGAAAAGGTCAAGTGGCGTGGAACCTGGGTTGTCAAAACTGTTATAAAGAGACACATATGCAATCCTGTAAAAATGTATGCTTTTTTTTTTTTTTTTTTTTTTTCCTTTCTTGGTTTAGTTTATTTGTTTAAACCAGTAAATTTAGGTTAAAACTTTGGACAGTGTTAGATAACAATAGCTTGCTGCTTCAATCTTGATACAGGATTCTCTCTGCTAAGGACAACACTCGCCTCCGGGAACTTAGACATCCCAATATTTTGCAATTTCTCGGTTCAATTGTGCAGCAAGAAGAGATGGTTCTGATTACTGAGTATCTACCAAAAGTACATTGTGCTATGTCCCAATCATATGTTCTTATTAGATTGTTGTTAGTGGTTTTGTTCCATCTTACATATTTGGAAAATTTTATTTATGCTTTCAAATTCTCAAAAAAAAACTTAAAAAATGTGATCTTTATTGAACAATTAAACTAAGAATGAAATGAAACCACATGGACATATGGAAAGCGGTATTCTGTCACTTTTGATTCTTGTTCTTGCCAGTTTCCACAGTCCAAGTAATTTATGCTCAAGTGAGCACATCATAAGAAGTAAAAGGACATGTTTACTGTCATTCAGCCATTTCAAAAAATCTATTTTTCTAGTATACATAGGAAGAAAACCATATGCTATGTTGTATGAAGTGCAGTAAAAGCCATTCTAGTATAAGGTATAATTCAGTAATTTTATGTTATCAAGGTCATCATTGTCAAATATTCTTTTCTGATCATACATTACCATTCTGTCTGTCTGGAAATGGAGGCCAATTTTGAGATTCTTCGTATCTTTATTGTTCTTTTTAGTTTTCAAAATTTTTACTTTTGTGCTATTCTAGGGTAACCTGGAAGATATTTTGAGGCAGAGAGCTCGACTTGATGTGCATACTGCTCTACGCTATGCACTTGATATTGCTAGGTAACTGATTTTGGTGCTGTTCAGTAATTGGATTTGACATGTGAAGGATTTCATGTCCCTTCCATGTATCTGTATCAGAATTATTTCTATGCAATGTTCAATGCACATGCGTACTAAGAAGCATATTAATATTATTTGTATTGTTAGTATTGGAAAGATTTTAACTCCTACTCCTAAAGAGTCTTTCCAAATCATTCTCCTCCTCCCTTAATCACACTGATGATGACTCATACTTTGTAATTCAGTACTTGCTCTTCAGAATGCTCGTCTTGTAGCGTACATGCTGAGTATAAGTTTCCAGAATTGTATCCCATCTGCATTCTACACACTTCTAATTCGTACACATGTTTGTGACAAGGTTTTTAGAAGTACTTATCATATGAAAAAAGGTGATTTTAGATTTTGACATGTAAAAGTATTTGCAGGGGAATGAACTATCTTCATGAGCACAAGCCCTGCCCTATAGTTCACAACCATTTGGATACCAGGTAGGCCCTATCCAAGAGAGAACATCTCTCTCTCTCTCTCTCTCTCACAAACACCCACCCCCCCCCCCCCCCCCCCAACCCCTAAATTCTCATAAGTTTAAATTATTTAATTGAATTTGCAATGAATTTAAATGTTACAAAAAATAAATAGGTTAATGCCTTCAAAGGGTTATTTGTTCTCTTGGTCTGTTACTATTATTAATCATATATGCTTCAAGAAACCTTCCATCCCATATGATAATGAAACTAATCCTGTTTTTTCCACTTTGGAGTAGAAACTTGTTGCAGGATGAAGGCGGACACTTGAAGATCGGCGAGTATTGGGTTCAAATGCTGTATGAGCAAATTAACCCAGATCAAAATGGTTGTACATGAACATCAAATTCCTTTTGACTTGGTTTTGAAAATCTCTGTTGTCTTTCTAATCAATTTCATTTCACAGGGAAAAGAAGTGGCAATCCCTGTAACAGTACCAATCTATTAGATGGCACCAAGAAAGATATTCGTACATTTGGATTCATATATTATCAGGTACATGTTTTTGTTTGGATTTGGTAATTTACTTGACATGACATTCTTTGAAGCTGTTTGCAGTAAAATCTTCCCGTAATCCAAACAAATCCATACCTCAGTAGTTAAGTTGAACGGGCCATATTGACAACTGCCTTGCATCCATGTAACTTGTAGAATTTTTAATAAGTTGAAGTACGTTGGGAATTCATCTTGAGAGTGTGTTATTTGATATACAATGTTTAGTCCATTTCATATCTGTTCAAATTTTAGAGGCAACTGGTAGTTTAGGTTTTCTCAAAGCAGTTTTAACATCATTTTAAGTTTGATGTAATCTACAGATGCTAGAAGGAAATCACTTCATGACCAACACGAACTCTGACTTCATCCATCAGGAACCGGTCGATTTTAAGCCGAAATTCCACTTAAGTCGATGTTCAAACAGAATTCAAGAGTAAGTGTGGAATTCTTCTGATCTATTCCATCTTACTTTATTCTTATGAAAAATATAAATTGTTGTTCAATTTTTTCAAAGAGTGTGAAGCAGCAGTTTTTGCTGCATTCTGTCATTTTAAACTAGGATTAAAACCTTACGTTTTCATCCAATGTTGGAGATGCTGTTCCTCCTTTTCATAGAGAACTCTAGTTTAGGCAGATTGATTGGAAGATTTGCATCAAACATGTTGACAATCCTAAATCATAGGTAACAAAAGTATTTTATCTTGATGATATGACACAGGAAAAAGTCGTAACTACCGATGTTATTCAAACGGATGCTAATTATCATGCTTATTCGATGATTACCATGAGCAGAAAAATTACTTGCTACAACTTTTGATATGTAATGTAAGTGGTTGTATATGTTTCCATTGTGCAGGTTGATAGAGGGTTGTACAAGTAATGATCCTTCCAAAATACCCACATTTGAAAGTGTCATAGGAACTCTAGAAGAGGAATCAGCGTCTTTAGGGAGACCTGCATGCCCAGTTATTTGTTGAGTGCATTTTTAGGGTGTGGACTGACGGAAGGACAAGAAATGCACCAAATCAATACGACTTTAGTTTGTCATGGACAAGCCTTTGTAATTTGAATTTATGAGAGAAAGTAGTAATATTGTCTTGTGATATTGAATATTATGTGTGAGTGTATTGTGAAAACTTAGAGTTTGATTGATGCTATATAATTTGTTTGAAGGGTTCACTGGAAATACTTCGCATTTAGCTTCTTGCTTTGTAAAATGAGTAATTTCTTTTTGGCTTTAATTTTTATTTATTTTTATACAAACGATGTGGTGACTGAAGAGGTGGTGGTGGATTCACCAACTACCCTCAGATGCCTAAGTCAGTTTTTTTCCTCATATCGAGGTAGTTGAAAAGTATTGTACTAATTTATGGAGGAGATTTAGATTACCTTTTTCAAGTGAAAAGTATTCCCTTTTATATAGGGAAGATGGGACCTTTTGGTTGTACTTTTCCAATGTGGGTCTAAGGAGTTGATACCATCAACATATAAGGTGTTTAAATGAGGTATGGTTAAGATATTTCAAATGCAGTTTTGCTTATGAATTTGGGATAATGCTAGTCAATTATCATGATAGTTGTCTTTGTTGAAGTTTTATGGCTCACCAATATTTGTTGCAAGGGAAGAAGAAAACGCGGATGGGCTTAGTTTTCTATTCGTTTAGGATTTTGTTTCCTATTCCTAGTAAACTTGTAACCCAAGTTAGAGAACTCAGGAGGAGAGAGAGATCTAATATGTGGCTGAAAGTGAAAGCGTAATATTCAAAAGGAAAAAGAAAAGGGTGCAAATGTAATTAACCCACGTTGAAAAACAACTGAAACTTCTTGCCTGTAATAAGTTTTGTAATACACACACCACTTTTCTACAATATTAATATATATCTCCTCCCTTTGCTGAAATTTATAAAAGAGATCAGCTTAGTCAAAATTACATAAATAGCCCTATTGTGCCATGATCACCTGGAGCAAACAGAAACAGGCTCTTCTGCTATAGTCTCCAACAATGGCTTCTTTGACCTACGCATAGACACCCTGTGCATGAACTCCGGCGCCGAGAAATCTTCAATATCATCCAAATTCAACTTCGGCTTTGCGGCCTCATGATCAAGATTTTCCCGCCAATTCTCCATCCTTTTATTATCCTCCTCCTCATCATCATCATCATCAGCAAGTTCCCCGGACTTATCCTCAGCCGGCTGCACCCTCACGTTTCTGCCCGAAAGACGCTTGGTTGCCGAGCTGGCGGTGAGGAACAAGGCGCCCATATCGGCTGGAGTCACGGTAGAGTTGAGCCTCTTCATGGGGAACATGACGTAAACGTCACCAATCTCCAAGTCTTCATCAGCATTGAGAGCTGAAAATCTTCTTCCAATATGGAGAGACTTTGTGTTTACAAGGAAGAAGTTTGGGGTCTCAAGCATGAGCTCTGCAGCTTTCATTGGTACATAGAATTGCTTGATTTCGCCGCTCGGGACGATGACTTTGGTGGCTGCTTTGCTGTTCTTGGCTATTTGGGTTGATAGGGTGCAAGAAACGTAGTTGCCCATGTCTTGAGGGGAGAGAGAGAGAGAGAGAATGGGTTTGTGATATGATGAGTGTTGTTTTGAGGAGATGAAAGTTTTTTAAGGACTGACAGAGTCTAGGAATTGTGGGAGTTGAATTTTTATAAGGGAATGTATGAAGAGGTCTCTCATCTGAACTAGAAACAGGATTAGAAGATTCTAAAATAATAAAGAAAATAGAAAGAAAGAAAATAATATTTGAGAGAGAAAGAGAGCCAGTTGTATGTGCGGTTGACATTGTTAGTAGTGTCCGCGTTGGGCCAAAAAATGTAGAAAAAGGAAAATGTAGTGGAAGGTACGCTACTACATTTCCGGTTGTTTTTTTATTAGTTAGTTAATCATGAAAAGCTATACGCTTATGTCAAAGAGTGTTGTTTCAGTTGATAAGGTCTTTGTATTGTGTGTAGTTTCATCAGTGTTCAAGTTTCGTTGTCAGTAGTTTTCGTTGATGCCCGATCTGTAATTTTCTATATAAATTTATACCGGTGGGTGGCAGCTGGCAGCAGTGGCAGAGCCAGCATGGGACCAGTGTGGTCCCAAGCCCCCACTCCAATTATTTATTTATTTATTTGTATATTATATATGATATAATATTATAATTTATTATATTAGTTTTAGCATATTTATTTTACAATAAAATAATATATTAGGTTCTTTTTGTCTACAAATTAACTATAAAATTTCTTGTCTCTCTTTTACTCATCTCTCTTAAATCTTCTAGGTTAGTTCATGATATTTGCACTAAAAACTCCTAAAGTTTTAACCTTTTTTCTCTTCCTCTTTTGTTTAAAGCTTTATGAATTTTTTATTTTCCTCATTTTTTTTAATGTATGAGTTGGGTACCTTAATCTTGCACTTTATGAACTCTTTTTTGTTTTTATTTTCTATTTCTTTTCTCTTTTGGAATATAAATGATCAAATTTGAAGTCTTTAATAGTGTAGATGATGATATTAGTATTTAACCAATTTAAAATATGAAATTCATGATAATTATGAAGAGAAGACAAAGTTTATGAAGAGCCCCTTCTAATGTGAAATCCTGGCTCCGCCACTGGCTGGCAGTTGAGTGTGTAGCTCTACTAGTATTCGAGTTTCACTGCCAGCAGTTCTCGTTAATGTGTGGTATGCAATTTTTTATATAAATACATATCAATGGCAACTAGCAATTAGGTACTATGCATAAATCTTTCATACTCGAGGAGATCTGGCCTCGCTGGTGGTGAGAGTAACCAATCTCTCCCCTACATTTTTTTTCTTCCATAAATATAATGTGATCAATGAACCAATATACTTTGTCAAATAACGTGTGGGACCCCCTCTTCATTTGTCTTTGACTTCCTCATTTCTTTTTTCTTTTTTCTTTTTTTTCTTTTTGAGATGGGATTAAGAGCTTATCTACAACTACTTCAATTTTATAATTCTATATCCTAAAATCATCACATTTCAATATACATGTGAGCTTCGTACAAGTTAGAAATGGATTTAGAGTAAATTCAGATTTGACATAAAGAAATATTGCAATATTATAAACAACATTTGATGAGTTTAGTCATTATACATATCACGAGTGTATTATTAGAAATATATAACTGAATTATTGATAAACAAATTTGATGAGTGTAGGAGTAATTTGTATAATTACATGCAAAGCTATATATCTTCCATGATTTTTTTTTATAAAAAAATAAATAAATTTATATCTCTTCCTTGATTGATGGATGATTCAATAAGATAATATGAATGTGGCATGAACCTTTGAATGTGCAATATACGAAAACGATATGCATGAGTCAATAGTAGGGTTGCGTGACAAATCTGGTTTTAAATTTCTTTCTCTCTTTTTCTGCCGGTGGCGGTTGAACGAGTCCGTGGTGATGAAGACTCAAAGAAGAAATCGGACAAAAGGAGGGTAGGCAGCTCATCACATTCATACATTCATATTCATATGCTGCTGCTGCTGCGTCACGGGATCGTTGGTGTCACATTTCCAAAAGTTTCTTTCGCATAATTCTCTCTCTCTCTCTCTCTCTCTCTCTCTCTCTCTCTCTCTCCCATTAATTCTACTATATTCTATATCTATAATAATATTAGAGACATATTTTTATTTATTTATTCTGAATTGGTTGACAAAGTAGTAATTATTTATTTAAAATAGCTACTTTCCATCTCATAAAACCACCTCTTCTCTTATTGGACTACATCTCATTTTTGCTTGAACCTTTTGTGCACTCCACTGGCAGTATGTGGAATATATCTGTTTTTGTGTGTGTGCCTTCAAAATAAAAGCATCAACTCCGCACTCTTTTTGCTGCCAGATTCCCTGTTTCCTTAAATATATTTTTTTTTTTTTTTTACTTACTTACTGAAAGTTGGTATGAGAAGAAATAGAATTATTCCAATTTCTCTCGTCCTCATGTTTACCAACTTAAAATCAACATAGAGCAATACCCCGAAACCAGGAGCTGAATCAACTAGGGAAGCTAATTGATCCAATTCCAATTTCTTACTTCGCCCTATTACTACGTTCCCGCTTTTCTTGCTTCCTTCGTTCCAAGTATATAAACATGCCATTAATGATTTCTGTTTTTGTCAATGCGATTAATGATATCAATTTAATCCTTTGAACTTTTTGTTTCCAGTTAGAACAATGTGGCCAATCAGTCCACCATAGTCCCAAACCTAAATCAACCCAAGAATCTGATCTATTGGGAAATACAAACCTAAATCAAGTGCATCCATTGGGGGATTCAGTAACAGGCACATGATTGACGTACTGAATAGGTAAATGTATGGCAGAGACAGCATGAACTTTATTACTTTGTTTTGTGTTTGTTGGCAGAAAGTAAAGTATCTCACATCTGTCACAAAATTCATAAATGGCATTTCAAAATCATTACATCAGAACCTGCAAACATCGGGCAACAAAAATACCTCATTTCGACATTACTATAACTACCTTTAGTGAGTGCAAAAATCAACAGGCACAACCCCGATTCATATCTGGAGCTGTTGGGAACTAAACTCTACTTTTCAGTGGATGAAAGGGCAGCATTTCCTCAAATAGCCTGAGCCAAGTTTTCCGATGCACTGGATGCTTCCAGCCTGCAAGTTCGTAACGTCAGTAACACTCAATCATCATATGCGGCCTTTTTGTTGCAGACTTTTACCTTAGGCATCAAATAAAAGGAACTCATATAGACCAAAAATAATTAGTAAACAGCATATAGACTATACAACTGTATACATCGACCAAGCTTAGAGTCAATCGACCATGAATGCAGCCTAAAAAATATCAACAGTCACTAGATTAACTAAGGTGTAGTTCCAGGAAAGCAAGCATAAATAAACATATTTCACTCCACCCTGGACATCGATTACATTGGACCAAAGAATGGTTTCTTGTATCTTTCTAAATATATTCTCTTTAATGCCAAACAGGACTATAAATTCCATTACGCGGCGAAAGGATAGAATAATGTAAGAATTGTATAGGTGTTATGCATTGCGAGATAGCAGGTTGAGGGCTTGAGGTGGCAAGACTGGATGAATGATGATAATCCAACCAGAGTCACTTGCAGGATAACCTTGGCTCAATACCCACAGACAAGCATAGTCGGTGACATTATACAAGTCAATGTCTTTAATATGCACAAAGGAAATAGGGCACTTTCAGCTCCCACCAAGGCATTTTCTATAATGACACAGTTAAGCCAATTTACATTTTCTATGAAGTGGGATAGAACACCAACAGGTGAGAACTTCTGATAATTTTCAGGATGCAAGTGCAGCATAGAATAATTGTTGTGGACACCCATATTGATGCAGTTGTTAAAGGATGGAAGCAAAATAACATAGTATAGTTCTCATAAGTTATAAGTAGGTAAACAACAATTATGATGATAATAACAGCAATCATGATTCGTGATCGTCATCCAAATGTGAGAGATCCCAGTGGAAAAGTAATCATTAGGGTCGGTGTTTCAGATAAGTAGATAAAATGCAGTACAATAACATAAAGAAAGACATAAAATCAATAATAAGATAGATTAATATTGTTGTATGGACATTACTCTAGGAACCAATCAATTATGTAACTAGTATAGCACTGTAAAAATCATACTTAGAAAAGAAAAGCATAAAGAATAAGCAATGGGTTTCTACCTTTGAATTCCTTCTCCCACTTCCATCCTGAAAAAGCTCTCAATCTTCACAGGTGATCCCACTTCCGTAGATAGATTCTCTAATAGTTTCTGTAGAATAGTTTGTAAGACACTAGTCAGCAAGTGCACCATATCGCTTGTATATGCACGTACCATTTTACCAAGGTCAAACCAACTAATATACTAAAAGTACATCATACTAACTGATAAACCTGACTAACAGTTACCACACTCTAATTGCAATGTCAAAATACATTGAATGTGTGACCAAAATAGTCTTGATTCCTCTATAAGGGAGTGTGAAGTTCAACCCACATAAATGAAGAAATTTCGGGTGGGTAAAGGCCACTAACCTGGTCTAACCTACCACTGCTTTTTAGTATGTGTGCACGCATGAATGAAGTATTTATATATTTATGCATGGATCCATGCATTAGGTATGAAAGATAATGAACGATAACAGTTTATTCTTCGTATTTATAAAAATGATGTAGTATGCATGGATTACATACAATACATGGATCCATGCATTTTTGTATATACGCTTATAAATATGACAGTTAAAAATCCATGAATTCACATATTTGACAGGCACAAATTCTCATTAAGATAGTATCCATCCACACACCAAAAAACATGTCTTTTTTTCCATATGAACATGGCCATCACAAGGAAGCCACTAACATTGAAACGGAGTCTTAGAGAAATTTAAACAAAATTATAAAACATTACAACATTTGCGCACCTTTACAGTTAGGGTGTCGTCCATAATAAACTTCTGCTCCATAAGAACAACTTCCTCATAGTATTTACGCAAGCGACCTTCTACAATTTTATCTATGGCCATCTGAGACTTACCCGTACTTTCAGCCTGAAATCAAAACGGAACAAAAGTTATTATTACAGGCAGATAGGTGGTGACTACAAGCAGTAAATGGTGTAAAACACTTGCATGAAGATAGTTTATTTCTTTTCTCCATATAAAAAAATAACCGGGATCAATCAGCATAATCATTGCCAGAACATCACCATAAACAAAGAATGAGGAGCTGAACTGTGAAGTACAATTAAAAAGCATGCATGTTGATGTCCACAAATCTCTATATCTAATAAACGAAGAATGAGGAGCTGAACTGTGAAGTGCATGTTGATGTCCACAAATCTCTATATCTAATAACCATTTGAGGCTTCATATTTAGCCAATGATGAAATACAAAGAAAACAAACAAGGAAAAAATAAAAAGTAAAAGAATCAACATTCCACAATGGCTCGTTTAATTAAAATCCTACATAGTGTCATAAACACTTGATTAAAGCATGTAACTAGATGAATTTCAACTTGCTTCACAGATCACAATTTGTTTCATGTTTATAACAGAGCCAAGGGACAACCATTAAAGAAAACATGATATTACCAAGTACCTGAGACTTAAGAATTTCACGTTCACTCTCTAATGCATCAGAAGAAACAAGTTCCTTTGTTAAGAACAAGGGCTTCGCTGCCACTACATGCATTGCCAATTGCGAACCAACGCGCTGGATAGCATCCAATTGAGAATTTTTGTCCTCTACTGAAAGAGATAAAATTCCAGCAATACGACCTAAACCTGTAATTAGATAAAACAGAGAATGATGAAGACTAAATGAAAATATTCTTTTCAACTCAGATATTTTTAGTCCTTCAGGACCTGCAGTGGTTGTGACTTTGCAATGCAACTTAACATCAAGGTAGTATCCGACAAGAGCAGAAGATAATGCATTTAAAATGAGTATTTTTGTGCGCCTATGTTTGGATGCAAATAGACTATCTCCAGTTAAAGAGGAAAGAAGCGGTTCAAGTTATATTTACCTGGTTGGGGACTTGTATGGAGGTAGGTAGAAACAACTCCGTGTGAAGTTGTGGACATCACAATACCCCTTCTAAGTTTAACATTTTCCCCCATCACTGCAGCTACTTCTGTAATTGCATTCTGAACAGTTGTTTCTCCACTAACTTTTGGATGTTCAAGATTTAACTTCAAGTCCTGGCAGGGATTCAATGAATTTAATACAACTCCTCAAGAAACCAAATTCCAATTAAAGTTCAGGAGGGGCTTGGAAATTAATTAAATTCAATAAATACGCTTACTCCTAGTTCACAAATATAAAAAACTTACAACAAATCATTAACATCTCTGAGTTTTACTAATTTCAACTCAAAACACACATAAGAGTACATTACTAATATCTACTTCTTAATAAGACTTTAGACTAAAGCTAGCAATCAGCATATTCCAACTTATGGACAACTATTCTGGTGTCAGCTTTCTTTTCATTCTTTCTTTTTTGTGATAAGAGAAACTTTTATTCAACACAACAAAAAATAAGATACATCGAGCGGTGGAGAAGGAATCCACCAGAAACAGAAATTATATGATATCTGTGTAGTCCATTGCAACTACCAATGCATGTAAAAGTCATTCTCAGCTGCCAAATATGGTCATAATTCAAGTTACTTTAATCATTATAGATTTTACTAAGTAAAATTAAAGATTAATTCATGTAAAGTTCTTGAAAAATATTTAACTTCTTGGTGAAAGGGCAATCATAATAATGTAGACTAGGAAATTGTATGTTGTTTCTAAATTAAATACATGAAAACAATAACACAACAGAAACAAAGGAATGCATAAGCTTACCTCCAAATCCTCAGAGGGAACGTGGAAGACCCCAGAAACGAGTTGAGAAGAGCTTTCAACTAGCAAAGCTTGCTTTGCCAAAGCTAAGGCCTATAAGAAGAACAAAATAGATAAAGTGGCTGCAGAATCTAACAAAATTACTATATATTCAACATGAAAGACAATACAATAAAGGGTGAAAGTCTAACAGATAAATTTTTTTAGAAATTAAATTATTCTTATAAAAATAAAAACCATTGAGGAGACCGGTTCTAAATACCAATAACAACCGTATGGTTACAATAACACCTAATCAATCGAACTCCAAATATGGAGGAACCATATCAGTCCACTAACCAAGTGCTGAAAGATATCATTTCGAGCAACAAAGTCAGTCTCGCAGTTAAGTTCAATGACAGCAGCCTTGCTCTCGTTCTGGGCCAGTGCCAGCAAACCCTCAGCAGCCATTCGAGATGACTTTTTCGACGCCAAAACCTTCCCTCTTCTCCTTAATTCCTTCTGTGCAGCCTCTGCATTTCATTAAAGAAACCAAATTTTTATAAGGAAGGCAAAAACACAAATAAGAAATCTAAATTAGAATGAATAAAATGGAGAGAAGGGGTTTTAACCAATGTCCCAATTGCTATCAATGAGAGCAGCCTTGACGTCTTTGATTGGAGCGCTGGTTCTCTCCCTCAGTTGTTTTATAAGGCTCATTTGGTCAGAAGAAGAAGAAGAAGAAGTTCCCACGCTGAACCTTCTTAGAAAAAGAGCAGACCCACATTGGGTATTGGCAAATTTGAGAGGAATTGAGGTTGGGATCTCTGTGGCTTGAGCAAATGAAGATCTTCTGCTTGAAACCCAGGTTGAAAAACCACGTCCATTGGCAGCAGCAGTAGCAGTACAAGTACTTGAAGAACTATAACTAGTGTTAAGCACCCTGTTACACAGGAATGAGCCAAGAGAGCGCTTTGCACCTCCACGAAATGCCATGCCAATATATCCTTATCCCCTCTCTCTCTCTCTCTCTCTCTCTCTCTCTCTCTCTCTCTCTCTCCAATCTATTATGTAAAATTCAATCAGAAAAGTGCTCTATTAAAATCTCATACAATGATACAATGTAAAGAATAAAGATACTCATTTTCTGCGAAATTTTCAATGAGTTTTCTGAGGAAACAAAAATGGATGGTTTTTTATTGTGAAAATAACTTGAGGATTGAAGCGAGAACTGACCTGACTGATAAAAGAGGTAGAGAAGGATCGAACTCTGCTGCTACTGTAAGAACTACGCTTCGAAAATGGTCAGACAAAACCGTTTGATGAAAGTCTCTACGCTTTACTCAGTGGGTTTTAGGTTATATGATGGTACAGTATCACCACGTCAGCGGTGATACTTCTATTTAAAATTTGCCACGTGTATTTTTTAAAAGAAAATTTATACTGCTTTTTCAGCTAGACATTGGGTTCCAATTTTACCCTTCATCAAAATTGAAAGAGAAAAAAACTGTGTCACAGCCTCCCACCTCTGTCCAGTTCGCAGCCCCCTCAGCCACGTCATCCCTCCCGCCTCCGTCCAGTTCACAGTCCCTCTCTGCAGCGCCCTCCCTCCCTATTTGTATTCCTTTTCCCCATCCTTAAATCTCCTTATCTATGATGCTTTCATCTCCCTCAAAACCTCCAGATCCGAGTTCTCTTTATCCAACTTCGCTCTCAACCCCGCAATGCCCTGACAAGAGATGATCAGATACATGCATTCAGAAAGATGTGCAAAGCAAACTTAACCTAAAAGGCCCCAAGAAATTCTTGATTCGCAGAGATAAGGTTTTGGACCCATGGAATATGATGATAAAAGCCAACTATTAAATAAAGTGATTCTAAGAGAGAGAGAGAGAGAGAGAGAGAGAGAGATGAAGGAAAAGAAGGGGAGGGGGCAGCAGCAAGGGGGTAGTCGAGGCACACTGCAGCCAAGGTGCAGTCGTCTTCTTTCTATTTTGGGAGACTTTGGAAAAACACAGAGGAGAGAGAAATTTTGTAAAAGAAGCAAAAATAGACAAAATTGCCCTTATTTATTTTGGATTTCCTAAGAAATCCTTTATATTTGCATGTCTTTGATTTGAAAGTTGAGAATAAATTTACTTTCTTGGATTTTCCAAAAGTGAATTTTTTTTTGTTGGCTAAAACCTAAATTTACTTTCTTTTTTTGAATTAATTTTGTTCCAAAGGGTAAAATTGAAACCTAATGTCTAGCTGGAAAATAATTTAATTAGTGGAGGAAAAAAAAGACACGTGTCAATATATGGGTGGAAGTATCACCAGCTGACGTAGTGATATCATATCATTCTATAATTTCTCCTTGAGTAGATTTGATAATGGGTTGGGTTTTGACCTGAACTCAATTCAATCTTCCAAATCTGTCTCCTTAATTTTTGGGGTTTTTGTCCCTCGACAAAAACTACATTCAATTTAATAAATAATCAAACATGTTGGGGAAATTACAATTAAGAGAATAATTCTTTATTTTCTCTTCCAAGAAGCACGTAGCCAATTAGTTTGACGCAACGATATCTCAATCTTCTCAAGTAAATTCAAGTCCATTACGGTTTGACAAAGCCCATAAATCGATGCAACAGTACATCTCTTGACATGTTTCCTCTAGGTTACAACAACCCAATTAAAATGTATAGGAACTCCAAAAGTTGTGAGATTATATAAGGAATAAGAAGATACGAGATAATAATAAGGGATGATTGAAATGGTGGAGAATGTGGTGTTATTTATAGGCTCGTAGCATCACCCCTAAATTAATAGGGTGGAAACCCCTAAAGTCAAAAGTCTCAAAATTAATAGAACATTACATAAGTTATAAGAATGTAAAAGCATAGAGACTCCATAATAATGTTCCACTAAATAAGCCACCATAACTCTCAAGCATTTTCTCACCAAAAGAACATTGTGAGTTTGATGAGAAGAAAAAAAGCTTAAAAAGTTATGAAGATATTCAAATAGCAAACCCATTTACAATTTTCTTTAAATTTTTGTTGGGACAATCTTTGAAGGAGAACCTAAAAGATGAATGATTTCCAAGTCAATAATGCTAGGGAGACCAAATTTTGTGGACATGTGACCAATGAAGTGTCATGTTATGTTAATGATGTCAATTATTTTATTACGTTCTTAAACCTTTGATCTCCTTCGTCTTCTCTCCTCCCCAACCATTTACCGAAAAACCTTTCCAGATATTGAACCTAAGAATTAAGAAACCAATCTAGAAAATACGTTGACAATTATTTACACACCTAAATCAATTAACACTATACAACCATACACAAAATTCAAATTAAGATAAACAAAACTGTTGAGTTGCATCAGTTACCTTTACAAGAATCACAACACACAAACACAATATTAGTATTATTTTTTAAATGGAGTCCTAACGGAGAAGTGGCTTTGGTCACACACTAGCATAAAATCAAGCTATTGGGAATAATTTTATTAGGTCATCAAGATCATGAAGGAAGTTGAGGTTTCACCCCAAAACCAATTGGTAATGAGGAGAGTAGCTCAACTCCTCTAGGTCCCTTAACTTTTCAACAACAAGACCTCGCAACTGTGGTGTACTTTCAAGCCTAACGCTCGTTGTGAACCCCTGATTTTGTTTTGTATTTTTAGTTGGTGTCATTTGTGTGAAAAAATAACTAAATAAATTTGGGGCTCAATGTGATGAAAGTTTGTGAATTTTTTGAAACTAAGTTGAATTTTATGGCTTGTGGGCAACTCCACCTACCTTTGACCTCACGATCTTTACAAATCATCAGGCAGGTGTACCACACCATCCCTGTGTATCTCGACGTCATCCACCACTGAGAAACTCATGGTCGGCCCTTCCTCCCTTTAACTGTTCAGTTTTTTTTATCGTCCCCAAAGATCCCCAAACAAGGGTCTTGGCCGATCTTGCCCTATATGTCCAGAATTTGTATCCTTCAAATCTTTGGTTCCAAGGTCGAGTCGATATAGCCGCTAATGTATTGGTCGAGGCTTTTGATTGGGTTTTTCCTCAAGCTATTAAACCCCTATTAATGATGCTGCTAAGGTTTTTGATCGATGAAGAGAATGTGATTTTCTTATGCAGCTTCATCAAGACCAAGATTTCTATGGCCTTTGACGTCACATTTTGGGTGCTATTTTGGCTTTTCAAGAGAAATAAGGTCTCCTCTCTAGTTTTTCGTTTTTGTTTAAATTACTAATTCTCATGTTCTTGAATTACTAAACCCTACACCCTCTAAATCTTGATGTTGTTGCAGCTTGATGTGTCTGCACCAAACATGAAAATATTAAAAGGCAATGAGGAGGACGCTAAGTCTGGGTTCTTTCCTCATTCTTATGATCTTCATGTTTTGATATTCTTTATCTATCAAATTACTAAAATGTGCTAGGATGAATATTTTGAGCAATTAAGTAGCTAGCAGCTCAGGAGGGAATGCAAGGAGCCTTCTAAACTAGAAAGACGATTCACCAATCCTTGGCCACATATTATCTTTTCTCATGGAAAGATTGAGAGGTAAGGAAAATAGGCATTGACAGATCCATGAATTTTTCAGGAAGGGGCAATATCTTAAAGGCTAAAAGTTCCAAAAAATTTTTTTTTTACTATAACATTAAGGCTTCAAGCCTTGAATTTCCAACACAAGGGATGGTCATCATGATCCACCATCCATTTCATTCCAACTTGGGCTTGGCTTATTCAAGTTTCAAAGCAAAGACTGCTTTCAGTTTCTTTTCATTTTTCATTTTTTTTTCTTGGCCCCAAAACACTTCGTTTTCACCATGATTTAAGAAAAGAAACAAATGGATGTGCAACACAGCAAAGAAGAGGAAACAAAGGGTCTCTTGGGCATTTTTTCAAACTATTGGTGTGCACCTCCAAGGCAGAGCTGAAGGGCAATCTCTGGCGACTCCAAACCTTTTTCCATCAAGGGGAGGTACAGCTGCACCTTTTTGCACCTCTGCGGGTCCGCCACTGAGAACAAGCATGCTTATTCTTTCCTCGTTACTCCATCAATTAAGTAACCTTTCATTTGGAAATAAAGGTGAAGTTCCGAAACACCCAATTGAATTTTTCTTGTACAAACTATATAGAGTATAAGGCAATGTTGGAAAGCATAAAGAGATAAGGGGAAAAGTCAGGTGCTACAAACCTTAACTAGATCATGACTCATGATTGTAAGGAAGAAAGGAGGCATTATGTACAATGGGTTTTACTTCAAGCTACTCATCTTGTTGTTGAGATCACATGCGATTTGAAGGTTAGTGTACCATAATAATACAACTTTCCTTTGACTTTGTCATCGTCGACTACTAAGGACCTCATGGTCAACCCCACCTCCAATTGACCCCACGAGTTTACAATCACTAGGCTGGTGTATTACATCATCCTCGTGTACCTTGCTACTGTCCACCGTTGAGGAACTCATGGTCGGCCCTTCTTCCCTTTGACCCTTCAGTCTCTTTTATCGTCCCCAAAGATCCCCAGACAAGTGTCTGTATCTTACAAATCTTTGGTTCCGAGGTCGAGTCGATGTAGTCGCTAATGTACTAGCCAAGGCTTTTGATTGGGTTTTTCTTAAAGTTGTTAATGCCCTATCAATGATGTTGCTGAGGTTTTGATCGATGGAAATATTAAGAGGCAATGAAAAAGACGCCATCTAGTTTAGGTTTTTTTTTTTTTTTTTTTTTTTTTTTTGGTAAGTTCAATTCCATTATTTATTCATTCCATAAAAGGGATTACACAGTCAGAAAATGAAAAAATAAAAACCAACCCAACACTGATAGGTACAAGGCCTCAGCCCAACAGAAATATAAAAAAAAAGTCACATAAAACAAACATCTAGCCCAATACAAACACAAAGGAAAAACCCTAAATCTGATAAGCTACAATCGTCATTTTCCTCCTGCCGCGCCTCCGCCGCAAATCCACAACTGCCAGATATGGGTAA